GTTTTTTACGTCGCTGCCGTTCTTTGCTTTCAGTCACTTGCTCTGACGAAGTAAATCACCGCGTGTTTCTAATCGCTGCAACTAGCCTGGGTGCATAGAAATAGAAGAAATGTCTGTAACGCAGACGAAACAAATCAAATTTTACAACCCATCGAGTTCCGCGAGCTCCGACAGGTAACGGCAACACACAACGGTGGTATTAGCGACGAAATAACGTATAATTGAAGTGTGAAAAATCCAAGAAAAGTCGTTATAATGTGATATACACTATATACACGACACGCACCCATGCATACACACACCCATGTGCTTCGAGCTCATTCATCATTGGTGGGCCTTAGAAGCTAAGCACGCAATACAAAATGTGCGAGGCGAGGAAAATGGCATACAAGTGTACATAAGTTTTACATAAAAATACATCGCACACAGACGTAACATATGATAAATTAAATTTCTGCCCGTTGTCATTGCCGGTTGTCATTCTACGCTGCAGTTGAAAAGAGAAAGACAAAGCAGAGAGAAAGAGAGAGAGAGCCACCTCACGAGAACAGTTATAAACGCAATGGCAATAACAAAAACAGCAATAAGCAAACAGTCGATTCGACGTCGCGTCGCCGTCTTCTCCCTACCCTGCCTACGTATATACCTACCTTCGCAGCAGCAGAGAGTCGCTGGCAGCGCAGCTTTTTAACCTTAGCTCTGCATTCACACTTTTTTCTGTCAGTCAATCCCACAACCCGCGCGCTGCTTGCTGCTTACACTCTTTAGCCGGTGCTCGTATTTTTTATTAGATATCGAATAAATATTTCTCACAACGCAAAAAGTGAACAAAACCCGTGGAAAATAACAGCTTTATTCATAGCTAGCCAGGGCATAATACCACATGTGATCCGTGCCGGCCCATGTGCAAGCATTATTCTGTGATTGTGTGTTGGTTGTGAGTACGTGAGGCGAGTGATTGACCCATTTTGGCATCGCCGGCAGCGAACGACTCTCACGCCCACGCCAGCGCAGCAGCTGCAGCACTCAAGTCCCGTACGGTAGAGTAAAATGAGCAGCATCACGTTTTTGTGCAGCAAGTCGAATGGCAACAACAACCACAGCGATGTCCAAAGGGGAAAACCAGCATCAGCATTTGCATCTGCGTCCGCATCCGTCGCCGCCGCCGCCACCGGCGGTCTACTAACCATCGCAACAGTCCAACCGCAGCAGCAGTCAAAGGTTAAGGCCGCCGCCGCCGTAGCCAAAACCAATGGTCACATGTAAATCATTGCATTTTTTCGCTCTAATGTACACACCAGTGCATATATATGCATGTTTGTATGTACATATGTGTTATCATACATTGCGAGTGCCTCTATATTTTTGTTGTGTTTGCCTTTCATCAGTTCATTCGTAATTTCGTCCATTTACCGACATTCTAATTGTTTTGCTGTCTGTCGCCCTTGTTCGGCGTGTGTGCCTGTATTTGTGTTCGTCTCGTCTCTCTGTTTCTGTGTTTAATTAACGCTCTCTCAAATTGTTTATCGTGTCAGCATCTGCCTCTGCCCTGCCCTGCCAGGTTGGCGTCTAATAACAGCAGAGCAGTGAAGTTAAGAAAAACGTTAGCGTCAGCAAATGCGCCAATATGGCTGCGATCAAGCCACGTCTATCGCTATTCTGCTTCCTCCCACTGAGACGCCAAAATCCTTATGTATGCTTGCTATTATCCTTCTCCCTTGCTCTTAGGTCAACCTGTTGTGCAAGGCTCATGCACGTGGCAAAAGCTCTTTGTCTCTTTCGCTCCCCCATCTCTTTAGCTTTATGAAATATATGATTGTATGTATGTATGTATGTGCTTTCTTCTTCTTTTACTGCGGGTGCCACTGTATGTTCGTGTATATGCGTGTGTTTGCTTTGGGTATTTCGTATTACTACGCAAAACTATAAATATGCTTCACAATGGTCTGGTCTGGCCTGTCCGTTTTTGGCACAGCTGAGTAACAACGCGGTGGGTGGGGGTTGGAATAGCGGTCTCGTCCCCTAGTGGAGAGTGCAACGAACGCGCCTACGCAGCATCCTATTCCCATCCCAAGTCTAGCGTCGCTTTGTCTCTGTCTGTCTGTCTGCCTGTCTGGCTCTGCCTGTATATGGCTGTCTGTCTGTATACATTGCAATATTTTAATTGTGTGATGATTCGCTGGAAACTCTTTTTTGATTACTCTTTTAATTTTAAACATATGTACATACATTTGCATTTGTGTGTATGCATTCATTTCGGCAATCTTGAAAGTCACGTCATCACTCTGCACCACACATGGCGGAAACACAATACACAGACATGAAGGGTATGAACGTACATACATACATATATGTACGTATGTCTGTATTTATGCAGCAGCAAGGGCAATTCTCATCTTGGAATAAGCTTTCACCAATACTTTACTTCCATTGAATTGAATTCAATGAAGACCTTTTATTCCCCCTCCAATTTTTGTTATTTTAAGAACATATTGAGAAGAAGATGAATTTTGTGGTGTCACGTTTGTACGTAAGTGTGGGCGGTGCATGTGCCCAGAGAGGGTTGGTTGCTGAGTTTGCAATAGAATAGAGTAGGTCAGTGGGTGTATACTACATTGTATATCCTTGAACTCTCGCCCCTCTTCAAAGCACTCTTACGTATGCAGTTAATGGACACACATCATACAAATATATGTACATATGTATGATGTACTTTGCTGACTTTGTATTGAAATCCCGAGATTAACAAATTTTCGTACCCATGCTTGTGGCCCTCCAAGCGGAGGTGGGTGGTAGACCGACCAACCTTATCAATGCTAATCACTGAATTCCGTACTTTTTAGGCACTCGTATTATAAATAAACATTGTCTGTGGTGGTTCCTGGCGGGGTTGGGGCCTGGGGGCTTGTCACAATACCTGACATAATTCTAACGAAGATTATGAATCTTTGCAGCGATGATCGTTCCGATGTGACGGAACCGCTCTACGTCGATCCCTATGCGGATCTGGGCAATGGAAATTTGGGCGGCGGGGATCTCAACTGCTGCCCGGCCTCGCCTACCACAGTGCCTACCAAGACGGCGCTGGAGTCACCTATGCGACGCGCTGGGCGGCGACAGCGCACCACTTCGATTGGCAATCAGACAACCACCGCAAATCCGTCCGAGTGCATTATACGGGCCAACAATCGTACCATCTACACAGCCGGTCGTCCGCCTTGGTACAACTGTGCCGGTCAGCAGGTGGAGCCGTTTGTCATAGGTACGCTCCACAGTCTCCTCTCTCAGCAGCTTAACAGAGTCTGATCTTCCCAATTAAGGAATCTGCGGCGGCAGTGCATCGGGCAAGACAACTGTGGCCGAGAAAATCATAGAAAGCCTTGATGTGCCCTGGGTAACCCTGTTATCCATGGACTGTTTCTACAAGGTGAGTGAAAGGCAGAAACAAAACTGCATTGGATTTCCATTGGATTAATATGAAATGTGTACCCCCTCCTGGACAGATCCTGAATGAGAAGCAGCACGAGCAAGCTTTGATCAACGAGTATAATTTTGATCATCCGGATGCCTTTGACATCGAGCTGCTAATCGATGTGCTCACAAAGCTAAAGGAGGGCCGCAAGGTGGAGGTGCCGGTATATAATTTTGTCACCCATGGCCGTGAGACACAAACAAAGACCATGTATGGGGCCAATGTCATCATATTCGAGGGCATTCTCACCTTTCACAGTACCGAGGTGCTAAAGCTGCTGGACATGAAGATATTCGTGGACACGGATCCGGATATACGTCTGGCCAGGCGTCTAAAGCGGTAATTGCTGTGCTTAGACCACCCACACATGGCAGACTCTAATCTGTATCTGAATCTGAACCTTCAGCGACATCTCACAACGTGGCCGCGACCTGAGGGGCGTGCTCAAGCAATACCTGAACATGGTGAAGCCTTCGTATGCGAATTATATAGCCCCAACCATGGCGCATGCAGACATCATCGTGCCACGAGGCGGCGAGAACAAAGTCGCCATTCATCTCATTGTTCAGCACGTGCACACCCAGCTGCAACTGGTGAGAGAGCTTAAAGCTGAAGATGTTTAAATTTCATTATTATGTTGTTCTATTTCATTTGAATTTAGCGAGGGTTCAAGCTGCGCGAGACGCTGGCCAACTCGTACAAGGACCAGCCAATGCCACATTCTCTGCATTTACTGGATCCCACGCCCCAAATCAAGGGCCTGCACACGTTTATACGCTGCCGGAATACGTCCAGAGATGAGTTCATCTTTTATTCGAAGCGCCTTATACGCCTGGTCATCGAGTATGCCCTGAGCCTGTTTCCCTTCAAGATGACCACCGTGGAGACACCACAGGGAGTGCTGTATGAGGGCAAGCGCATGGACTCTCGAAAGATCTGCGGCGTTTCCATACTGCGTGCCGGCGAGACCATGGAGCAGGCCGTCTGTGATGTGTGCAAGGACATACGCATTGGCAAGATCCTCATACAGACGAATCTGAAGACTGGGGAGCCAGAGCTTTACTACCTGAGGCTGCCCAAAGACATAAAAGACTACAAGGTGATACTAATGGATGCCACCGTTGCCACTGGGGCTGCGGCCATGATGGCCATTCGTGTGCTCCTAGATCACGATGTGCCCGAAGATAACATCATTCTGGCCTCGCTGCTAATGGCAGAAATCGGTGTACACTCCATAGCATATGCCTTTCCTAAGGTGAGTGTTCCTCTCGAGCATCTTTCCATTGGCCATTCGCTTCATCTAATCCATTTCGTTGCAGGTTAAAATCGTTACTTCCGCTCTTGATCCGGAGATTAACAGTAAGTTTTATGTAATACCCGGCATTGGTAACTTTGGCGATCGCTACTTCGGCACGGAGCCCTCCGACGACTACTAGAGAGAAGGTGGACCACACCGACCACTGTGGACAAGCAACAAGTTTCTAATGTATCCCTAGGCTTAAGTTCAAAGCGTTACTTAAATTATGAATTCGGAAGAAAGGTGCATTTTTATTGCTCCACCAAGAGCTAGAGCTAGAACTAGACAAAGCGGATGAGCAGCTGCAGTAGAAAAGCCAGACTGCCCACCACCAGGGCAATGCCCACATAGCGCTGGATCAGCTTGTCTCGATTCCTCCTGGTAATAATCGTTGGGTCCATTGGAGCCTTTTCTTGCTTGTGTGCGCAACGCGTCCAGTCCCGCTCATCGTCCAGTATCTCACCCACCATGCTGAACTTGCTGACACTGGTAATGCGGACATGCACCCGAGTGCCCAGCAGATTGTCCCGCATGGGCAGCAGGACCTGCTCGTAGCTTTTGTTGTGCCCCACATAGTGGCGCTTGTCGTGAGAGATTTCCGTGACCAGAACCGTGTACATTTCGCCCACTCGCTGTGCATATGGCTCGTAGCTATAGAAGAGATCCGTGAGTCGCTTGGTGCGCTTCTTCACCTGATTGGCGGGTATGCGCTCCATTTTGGCCGCCGGTGTGCCAGGCCGGGGAAAGAACTGATTGATGAACAGGCTGGGGAAGCGGTATTTGCCGCACAGCGTCATCGTCTCCTCGAAATCTTCCTCGGTCTCTGTGGGAAAGCCGCAAATGATATCAGTGGCAATGGTGACGCCAGGAACACGTTCACGAAGAAAGTCCACCACATGCTCGAAATCTTTGCGACAGTATTCGCGCTTCATCTCGCCCAGCACCGAGTCACTGCCGCTCTGTGGGAGACAAAAGATTCTAGCAACTAGTCTAAAGGAACCGATTCGAAAGTGGTTTGTCACTCACCTGAACAGGAACATGTAAAAAGGCATAGACGCGTGGATGTTGCAGTACCTTGGCCACCTCCTCCAGATGCTCCAGAATGTAGGGGGGATTCGTCATGCCCACACGCAGCATACAGTGCTCTGGGATGACTTCGACTAATTGCCAGAGCAGCTCTGGCAGGGAGCTGCCTATGTCTCGTCCATAGGCGCCAGTGTCCTCGGATGTTAGCCAGATCTCGCAACAGCCTTCCTCAAAGGACTGTCGAGCTCGATCCACAATCTCCTCGGGTGGATAGCTGGCCAAGTCTCCTCGGGCATGTTTCGTTTTGCAGTATGTGCACTGGTTCAGACAGCCCGTGTTTATGGATATAATCTCGATGAGTGGATTCTTGCGCACCTTCGGTAGGGATAATGGCGCTCCGGCCACCCGACGACCATGGACCTTCTTGTTTTGCAGCAGCCGTACGCTGTGTCCCTTTAGGGTCTCTTCCACCACCTCCACAACGCGATCGATCTGCTGCACTCCGATCACGGACAGTCCACGTAGATAGTCGGACTTTGGGGCTCCCTGGGGCACGCAGCCGGCCACCACAACATGCTTGCCGTTGCTCATACCCGACTCGATCTCATTGCGAAACGTATCCTCGGAGGGGTTTTTCACAGTGCAGCTGTTGAGCAGCCAGAGGTCCGCTTCATCTTTGCCGCTTAGTTTGTAGCCGTAGGCGGCCAGCTGCCCGGCCATGTACTCGGAGTCGGAATTGTTGTGGGCGCATCCCCATGTCTTCACAAACACCTTTTGAGTTCCAGGTATAACACTCTCGTATATGGTGGGACGGGGAGTGGGCTTCTCTTCGACTTCAGTCTCTGGCTTGATTTGCACACGCTTCTTGGCCCGCACTGTCACACTCTTCTTGTTCTGGTAACGTTCCTGCGGCTTGACATCTTCGGCAGATATCAGATCCTCGATATCGTCGATATCGTTGCCTGGAAAGTCCTGTTCAAGTTGGTACATCTCCTCTATTTTATTTCCCAAGAAACATGTGCAACGCGGTCCAGCTGTTTACCTTTGAGCTTCTTCTTATTTCTAGACACAGTGCTGATAAACGCCATTATGAGATATACTCGATTTGTATTCGATAGGAAGTTCGGCTGCAATGACCCATAAATACCCTACTTTTATTATTATTTGTGCTGAATTTTTGAACAACAAAATAACGGCAGGATATTATATCTTTAATTTAAAGGGGTTTTCTAGTTATTTAGATTATGAACATATAAATTTCATCAAGTATTATGAGTGTTGAATATGCCCAAACTTTTGCGGCTTTTGCACCCTACCATCCAAATACACACACACACAAACGCACTTATCAAACTCCACTATCAGCGGGTATCATTATTCGCCAGACAGCCGCAGCAGCTTGTAATTAAATCCGTCGTTAGCAACCGCCGCCAGTCTCCCACAATGCTACACATTAAATGTAAAAACACTGATCTAGAGCCTATTCCAGTCAAGGTGAGCAGAGCCCCTCCCACGCGCCCATTTCCTGTCGCTTTTATTAAAATTTGTTGCATGCAAATTGTCTACAGATCGGCATTATTGGCGGTTCCGGTTTGGATGATCCCGACATTTTGGAGAACCGCCAGGAAAAAGTTATTCAAACGCCATACGGGGAGCCGTCCGATGCCCTGATTCAAGGCGAAATCGGTGGGGTGCAGTGTGTGCTGCTCGCACGCCATGGAAGGAAACATGATATTATGCCCTCCAATGTGAATTACCGTGCCAATATTTGGGCCTTGCGCCAGGTGGGCTGCACCCACCTGATTGTGTCCACGGCATGTGGTTCACTGCGTGAGCAAATCAAGCCGGGCAACCTGGTGATGCCGCACGATTTCATAGATCGCACCACAAAACGCTCACAAACGTTCTACGATGGCTCAGCCACCAGTCCACGTGGTGTTTGCCACCTGCCCATGTATCCGGCTTTCAGTGAGCGCACTCGCAACATACTAATCGAGGCGGCCAAGGAACTGGAGATTCCTGCCCACGAGAAGGCGACAATTGTGACGATCGAGGGACCTCGCTTCTCCTCGCGCTCTGAGAGTCTCATGTTCAGGGAATGGGGTGGCGACCTTATCAATATGACCACGTGCCCAGAGGTTGTGCTGGCCAAAGAGGCCGGCCTACTGTACGGCTCTGTGGCGATTGCCACCGACTACGACTGCTGGCGCATGGGATGCGAGGGAGTGAACGTACAGGATGTCCTCAAGACCTTTGCCGAGAATGTCATCAAGGTGAAGAAGATTCTGGTGAATGCTGTAGGACGTATTGCCAAGGAGGATTGGTCGGAGGACATTCTAAATGCCAAGGTAGGTGAAGATATTCTCTATTTAATTGATTCAAGAATTGTTTTTCTTGCTTTAGCAATGTGTGTGCAACAATACAATGTCTGGAGCCATGTGACGTTTTCTAAAACTATGCACCGAAATCACACAAGACACCATAAGGCGGCGACGGCCAATGATACCACCGATATATCCCAAAAACTACAGGAAACGTGTGCCAAAACTTACCTCCATCTCCATTCAGTACGAACTGGAGCCGGAGACCAATCTGACCGGGGAAGCGACAATCAAACCGGAACGTAAAACACCAGCGACCGATAAACAGTGAGAAAAGCAAATGAAATCCCCTTACATATCGAACTGTTTGCCTTTGTGATGTCGTTTGGTGGGTTTATCTGTATCTGTATCCGACGAACGCATTTAAAAGTTCACATTTATATAATTACATAGATTTTCGTCTTTAAAATTAAAATTACAATTGGAATTCGTTCACGTTAATGACCAAACGGCAGCGTTTAGGGACACTTGCGCTCCACCTGACTCTTTCCAGCCTCCTCGTACTCCTGCGAAGATATCCACATCTGTTGGAACGTCCCAATGCTGGCCAGTATGGAGCCCCCAATCCAGGCACCGAACCTCCTTTCAACACTCCCATTGGCCGAAATCATTTTCAGACGCGTATTTGAGGGCGCCCGCAGCTGCAGATCTCGATTGAGACGCTCGGGAAAGCCTTGGAGCAGCGTGTTGCCACCTGAACAATGGGCATATATGTATGAGCAATGCTGCGAGGATCATTCAAGTGAATCCCTTACCTGTGACCACAACCGAGCCGAAGAGCGAGAGGCGAACATCCGCATCGCACATACCCACGCTGGTGGACGCCAATTGGCCAGCACCCAGCATGGCGTTGTCGAAGAGGCTTTCGGCAATTTTGAAACGCTCTGAGCCAAAGTCCTGGTGATATCCATTGGGGAACTCGTAGTGGACAGTTGGTATCTGGGCGGCTACACGCTCGTCGAAGGGATTCTCCAGCACCTGCAGAATATTCATCTGAAAGTCCTGCATCATTAGCTGAACCATGTAGTTCTGCCAGGACTGTGTGAGATTTTCGGGTAGCTTCCGCAGCGTGAATCGAGCATTGTCCCGTTCCTTGACCACATCCTTCGAGGCGATTTTATACACCGGCGACAAGTCGATATTAAGCTTATCCAAATGCTGTCTGCATTGGCGGGAGAGGAAGTCTCCGCCCAGGGGGGACTTTACCACCGCCTGCGAAAGAACATACCCCTCGTGGACGGGCACGGCCGATGTATGCGTGGCGCCGCTGTCCACCACAAGCGCCGTGGCACGCCCGCTGGAGAAAGCAGCCAGCACGGCATTTTTCACCAAGAAGAATGCTGGAACATTGTACTTCTCAAACATCAGCTCGGTGAGCTTCTCGCGGTTGTTGCGCACGTTCCAGGACGCCTCGGAGAAGAGCACCGGATGGTACTCCGGCTCCGATTGTATGACATTTGCGTAGGCATAGTCAATAACCTTCTCGAAGAGCTCCCAGTTGTCGATCATGCCATCCTTCATGTAAGTCTGAACCTCCATTTGGGAACGGGGAACATTCACATAGTTTGTGTCTACATAGTACTTGCGCGAGTCGGCATCTAGGGGTGGTTGGGTTATATGCAATGATACAAACATATTGCCAATGTTCTACTCACTGTTGGGCGTCACATTGTTGTCAGTTTTGGTCTCTGGATCGAGATTCGTATCCGGGGCTGTTGGGGATGCCCCAATGCCGACAACAGAGGGTATCTCAGCCTTTGGCGAGTCCTCTTGCGCGTAGCCCACACGCAGCGAGTGGTGGCCTGGATCGAAAACTAGGGCTCCAATTTCGTCGCCGCCATATAGCATATTGCCGCCACTCATCTTGGTGCGTCGGCACTACTTTTCAGCTTGATTTCTTGCAAAAATACTCAAAAACGCCCGTTTTGTCTGTTTTTATTTTGCGGCTTTTTTCACGACGCTAGCGTTAGCAGTGTGACCGCAGATTTATAGATAAAATATACCGTCAGACCCTCAGAAATATACCTTCTCATTTTCTAAATATAACGTTTAAATCAAAAATTTGTATCCGTATTAAACTTTTCTCTATTGGAGATCATTTATAAAAGCTTTTAAGTATTTAAATTTTTAAATCTGTTTCTTATTCTATTTACGGTATATTTTGACAATGACAAGGTATATTTCTGATGGCGGTATATATGATGGATAAATCCGCGGTCACACTGATTTTAATGTTTTGGAAAACACAACAATTTTCTTGAGGTCGGTAAACAAAAATTGGATAATATAATCTGTTGCCGAATAATGGCTGATCCGACTACCGAAATGGACGCTGCAGTCAGCCCAATGGAAATTAATATATCAAACAAAAATCTTAGTTCGATGATAGTTGTGAACGACTTGCGTCTGCTGCAGCTAATTTTTAAGTATCCATTTTTGTATAGCAAAGCAGCACAGTCGGAGCAGGACTCAGACTACACCGAGTGGGCCTGGAAACAGATTGCCGTGGAGTTTAATGCCAGCTACGAGGACCTTCCGCTCAGTGCTCCGTTCTCCCCTGATGAATTGCAGTGGCGGTGGAATATGCTCCTACCAGTTATTGGCGCCCTTTCGAAGGCGAAGGAGATTCCCTTTCAACTGTTTACCATTGTAACGGAGATCGAACGCTCGCTAAATGCGGAAATAGTGGAGCCCCCCATCGACTTGACTATGGCCCAGAACTTTCTTCTCTCCCAGCTGCCATTGGTGGAGTCAATGACGAGGATGGAGCGCCGCCGACTGGAAGCCGAGTTCCTCGACATCATATTTCAACTCGAGCTGGAGACACGTGGTTCTGTGCCGGTAGGTCCCGATGAGAAGGCCACAATCAAAGTTGAATATGATGAATTTCTACGGTCTATTCGGGTGAAAGAGCTGCCCATATCGGCTCTGGCACGACTTACGCTCGAAGGCTCTGATATCAAACCAGTCCAAGCAAACCAATCACCAGCTTCTGCCACCCCAGGTTGCAGTATCAAAACGTCAAATCTGGTCATTAGCAATGTGTTTTGTGCCAAGGATGTCATTGATAACCCGTCAACGAAGACTGTTGCCACACCGCAGCAAGGTTGCCCGAGCAATTTGGTTGAACGTATTGATCACGCAGCGACTGATTCAGCACCGATTGGTGCCCAGAACGAAGCTATTGAGCGCGCGCCGTCTGTTTCCCCGCCGCTGGACTTTAAGACAGAGGTGGAGGTGGCCATTGCGGCCATTGAGCTTGCCATTGAGATGGAAAATAAACGGGGAAACAAACCAGCAGAGGTAAACCAGAAACAAGTCACTGCCGTAGACAAGCCCCAAGCTGATGCCGCTCTAATTGAGAATCTGCGCTACATACCGATCAAGAGCGCCAAGTATTACACAAAGAAAGTGCGCGTTCGGGTGAAGCGCATTGATCTGCACGACTTCATGCCGTTGTCCAGCATCGCAAGGCGCCCCAAAAGACGTAAATCCATTTACATCAAATGCACATAAGTTTATTTTAAAAAATACATTACTATAAATTACAACTTAAGGCTATTCTTTAATCCGAATTGGGTTTCATTCATATTTCGTTTGCTTCGCATGCTTGATGAACTGTTAACTAAACAAACAAATATATGCGGGACCGGAAGTGGGAGTTGGAGCGGAAACTGGATGCGGCAGGCGGGATAACGGACAAGGACTAAACGGGCCTGGGGGCTTAGTTAGGTCAGAGAACGAGTTGTACTATGCATGTTGTCTAGGAGTTGTAGGGTTCCTGGTTCCCTGTCGGAACTCGGGTACACTTAGGTTCATTTGATGCTTATCATTAGAGGCCATTACATACATATTCAACAAACAGTCGCAAGAACGCAATTCAACAGGTAGGTGTACGTCTACAAAATACAGTCAATGTGGAAAAGCGCAGCACTATAACAAGAAACAAACAAACAGGCGGAAAGCTAACACAAACAAGATCGATTGCAACAGGTCGAAGAAGGCCTAGCTAGGCCCTAGGCCTTTGTTTGAGTGTAGAAGGTCTGGTTCTGGGTGTGTCTGCTCAGAATAGCTGGTCCGCCAGATTGCCAATAAACGTGGCCAGGTTCATGGAGGAGCCCTCTTTGAATTTCAGTCCAATTGTCTTGCCGTACGCTTGTATGAAGATGGCTCGCACCGCATTGAGGCGTTGCTTACGTCTGCCAAGAAGAGAAACAAAATAAACAAACAATTGATGAGTACGGGATCCTGCGGATCTGATGCCTGGTGGGCGACTTACAAGTTTATGCACTGTTTGCTGGAAGATGTGCTGCCACCCACATCTTTGGAGGAACCGTTTGGGAAACCGTGCGTTGTGTTGCTGCCATTGCTGATGCTGCTGCCGCTGCCACTGCCGCTGCCGCTGCCCATGGATGTTGTTGTGTTGTTGCTGCAGTGATAGCCGTTGCCGCCATTGCAGATGGGAATGTTCGAGGTGGCTTCCGCCGTCTGTTGCGCCACAAAGCGCATCATGTAGCTGCCGTTCATCATGGAGTCGATGGATCCGGTGTCGGTGACCACCTGCCAGCTGCCGTTCGATGATGTGGACTCCTGACGCTGTCGCGCGTTCGAGCCGGGCACCGAAATCGGGCTAGTGCGGGAGCTGAAACGATGCAGAAGGGTCAGTTCGCAGTGTTCGCTGGTGGGGCTCTCAGCAACAATTCGATTACCGCTTGGGATTGGGAGACCTGCTGGTGAGCGGATTGACTGGCGCAGATGCGGCCGCTGTGGTGGCATAGAAGTTATCTGTTATGGACATATCACAGTTGGAACAGTTTGAATAGCTGTCGTTGCTATCTTGATCGAAGGCCAGGATGTAGTCTCTGCGCAGGAAGAAGGGAAAGCGGTTAAAAAGCTGATCATGAAATGTCTCCTCGCATCTGCACTCACTCCTTGAGCGGCTCATCGTCGCAGCAGTCGGACTTGATGACTATGACACTGCTCCCGCTGCTGCTCGAGGTCTTGGTCCGCTTCCGATGCTCCACAATGCTATACTCCTCGTCCGTGATGAACTTTAGCACGTGGAAGCAAAAGAACATGATGTCCTCGCCCCGCCTGAGGCGATCCGGCAATTGGTGGCCAAACAAGTACCAGTCGTAGGCCAGTGTGAAGTACGCCATCTGCATGGCGTTCAGCGACTGATGAATGAGTCCGTCCGCCCAGAGGGAGAGCCGCACCAAGGAGACAAACAGCGGAGTGCGGTCCCAGCCACTGATGCAGTGTATGAGCAGGCCAGAGTTATCCTCCTGTATGTATTTGAGCGTCGCCCGCAGATAGTTCTGTGTGATGGAGACCAGATCCCAGTCGCGGTACTCCGGCCAAATGATGTCAATGTCGGCGGCGGGACCCAGATTGGGTATGTTGATGTTGGCATCGTTGAACGACTGCTTCCAGTTGTAGTGCAGATTCTTGGCCATGTAGTTGTTGTCGCGGAACTTCTTGAAGAACTCGCAGCCCGGATACGGAAGCGACAGCAGGTTGAAGCTCTTGTAATGGTTGCTGGGATCAGCCTTCTCCGATGAGGATACACTGAAATAATGAATTATGGTTATCCTTCCGACATATGTAGATATATACATCGCAAATCCCAATCACTTACGCCATGAAGTATTTGATCTTGCGGTTCTCCACCATGAGATCCACAATTGTGGACACATTGAGGGTGTGCAGCAGCTGGATGTCGCTCTTGATGACCTCGTCGTAGCTGAACTGCGACTGCGACTGGTCGTTTATGTGATTGATCAGCGACTCGTCTGTGGAGTCGGCGTCGTTCTCCTCCCCGTTGGGTGTCGCATAATTTCCGCTGAGGCAGTCGTACGCATAGTCCACTACCTTGCGGCCGTACGTCTCCGGCATCCCCGATAGCGTTGCCGACCGGCAAATGTATTTGCCCCGGTACATGATGACGGGAACGGCGAATCTTTGACGGCATCGCGCATACTTGGCCATCGTGACCAGTTCCCTCATCCGCTGTATATCGTACTGGTCCTCGTAGATGGTGTTCTGCTGCGCGGGCTGTGTCGATGGCGGCGGCTGCTGCTGCTGCTGCTGAGGATGCTGTGGCTGTGGTTGAGGCTGAGGCTGGGCCGGGGTGTGCAGGGGATTGGCAAAGGTGACAAATGCTTGGATGCCCACACCGTCGCTGCAGTTGCTGCCGGCGCTGCTGTTGAGTGGCGTTGCCGTGGCCGTTGTCCCCGAGGATCCGCCTCCTGCACCGAACAATCCATTGCCCGGTATGAGGGTCTTGGCCATGTGTCCATGCTCGTATTCGGGTATGAGTATCCTTCCAGGGTAGCGCGGGCTGAGCAGGCCATTCGAGTTGTCCAGCTCAATGAGGCTGTAGTCGAGTTTAAACAGATATTCGCATTTCTTGGAGATCTCGTACTCCTGTGAACGAAATTGTAAAAGGATATCGATCAGTTTAGCTATTTACGAAACAGAGATGTGCCTCTTGGTACACTGGGAAACTTTCAAGCTTTCGTTTGAGGCACCATTCGGAGTATCGCGATCCAATGACCCCTCCTCACGCACTCAATTAATTCCTGTGCATATTCCCATTAGCAATATTCTTTTCTTAAACACCATTATTAAATATATTATGAACAAATGACATGCAAAGTCAATTGCTTGCATAAATCAAAGCTGCCCGTCGGACTCCGCCGCTGCCTGGCGTCTTAATGGACAGAGAGATTAGACAGAGAAGTGCAGCAACTGGTTTCTGATTCGAGCTGATCTTGTGTTGCTGCGTTGTTCTTTGGATCTTGAGTTCAATGGAACTTGGAAGGAAGAACTTGGAAGAACTGGAAGGGCTATCGGTAGGTATTGCTGTCGTTACTGTTACATCAATTAATTCAAGAACATTTTATAATAATAATTTTTGCCAGCAAACACATTTTTGTTTGTCGAGATATATTGCATTGAATTGATTTCAGGTCTGGGGGAAAATGTAAAGGCTGCATCGGCCAGGCTATAAATAGCCAGACTAGCAGACAACGTAGGGGGAAGGGTGGAAAGGAGGGTCACAGCCACAGCCGCCAGCTGTCCCAGACAACAACAACAAAAAACTAGATAAAGGCGACGCGACGAACAATCAGGCGGCACTACTCTCACACACAAACACCTTGGACGAAACAGGTTTTTGGCACACAAACACAGGGACAGAAGCAAAGAGAAATGTGCAAAAAACGAGAGAGACAAAGGAACAGCAACTACAAAAGCGAACTACAGAGCACAACAAACGTGGTGAAAACAAAGACCTTCGTGTGTGTGTGTGTGTGAGTAATATAGTGAGTGAGTTTGTGCCAAAACTATGGAGAGCGAAGCAAACGAGCAAAACAACTAAAACGCAATTACTTCTGCTTCGTGGAGAAGGGGAGCACGCAAAAGCAAAAGGTTAGGCAGGGCGTATGTATGTATGTACATATAATTAAATAAATCGAATATAATTTCTTTATTTATACAATTTTTCTATAAAAACACATTCCATGCAAGTTTTCGATACAGCAAAAACAACTACAAATCGCTAGAAATTATATTCCCCTCTCAGTTTGCACAAGTGTTTGGTAGCGAGAGACGGAGCGGATGGATGCCAAAAAAAAGAAAGGCCATCTTTAGGGTCGAAGCTTCTGATACCCTTTCAGATCGATCGTTCTCTTAAGCAAAGCTAGGAAGAATTAGTTTCGGTTGGAATATGTTCAGAACTATGCAATTTTTCTCGCACAAATTTATTTTTGTGACCGATCGCACCGATAGACAGGCTACATATTTTCGTTTGTTAATGCTGATCGACAGCAGCTTTCGCTTTCTTCTGTGTTGCAAATATCTGGCCTTAATTATAATACTCTCTCTCTCCACAAGGGTATTAAACCACAGTCTTATCGATAGCAGTGTGTGTGTGTGTGTGTGAGAGAGAGAAAGACAGAGAGTACTCTTCCAAGTTGGAGACGCTGGCTGCCATTTCATGTACACAGTGTGTACACACACAGAGAGAGAAAAGCTGTTGCTGTTGTGTGCATTGAACTGCTTGGTGGCCGCTGTTGTTGCCATTGTTGTTGTCTTTTCTTTTGTAAGAAAGAGCAGCCACTGCATGCAACTGTAACTGTCCGCCAGTTGGCGTTCGCTTTTCGCTGTGCGCCTGTTAATAAGGCGCTGTAAAAACTTAAAAACAACAAACAAACGCGCGAAATAGTTTTTACAGCGCCAGAGAAATAGTTTGTGAGATGATGATCATCCTCCCACCAGAGCCAGCATCATCATCACAATCATTATCGTTGACCCAAATAACAAATTCAAAACCCAGACGCAACTCTGCTTCGGGAGCTGCAATGCAGTTTTCTTACAAACCCGGATTTCAAAGACTTTGCCGATGCTGGGCCAACAGAAATCAACGCTGCGTGGAGCGGCATACTTTTCTTCTCAGTTTTCTGCGGAGCTCCACCGAAAAAAAAAGCAGAAAAGAAAAAGAAGCAAAGCCACCAGCAGCAAAAAGAAATCCCACAAATCAAGAAACCAGCAAGCAGCGCGACCAAACGGAGCCCGTGCCGGTCTAAGGCCAGGCGAGCAGCAGGAAAAGAAAGAGAGCGATGGAGAGCACAGAGTGCAGCGAAACAACGGTTTCTTTCGCGCTCTGCTTGCATTTGCGGTACAGACTTGGCTTGACTTGGCTTGGCTTATCGGCAGAGGCCCCCCGAGCCTGGGACGCAGGACGGACCCGTACCCGACACGACTGTGACTGCGATTCCCGCGCTTGTTGCATATTCATCAATCTGGGTCGGCGACAGGGAAAATGGCTTTTCTTGAATGAATTATTCAGCGCTCAAAACAGGTCCAACTTCGAGTGGGGGGCCACTGACCACACCCCATGTACATGTACACAGAGCAGAGCAGGGCACCAGGCATGGGCCGCTTCCGTGTTTCGATTCTCCTTGTTCTCGTTTCGTTTACACGATTCATGCATAAGCTTTCAAATGTGCAATGCCTTGTTTTCAGCATTTCGTATTTATCATCGTTCAAAGGCACCGAAAACCAGAAATCAACTTGATCAGAATATTCATGACTGGGGGGAGCTTGCAGCCTGGCTTGGGCTGGCAGAGAGAGGCTTAAAATATGTACTAAACATATTTCCGATGTATCAAAAATACAATGAATGCTCTCTAGTTGGACACTTAAGTATTCGGAATCAGATTCCAGTTTCCAGATCTACAATTTCCGATGTATCAAAACTACTATAAACTCGCTTATCGTCGATCTTCTCTTTCTTATGCCACCTGCTCTTCTGTTAATTTGATTAGTGAGCTTTTAATATGCAAATTGCTAGTGCAGTGCAGAGTGCATATACATACATATGCATATGTGTGTGCTGCATGTGGCAGAAAACAGACCCGAGCTACATATCTTCCCGACAACTTTCAAACCGACTCTGAAACCGTGTTTGTTTTTTTGGGGGAGGGAGAGCAAGCAAACACGTTTGAGCCGGAAGCTTTGTTGTGGGCCACATGGAAGAGCCAAACTCTGGGTTTTGTTCAGCGCCCCCCCAATGGCAGCATCTGGTTTGGCACATTGGGTTGTAATTGAGCACAATATATGACATCGAAGAAGTGGGCGCTACGCACAATGAGTGGGGGAGTACGAGTATGTGGGGCTGGGGCTGGGCAGGAATGCAGCTAACTATTCATCATAATTTATTTACTTAATTTATTCGATTGTCTGACGGCAATCAGGAAGACATTTCTACTCGCCCACAAAGATAGTTGAAATAGAATTATTGGCGTTATTCTGACGATTGGAAAGTCATTTATCGTACAGTAAATCACTTACTAAATTGTAAATAAAATGCGAAAAGAGCAGAGCTTTAGGATTCACTTTCTATTTTCTATTTCCTCTGATTTCCTTTCTATCACTTGTGGAAAAAGTTCAATTACTCTGATGGCTTAACAAAAGCTGACACACAAAGCAATTTGTTTCATTTTCTTTCCTCATCGCCCCTTCCGTCTGTTTGCACCCACCCAGCGCACCTTCCGCTCATCGAGAATAGGTTGGAGCATTGCCATTTCCTGCACAGCACACAGCATTGCCATTGCCACTGCCACAATCCATTCCCTGAAAAGACGGCATTGCCATTTCAGATACTATCGATTTTATCTGCCAGCTAGCAGGCGTGCAGAAGACAGCAGCAACAGGCACCGCCACACCACTCCAGAAGGACCAACATGCAACAGCATCCAATCCAATCCATCTGAAAGAGCGCGCGCGGGTGTGGGGTTATTGCAACATCGCGCGACGCCAGCGACGCCCTTCTTCTAATCATGGATGCGTGGTACCTTCTGTTGCGACGCAGTTAACCCTACCAGCAGAGGAATTTCACAATTTATTGCCATCATAATGCCGCATAGGTGAGGGTGGGGATAGGGTTGGGTTTGGGTTTGGGTCTGGGATGCAGCATCTCTGGAAGCATTGGAACTCCCATTTTGAGACCCTTAATCAAATCGAACTCACGCTTCCTCTCTCTCTCTCTTTTCGCTCTTGGACATGCGCCGATCGGCTGCTGCATCCCCCGCGTGCACTTCCAGCAGCTGCAGCTCAGGCCCCCACTGATGCCGCAATGTAGTAATGCCGCCCGGCCACCTCCTTCATTCGGCGGTGCCTGTTGCTGCTGCTGGGCACCTGTCACAAGTGTCTGCGGTGCGAGCCACGCACATTGCAGCAACAGCTGCCCCAATGCACACGCGAAGTCGTTCAAGGACGGTGGTGTGGGGGGCACGTGCCCAGGCGTGGGCGTAAAGTTCAATGTGCAACAGGAAATCATAAAAGGTCACAACCGAGTCATCGTTGTGTCGATGTCGATGTCGTTGTCGTTATCATCACGTTATGCCCCACAGTGGGGCAAAGTCCGAGTCGTATAAATTGCATTTGCCAGGCTTGAATAATTTTCAAACCTTAAATCTCTATGAGGTGTGGGGGAGTTGCTGGTGCAGAACGAACAGAACTTTCACTTGAAGCGATCAGTTCAGAACAGCTAGAATTATGACATAATAGTGGATAAGGGATGTGGATCTTCTACTTGAAACAATCCTTAATAATCATACAGTACGCGGACTTGCATTATATTATCCCCGTCTGTGTCCCACTGTGCGCGGAACTGCAGTTGCGCTGGAAGGTGTGTTGGCAGATGCCGTGTCACTGCTCTGTTTTATGCGCTCCTGTGCCGCGTATTTCGAAGCGCCCACACAGTGACTGCGGCACGGCTTGCAGCTGCATCTGCCAGGGCGTGGCTGGGAGGGGAAGCCGCACAGAGCTCTGCCAACGGGCATAGGCGTCCAGCAGACCCGAGAGCGTTGCCCAGTAGCCAGGCCAGCCGAAGAAGCAGCATCGTACATGCGTCATGCCTGGCCGAGGTACCACTGTAGGAGAGCTGCGCGGAAAGTTTTCCTTTAGTTGCAACCCCCAAAATGAGTGCAGCACAGGGCTGCGTGGGCGCAGGAAGCAGCATTTTCGCTGCAGACTGGAATGCAGAGGCGGGATACAGAAAACCAGAGACACGGGCCCCAATACAAGACCAAGTGCAGCTATCCAGGGACCAGTCCAGTGCTCGAGGAAACGCTCAACGTAGCGCAGGCCAACATTTTGTGGCCGAAGTTGGACCTGGACCTGGACCTGGGACCTACCTGCAGCTTTAGTAGCTGTCTATATACAAGTCCCTCCGCAGCCTCTGGGTGGCTCCTCAATTACCTTGGAGACCAATTCCCTGCTGCATATTGTCTACGGCTACGGCTGACAAGTTTTCATAATTTGCAACATTAGCATAAGCAGCAAACTGCAAAAGCAACAACGACTATAGCAACAACTACAACAACAGGTGGGTTCGGTGGCAACAATAAATTATACAAATTCTATAAGAAAGAAAAAAAGAAAGAAAGAGAGTGAAAATGTCTCTGGGGGAAAGTGAAAAAATTATTTAAAAGTATACCAAATTATTGCTATTTTTAGCATTACGGTGGGGCTATGGGCATTCAGTTGGCGTACATTTTGGCGCCCGCACACGAATCACACCCGGAGGGAGATGGCGCTCCACACGATATGCGCAGGCAGGCAACATTCATATATACATACATACATGCATAGGTACACACTCACACACACACACACACACATACATATATTTAAATATATTTTGCATTTGCAACAACATTCAATGCCGTTTCGGCCAAGGTTTTTTTTATATAAATAAATCATCAAGTGTGCAAAAAATCCAAATAAAAATAAATAAAACAAAAAAGCAATATACAAAAAAAAAAGGAATAATGATCATCACCATTATAGAGCTGATGATAATGATCATATGTGTACCTATCTGAGGTTTCAGCTCAGGACAGACATTGGATGCTGTTTTAAGGGAGAGTTTATATTCCTTAGGCTCCAAAAATTACTAGGGTCAGATATGTTTTTATTCTAATTGAAGTTGTTTTTCAGAGGTAAGACCTGAGGCAGTACGAAGCCCAGCCCATCGCTCTCTTTTAGTACCTATTACGTATACTATGGCTGGATCCAACCCCAATACTTTGTGGGCACAACGAATGACGAGCTTTCAGGTCAAGCAGAAGGACCTAAATCGCTTGGTGATGAATTATCTGATCACAGGTTTGCATTCTCACAGATTCTGCCCCGCAGCCGGGAAACCTTTTAAAGTGGCTCTAACCTAACATCCCCCCTAACCCCCCCACCCACATACATGCACAGAGGGCTACCAGGAGGCGGCACAGCGCTTCAAGACCGAATCGGCGCTAGAGCCGAATTGTCTGGTGGACAGCGTCGATGATCGCGTCAGGATCCGCAATGCTGTGCGAAGTGGCCAAGTGAAGTATGCCATGGACCTGGCCAACAGGCTGTATCCGCAGCTCTTCGAGACGGACAACTACATGTACTTTCACATGCAGCAGCTGCGGCTGATCGAGCTTATACGGGAGCAGAAGGTGGAGCAGGCCCTCGACTTTGCCCAGAGCAAGGAATCTGGTCTGTGCGAGGTACACTCGGACAACATCCGAGAGATGCAACGCGCCCTGGCCCTGCTGGCTTTCGATAAGCCCGAGGAGAGTCCATACGGGGACCTGATGAAGCCCGCCTACAGGCAGCAGGTGGCCGGGGAGCTGAACGCGGCCATTCTCAAGTACGAGGGTGGGGAAATTGTCCAGCCGAAAATGATGTTCCTCATCAAGCTGATCCTCTGGGCCCAGGACAGACTAGAGATGGAGGGAATTTCGGACTATCGGCGCATGGACCTGGAGACGCCTGACTTCGAGGAGGAGATTAGGCGGGCTTTCCAGGATGGTTAAGCGCAACGGCTTAGAAGGTGCCCCAACAAATTCGGTGTCTCTGCTGCAACTTATCTAGAAATATGAATGTTTTGTTTGGGTGTTTTTTTTTTTTTTTGGATGTGCTGCATAATAAATGTTTCAATATCTTGGTGTACATTTTGTGGTATTTTCTGTTGGCTCTTGATCCGATTAAAACTGAAAGCGATTCCATTATCAGTTACTGCTTGCTGCTCGCTGATAACTCCAGACCACAGGCCTTATCTAAGACGTAAATTGTTTTGGTCACGTGCCGAACGAAAGCTATTTTTGTATTTTAGTTTTTGTTTGCTGCTCCGATAACAGAAAGAGTGCAAAAAGAATGAGCGAAAGTTTGGGAGTTGCCGCTCTGGGCGCATGGTGTGCGTGTGGAGCCATTCCCGCTCTTCAAGTCACACTTCACTCTGATTCTCTTGCTATCTCTTGCTGTGAATGCCTCCCCTTGCACTAATACACTGTGGCTGGGCTAACCACAAGGAGAGAATGCACATGGGAGTGTGCTTTAGTTAGCTGTAAGCTACAGTTGCGGTCACAATATTGTGAATATACTCTCACGTACCCTTCGCTTCTGTTCGGGTGACGAACTTCGGCTCCAGATCGAATCCCACCACGCCTTCTGTGCGCATAGCCGCAAGTATCCCTCAATTTCTGCCCAGGTGTAATATACAATAAGTTGAGGCATTATTGTTCTCCCGCTTACCTCACCCCAACCCAATTATTCCAGCCCAAAGTGTTGTATTTAGTCAGCATACTAATCTAATCAAGCCATTGCGAGCTGACATTAACCTCGAACTCTTTGCAGTGCCACATCTTTAATTAGAATAATAACAAAATATACCCTTTGCACCCTCTCCGTCAAATGCAAGGCTTTGTGTATCAAGGTGCAGGTTTTGATGCCCTTTATTTGTACAGGGGTATATTCGGCATATCTGTGCAAGTAGCCTCTCCCCTTTATTTTTATATGCTGTTCTACATACAATAATTTCTTATTGCGTTTTTTTCTTTCGTTCATAGCCCATTTAAAAATATTTTCTTATCCAAAATGAATGTGCTGGGTATCCCATAGTATGTAGTATGTGCATCTGTTGGCCCAAGGCGTTCCAACTTGTTGCTGTAAAATCGCCACCCCGCTCCACAGATAACCGGGGCAATAGGTGTGTGTATTGTGGAAAATCAAGTTGAAAAGCTGGCGCTTGTTTTGCGGTTGGGTTTTGTGTCTGATAAGGAAAACCACTGTTTGATAAACAGCCAGTCAGCAAATACTTTCCGAGTGTGTGTGTGCTGTTGTGCTGCAACAAAGTCTTTTATTGCAACTCAAACATTGGCAATGCAATTGGCATTCGCTATGCAATATATTAATTATTTTAACAGCAGCTGCACACCAGCAGCAGCAGCAACAACAAGCAACAGCAGCAGCAGCAGCAGCTCAATGGAAACGTTAGATATGAACGTGCCAAGTTTTTATTTAGATTTTCTTTCTTTGTTGCCAAGTGTTTTCCGTAGATACTATTTAACCCTCCTCCCAGTTATCAGAGAACTGCAGAGGAGGGTAGCGGAACAATAATTTGTTGTTGCCGTTGCCGGCTAAGTAAGCCGATAACACCGGCGATTAGCATTGAAGGGCCATGCGTGACAATCGGGGGTGGAAATGGGGCCAAACCATTTAAAAGCCTACTGGCTCCCCCATGTGGTTGCTGTAACATCAGATGTGCCGGGCATTAATGTTCCCGAATACGAACTCCAGAGTGAATCTTAACAGATCGGTGTACATTATGTTCAGCCGTTTCCTTAGCAAAATTCATTAATGCGAGATGGCAGTTCGGGTGCAGCGTTTCTAGGCATTATAGTTTCTCCATTGAATTCCGTTCATCATCGGAGGCTTGCCAGACGGGGGGGTCGGGTCAAAATGAGCATACCACTTGGCATAGCCAGACCCAATGAATGAGAGTCTCATAGTGGACAAGATGCTTATTGATTTCTTGAGGAATACGATTTGTGTGCGATTCAGGGCAGACCGAGACTTGACGGCAGCCATTTTGATTTAAGCCGCACTTTTTGGGGCGCGGCACCGGGAGTAACGGCACTCTGACGTGTCCTTGTGGTAGGCGCACACTATACCCGTTACGGTTTGCATGTCTGCTTCAGCACAAGCACGTGCGACCAAATGTATGTCACACAGACACACACTAGCTTACACTCACCGCTGTGCCTTCCTCAAAGGCCGCCGCCTCGAAGGATTTCTTTTCGAAAATCTCTAATAGGTCGTGTAAATCCTGCTGCGTCACATTCACAATGTTGTTCAAAGTTAGGCTGCACATGTTTGCGGCGCTGCATTTACCGATACAATTTCGAACAGGGGTTGCGCTCTACAAAAACTTTTGTGGAACCCACGCCACAGCACGCACGCACGGCACAAACACTTTAAAAAAGCACACTAAATGCGAAAATATGCCAAAAATTAATAGATTTAAACAAATCTTGTTGCTTATTTAGCTGTTGCCTGCTCGCTCGCTCTCTCTCGCGCGTCACCTCTATTGTGTCTGCTGCGTATTTGATTCGTTTTCTTTCGTCTGCTTTATCGTTTTCTACGACGTTTACACGTTTCGCGTTACGTTTCGTTTGTTTGCTCAACGCCCTAGAGGGCGACGTCACCAATATATTCTCCGCCCGCAACGTAATCTGCACGAGTATGGGAGTCGGGTCGTCGGTTACGCACTAGTAGTATTGTTGCTCTTGTTGCTCCGATTGCAATTATATAGATTGTGTGTTTTTATTTGCAATAGAGGTGTCAAACCATCAAGGGCACTATCGATAGCATCGATATTTTACTGCTAGCCTCTACTATCGACGGTTTGGCGACTATCATGATAGTATCGAGCTACAGTCGTTGCGCTTTTGATATGTTTGGATTGGCTGCTATAAAATACGAAGACACATTTGTAAACAAATCGACAGGTGGCATATAATTTTTACAATGGACAAGTTCCTAAAGGGTTTCAATAGTTTTTTAATAATTATTTGAGCCCGATACTATCACGATAGTATCGATTGTTTTTTTCAAAACATTCAGCGTTGATATTCCTCGAATTTGATATTCTGTTTAATATTACTAGCTAGTTGGCCCTCTCAGCCCTAAACAAATAATTTTATGCAATTCCTCAATAAATTTTGTTGAGGATTGGCTAGATATCAGAACTCGTTTTCATTGGATTGTTTTATTAATAAGGTTCAAACAAAAACGGCCAAAGCATAAAACGTAAGTGTGTACGAAATGTGACGTCATTGTTGCTTGTCAACCAAGTTCTTCTATGCGTATGGACATTTGTATACCGTATTTCCCTTAATTTTTCTTAGATTGAGATGTTTTTTACCTATTAATGCATATGTTTTGTGTTTTATAAATACATTTATCCCGTTTCTGATACCTATTATTGGTGAGCTGCTGTGACAAACCTTCATTTAAGCCGCGGAAAATAGTACTTTTTATATATTTATTTTATCGCTCAAGTGTTTCGATCAAATAAATTAATGACCAATTCAAAGCCACCTACAACCTTGCCATCTTTCATAAAGGCAAAACGACATTTGTTTAGACCCTTTATAAGGAACGAGGGCCAATTATCAGTGGACAAGGCAACATTTTTGAGATAGTATTGACCTTTGCGCATCGGGCACATATCTTCGGATAGAAAGTTAGAGTCCAAAAACGAAGATGCAAAGAACCTTGCAAAAACGTTCCTCATAAAATCGCATGGCTTAATTCGTAATTTCAAATTCATTGGAATCCATTGTCTATTCTTAAATGTCGCGATATCCACCCATACGTCATACTGCTCATCCATGTCAACGTGATAGTTAGCAGATCCATTCAAAACTCGATCTCTCCCAAGTATTTTGAATTCGAATTCAAACAGGGTTTCTTCATCCCCCTTTAGATTCTCGATCGATTCACATCTCACATCGTAGTTTGCTTTTCCCAGGCACTGTAAGTGCAAAATATCAGTTGTTGTTTTTTCTTATATATGTATTTGAAAAATGTATATCTACCAACGTAGCCATCCACAGGATGAGAATAACCTTTGCACAACACCGAGACATCTTTGATTCGTTTGCTTCAGTTCAATGAAACTATTTCCGTAATGAGTCCATAGCATATGTTGATCTTTATATACACAATAGTTTTGCATGTTAAACAGTAATTATTGTAGGTCTTTTCATTTGACACAGATCTGCATCTTAATAACTAGTTGTGCGATAGAGGCGTGGTTCAAACCAATGTTCAACCAATGTGAAGTTGTTAAGGTTTGGATTTCGAAATTGAGGGATATGAATTGGGTGGTCACCCATAGCACATGCGTTGACCATGCCCGGATTTGTTTGTGAATCCCTAATTGACCAATGTCGTCAGGATCGATCCTCATGCGATTCCGTCGCAGAATTACGGTGTATCGCATTCGAATTGTATTATACAGACTTTTTATACATTTAGTTGGTATAGTGGCAGGTACAATTTAATTTTATTTTAGAATCAATTAATTTTGAAAATGATCCTGAGCGTTTTGTACGACAATAAGTGTGATTTTGGAGTCGGGCGTTAGCAGCACCTCGTTGGTCCTTGTACGCACTCTCAGCATTAAAAGTTCATCCGTGGGATCAATTTGCTTCATTCCTCGCTCCAGTCGGCAACGTATTGCCTGAAAGAGTCCAGCAAACTGAACGGAGTCATCGTGCCCCATAGTACTCTTCACCGGATGCCCCAGATCGTTGAGGATTACTATATCTCGAATGTTTTTCCTTGTACTGATCTGATCGAATGCTTCCTCCACATACCGTTGAGAACGAGGAGGCTGCAATAGAGGAGAGATTTATGAAAAACCCAATTTAAAACTAAAATTTATATGGTTTTACTCTTTCTGGAGTATTCAGTAACATTTCGCTGCATTGATTATCCTTGATAAACTGCTTATAAACAGTTTTTCCCCCCCTTTCGACTAAAAAGATTTTTTTTTATGGTTTCCAAGGGGCGTTACCACTAGAAACTTCTGCTATTTGGGTCATTGGGACAGCATGTTTTTCCCATAGCACAATTAATTTATTTAATTTTTTAAGGATCAAGATATATACACAGGGGGTATATTTTACAAAATGAAATGCAGTCCAAAACAGTTTGAAATTAATTTTAAACTTTTCATATATGACTTCGATATGCGTTCTATCGAACTCATATGGAACTGGTTCTTATCGGTAAAACACTGGGTGGGGTGATGGTGAACCAATTGGTTCATTTTCTACCATCGATACTATCGATAGCGCTATTGAACATCTCTAATATTGAACAAGCAAAAGTTTACATATTTGCGAGAAACAAAAAAAAAACAAATTAATTAAAATGGTAAGTGGTAACTATCCAGTATTGAATATAATATGGAAACGATATCATTTCACTGCATTTTATAGTCGCAAGAGGTTGAGGAGACACTAAAACGGATCCAGAGTCACAAAGGCGTTGTGGGCACCATTGTGGTCAACAATGAAGGTGGGTGTGCGGGCACAGTTGTGCCTACATAGAATATGGCTTACAACTGTTTGATGACCAATCCGATCCGATCCCAATTAGGTATTCCGGTGAAGTCTACTTTGGACAATACGACGACCGTGCAATATGCTGGCCTGATGAGTCAGCTGGCTGACAAGGCTCGGAGCGTTGTGAGGGACCTGGACCCGTCCAACGACATGACATTCCTGCGGGTGCGCTCGAAGAAGCACGAAATCATGGTGGCTCCTGACAAGGACTTTATACTCATAGTCATTCAAAATCCAACCGATTAGACCGCTGGTACTAGAGAATTAAAAGCTGAAATTAACTTTTAATATTTTACGAGAAAGAAACAGAAAAACAACAGAGCGCTGACATCATAACTAGGTTTTAGCCAAGTTTTGCTGCTTAATTCTAGCATTAAGTAACTGAAATAGGTCATACAAATGTTTGAACCTTGTTTTGTAAACAAATCAATAAAAAGAAATTCTGAAAGCTAGCCAGTCTTGTATAAAATTGATTTCTCTATCGGATTAAATTGTATGTTAAGTGCTGATAGTCCTAACTACCTAGTAATATTAAATCGATTATCAAAATAGGGGAATATGATTTCAGAACAACAAAACAACGTTAGCCCATTGTCGACCAAGGGGGATGGGATTTAAATATTCCACCGAAAATTATGAAATTAACAATTTTAGCGCAGTTCAGATAAAATATAAGGTGGTCTTTTTTTTGCAACTTAAGGGAAAAGATGGGTCTACATGCTTTACTTTCCGCCGTTTAACTCAAGTTGTTCACCTGTTAAAAAAGAACGGGGCTAGGTGGGTTAGGGTCGTTTTTTTCTTTGGTATATTTACGGTATATTTCGATATGTTTCTGGGGTCAGGGTATATATTTTATCAATAAATTTCAAATTGACCGCCAAACTCAATTTAGCGCACCAAAAATACTGACATTTTTCGCTTTCAATTCGTGGAGAGTTTGCAAAACTCGCTCTCAATTCGTGGAGAGTTTTCAAAATTTGCTCTCAATTCGTGGAGAGTGCTCTCTTTTCAGTGGAGAATAGAGTGTTTTTGTGGAGACTTTCCCCTCATTTTCGTGGTGTGGCATTTTTCCCATACAAAATCAAATGTATCTTACGGGAACGCGTATGGAATGACGCAACAATGAATCTTTACATTTGATACATCTGATTTGTATGGGAAAAATTTCAGCAACATGGGGAAATGAAGTAGCAGCATTGTTGTGCAACTTTGGCACGGAATGAGCAACAATCTGCATACCTTGGGAAAATGGATATTATGGACTTGAGATATTGTTTGAATTTTCAGGCTCCAATTAATGCAGAAACTACTCAGTCTCTTATTAAAAGACATCAACGAAATTTTGTAGCTCATGGGTACCAATAATAGGTATCAGAACCGGGATAAATGTATATATAAAACACAAAACATATGCATAGATAGGTAAAAAATAACTCAATCTTACGAAAATGCAATATTAATGTTTCAAAGCAGCCTGATACAACAAATTTAACATCAATTAAAGGAAATAAGGTATACCAAAGCCCATACTCATAGAAGAATCTTGGTTGACCAGCAACAATGACGATACATTTAGTCAACATTTAAGTTTTATGCTTTGGCCGTTTTTGTTTGAACCTTAATATGTAAACAATCCAATGAAAAAGAGTTCTAAAAACTAACCAATCCTGAACAAAATTTATGCATCTATCGGATAAAATTATTTGTTTACGGCTGAGAGGGCCAACTATCTAGTAATATTAAACTGAATATCAAAATTGATGAATTTCATATCACAAAATATCACGGTATGGCAGCCCGCAGCAACTACGAATTGCACGAGTCTGGCAGCGCCACAAAACGACGACAAATTCGTTTTATGCTGTTTTTGTTTGAACCTTAATATGTAAATAATCCAATAAAAAGGACTTCTGAAAACTTGCCAATCTCTTAAAAAATTTATGTATCTATCGGATAAAATTATTTGTTTAGGGCTTAGAGTCCCATCTAGCTGGTAATATTAAACGGAATATCAATATCGAGGAATATCAACGTCGAATGTTTTGAAAAAACAGTCGATACTATCGTGATAGTATCGGGCTGAAATAATTATTAAAAAACCATTGAAACCCTTTAGGAACTTGTCCATTGTAAAAATTATATGCCACCTGTCGATTTTTTTTACAAATTTGTCTTCGTATTTTATAGCAGCCAATCCAAACATATCAAAAGCGCAACGACTGTAGCTCGATACTATCATGATAGTCGCAAAACCGTCGATAGTAGAGACTAGCAGTAAAATATCGATACTATCGATAGTGACCTCGATGGTTGCACCTCTACGTCTTTTGATTTAACAAAGTATAGTTTTAATCCCATTCATTAAAGAAAAATCCACTGCAAACATGGATCCGTGCGGTCCACAATCGTTGGGCAGCATACTTGAACCCGACGAGTTAAATCTCGTGCCGGAGAACGTACAAAATAAGTTGTCGGGGTACATTGAAAAGTTTGCAGATGAGTACTGTCAGAACCGTGCTGCGGCTAATCGTTTAGGTAAGTGTAGCATTTTGAAAAACGATAGTGCATGTATATATATGTTTATACGCCGATCTACAATAATTGCCGGTGATATTGTGTTTGAGTTTGCAAGGCAGTGGAGGGGGGTTTGCCGGCTGCTAGGCAGACGTCTGTATCTGTGTCCCAACAAAAATTTGCGATAGAAGCCAAATTAATTCAGAGTTCGATAAAAAAGGCATCTGCACGCATACATTTTATGGATGCATTTTTGTTTTAATAGGTGGTCATTTTAATGCATCTATATTGCACTTTTACACCTGGTAGCGTTTTTTTCTGGTTTTTTGCACGCAATAACTGCACAATGGCTACGACTTTTGGTATTTTTCTGCTGCCGCTGTGGTAACACTAAAATTATACAGACGCTTCGTCCGAAAATTTGTTTTTTTGCGCTTAAAAAAATAATTTTTGGAATAGTAATAGCCATCATTATGGATCTCAGTGGTCCACAGAGATTAGGGAATGTGTTTGGTCCGGAAGAGCTGGAGCAATTGCCAGCCGGCATGCTGACAAAACTGCAGACATATATCGACCATTTCTTTGGGGAATATTGCAAAGAACGCGCTGCTGCCCACCGGCTCAGTGAGTTGTTTAGCTATAAAAGCATTTTCTAATTTGTATTTAATCGTTTTCCCTTTAGCCGAATCTGAGCAACAGCGGGAGGAGTTGCAGAACGCTGTCGAGGATCATAAGGTGAAGTTGACAAATTTCGAGCAAAATGTCAATGAGCTGCGCACACAGCTGGACCAAGTGTCCGCAGAGCGTGATCATCTGCTGGAGACTGTCCGCAGCAACGAGCAGATCGCGTCCTCATTTAGGCAGGACAAGAACAGCATAATTGAAGAGCGCGACTCGCTCTTGACATTGTTAGAACGTCAGAATGCGGAGCTGGAGCGTCTGAAGGAGGATCTGCACACCTACCGTCAGCAGCTGAGCAATGCCATCTCTGCCAAATGTGAAGCCATTGCGCGCGTAGACGAGGTACAAAGCAAGGAGGTGGCTCTACAAACGAAGGAGCAGCGTATCGAGAGCGAGCGCCTCATGTTGCAAAATGAGATTCGGTTGCTCAACAGCGATCTTAACCGCAACAACAGCGAGCTGCAGAATATCCGCAGAGAGAACTCCATAAACACAATGCAGCTGGAGAGCAGTCTGAGGGAGAAGTGCGATGCCCTTCAAATTCTGCAGACCGAGCACGCCCAGGCCGTGGAGACCATCGGCCAGTTGAACGACAAGATAGCAGAACTGACCAACAACGCCTACAAGCAGTCGATGGCCACGGAAAAGTATGTTGCCACGCTAAAGAACGAACTCGATGCCAAGAACAAGCTTTTTGAAATTTACAAGAACACAGAGGCGCAGAAGGGGGTCGCCGAGAACGAGCTATTATCGGGGATAGCAGAGATGAAGCGATTGCTGACCACAGTGACCGAGCAGCACGACAACCTGGAGACCGAACTAAATGCCACAAAGGAGCAACACAGCTCGGAGCTGGCCGAACGCGATGCTACGATAGCGGACTTGAGACAGGAGCTCTGTGAGGCAAATAACTTACTGACTCAATCCAAGGATCGAGGCCTGGAGGAGGCAATCTTCAAGATGTCGCCAAGTGCGGCGGTTGCCAGTCGGGTGATCCATCCCAATTTCACAATCACCGAACTGTACGCGAAATATGTCAAGGCCCTCGACGAATTGGAGCTGGCGAATCTCGATAATACCAAACTGAAGCTGCACGTCCGTTCCATGGTCCAGGAGGTCGAAGAGCGTGCCCCCGAAAATGAACAGATGCGTATTAATTTCGAAAATATAAAAGAAGCATACGACCAGATCATCCCGGAGCGGAATGCACTATACGAGAAGAAACAGTGCCTGGAGGAAGCGCTGGAGAGGGCGACCTTTGACGTGAAGTCCATTACTAAGAAAAACGATATGCTAGAGAGATCCACGAAGGACCTCGGCCGACAGGTGTGCTCGCTGCTGGACGAGCTGAATTGCCTGCGTGCAGGAGTACCCCACGTAAACCATAGCAGGTCGGGCGATGCACACAACGTCGACAGTGTCATTACCGACCGGCTAGTCACCTTTGGCTCGATAGCCGAATTACAGGAACAGAATGAGAAACTATTAAAATTGACGCGTGAGCTGGCTCAGACAATGGATGATCAGGAAAAGGAATTCAATGCGAATATGCTGCAAATGGACAAGGAGCGTGCCAAGAGGGCCCAGGAGAGGTGCTCCCTGCTGGAGGAGCAGCTCGCGGAGAAAAACAATGCCCTCAATCTGCTGAACTCCAAGTGTGAGCGCTACCAGAAGCACTTCTTTGCTGCCCAAAAGCGACTGGGTCGTCCGCTCACCAATCTGGATGAGTCGGCCACGGATATGGATGTTAGTGAATCCGCTGCTCTAGACACATCGGCCAAGGCTGCAGAGCATACCAGAGAGGAGGTCAGCCAGCTGGAGAAGCGCATATACAGTCTGGAGAAGCAGTTGGTGGAGGAGAGCAATAAATACGCCTCGCTCAAGGAGAACTACGAGTACTACACCAACGAGAAGCGGAAGAACGACGCTCTGGCCCAGGAACAGTTCGATTCGATGCGCAAGGAAGTACGCGAGCTGACGTCCGCCAACTGCAAGCTGCTGAATGCCACCGATTTCCAGAAGGAGCAGATCGAAATGCTGCACAGGAACGTTGAGGCGTGCAAGAAGCAGATCGCGGCTTTGGAAGATCGCAACAGGAACTACGAGAAGACGATCATCAAGCACGAGCAGACGATGCACCTGCTCAAGGATGAAACGATGGCAGCCCACAAAAAGTCGGCTGCCGCCGAAGCGGAGGCCTACAATCTGCGGCAGGAGAACCGCACCTTGAAGGACACGGCCACCCGTCTGCAGATCGAGAAGGAGAGCGCCCATCGGGATCAGCATAACCAGTCGCTTTTGCTCAACAATTTGGAGTTTATCAAGTCCAACCTCGAGCGATCCGAGACTGAGGGCCGCCTGCGCCTCGAACAGCGGCTGGATGATGCAGCTCGAGAGCTGGCCGCCCAGCGACGTCACCAGCAGGAGGAGCAGGAAAAGTTCCAGGAAACGGTCAATGAGCTCAAGCGACAAACCGAGACGGCCATCAAGCTGAAGGAAGAAGAGAAGAAGCTGGCCGAGAAGTGGCAAGCGGAGCTCGTAAATGTCCGCGAAGAGCTCGCCCAAAAGGTGATGCAGGTAAACGATCTGAGCAAGAAGCTGCAGGAGAGCCTTACGCCCTCGATGAACGAGAATCCGGTGACGGCAGCCAACAAGAGGGCCCGCGAATTCGAGCTCAAGTACAACCAGGCCGCGGTGGAGGTTGAATCGCTCAAGAGGGAACTGGCCTCGTTGCGTTCGCATGGCGAGCAGTTCTACAAGATGTCACAGACTGCCGAGGCGGAGGTCAAGCGCCTGCACGAGCTGCACTCGGAGATGGTGGCCAGTCACGAGGATGAGATGAAGAAATTGAAGAGCGCCGAGACGGAGCTGAGGGCACGCATCGACGAGCTGGAGGCCGAGGCCATGCTCTCCAATGTGACCGATCAGACCAAGACCATTAACCAGACGGATCAGGTCAAGGTGGCCCAGGATGAGCTGAAGACGGTGCTCGAGAAGCTCACCGAATCGGGTCGCACAATCCGCACCCTGCGAACTGAGAACACGACGCTGGCCGAGTCGCTGCACGAGGTGGAAGTGAAGTATGCCAACGAAATGGTCCTGCACTCGGCCGACATCCAAGACCTGACCAAGCTGAAGACTGACAACTACAAGTTGAGGGACGAGCTGAACCAGCTGAAGACGGGACGGGAATCGCTGCAGGCCGCTCACGACGCGCTGCTCAAGTCGAACGCCGAGGCCCAAAGCCTGCTGGAGAAGGAGAAGGAGGAGTCGGACAGACGGGTGGCCGACTTGAATGCTCTGAATTCCACTTTGCACGATCAGATTGAAGCACTGGCCACAAAGCTGACGGCCTTGAGTCAGCCGGGTTCGGGTCAAGGCCAGAACAGCTCCATGCTGAACGAATCTCTGGCTCTGGATGGCGACCAAAGTCTCAACATTTCGGGCCTGGCTATAGAGGAGGTTCGCAGCAACGAGCAGCTCCTGAAGATCATCAAGTTCCTGCGGCAGGAGAAGGACCTGTGTGTGGCTAAGCTGGACATTGTGAAGGCCGAGAATGCTCGTCTGGCGTCGGAGCTCACCATTCAGCAGAAGAAGGTGGACGAGCTGAATGGCTGCCTAAACCAGGAGCGTTCCAGGAACCAGACCGACGTCATTTCGACCTCCAAGCACGCGGAGGTGCTGCGGAAGATCGAGACCCTCAACGCCATCACAGATAGCAATCGCATTCTGCGGGAGGAGCGCAACAGTCTCACACAGCGCCTGTCAGAGCTAACTAGCCGCATCCAGAGCTTGGAGAAGGAACTGTTCCCGCTTCAGTGCAGCAACAAGGAGCTAACATCGAAGATCGAAGAGCTGAATTTGGAGAACACCTCGCTGCGCACGGAGGCCGTCAAATGGCGGCAGCGCGCCAATGTTCTGGTGGAGAAGAGCAATCGCAATCCGGAGGAGTTCAAGCGCATCCAGACGGAGCGCGAGAATCTGGCCAAGCAGCTCACGGCCGAAAGGGAGCTAAGTAAGAAGTTAGGCGAAGAGATTGGCTCCATGAGGTCGGAGCTGCCAGCGCTGACGGGAAAAGTGCAAGCCCTGGACGATGCCCGCAAGAAGCAGATGGAGGAGTCCATAACTCTGCGGCAGACAAACTCACGTCAGACGCAGGACATCATGGAGCTGAAGAACCGACTGTTGCAGAAGGAAGAGGAGCTGCTGAAGGCCAACGAGGAGCTGGAGTCGAAGGAGAAGGCCCTGCAGGACAAGGACACCAAGGAGTTGGCCTTGCGCAAGGTGGCCAAGCGCTACAGGGAGGGCTACATAAGTCTCCAGGCGCAACAGGGTGGCGCCGACATGAATGCCGACCTGGAGAAGGTCCGCTCCGAGCTGGAGAAGGTGACCAGTGAAAACGATGCTCTGAAGAAACGCCAGGCTGAGCCCGAGACTGATTCCAATGCTCTCCTTCAGGAGCACAAGGCGAAGGTGGACAAGCTCATCCAGGAACTTACGGTGGCCAGAACGGATCTGGTCAATCAGGAGGCCACCCTGGCCAGCAACAAAACCCAATACGACGAGACCGTCGCCCGTCTGGAGAAGGAGCTGCAGGAGAATATTGCCGCAAACAAGGAGGTCAACTTGCGGCTCACCCGGGAGAACGAGTCGCTGCACATACGCATCAATCAACTCACCCGCCAACTGGGCTCCCAGCAGTCGACCAAGCCCTCAACGAGCTCCGTCGCCGAAAAGGGAAACATATCAGAGTCCTCATCGCCACGCACTGCCAATGTGAAGCCCATGTCGGGTTCGGCCACTGTGCAGCAGTCGGCCACTGTCACCCCCTGGCGTGGCGGGGAGACGCCACTGGCCAGCATCAGACCCATTTCGGTGCAGAACAGCCGGACGGCTGCCATCTTGCCCACCAGCCAGCAGCCGTCGGCGGGCAGTGCTTCCACATCCTCGTCGTCGACCTCCACCACATCCGCATCGGCCAGTGGCAGCAGCTCGGCGGTGGCCAACACTGCCTTGGTTCCCCCGCAGCAGCAAGTTCACACCACAGGCAGTGGAGCCTTGGAGTCGATGGCCTCCTCCTCGCCCACATCTTCCCACACAGATTACATGCCGTCGACCAGCTCCGCGGCCGTAGCGGTGGCCGCCATTCCACCGATGGGAGCCACCTCCGCCGCCGAGAGTTCCCAGGAGGCGGAGAGCGTTCAGCATCCGCAGCAGAACGATTCGCAGCTATTTGCAGGAGGTTCCCAGCAGCAGGTCGTGGCTTTAGTGTCGCCACGCGTAGAGGGCTCTTCGTCGACCTCTACCTCCACATCGACATCGACCTCCACACCGAATCCGACTGCGCCCAGTGTTCAGGATGCGAACAACCAGAGCCAGCAGCCGAGCACATCGGGCAGCAGCAGCAGCTCCTCGACGGTAGTCAGCAGTCACAGCAGACACACGCCGTCCAGCAGCAATGTGACCACCACTCAGGCCGGCTGCTCCTCCGTTGGCATCAAACGTCCCCGCGACGTGGAAGGAGACTCTACCAATACCGAGGATGGTGTGCCCGAGAAGATGAAGCGGCTGCGTGCTCCTATGCACAGTGAAGAGCTGTCCGCCACTCACATTGGCGATTCCGGCATGGACGTAGATCAGATGCCCACCTCGTCCCAGCGAGATCAGGAGGATGAAATTCAGGTGGTGGACTCTGACGATGAGGACGATGTCTTGGCGGATGCCGATGACGGGCCCGTCGACGGTGGCGAGGCCGATCAGGAGGGCTACGAGGATTCTTACGAGCAGGACAACGACATGGACAACGATGGTGCGGACGATGAGAACGAGATGGCGTCCGATGCTCAAGACAACAACGAGGTGGATATTGAGGAGCAGCAGCTTCAGGTCCAAGAGGAGAGCCAATTGCTGGACAACCAAGCAGGTGCCGCAGTGGTGGCTGCCTCTGCCTCCACGCAGGAGAACAACCAGAGCCAGGCCATCACCAGTGGCAGCGGAGAGTCTTCGAATCCGGCAAAATTGCCACTGGCCGAGACCTCCCCATGGAAGCAGGCGGTCGCCTCTACATCATCGGCAGCATCACGGCGATCGGAGAGGTAAGTCCGTCCGGGAGCTCTACTGTCTTCACGCTGACTTTAATTCATGTCTTCCCAGCAGCTCCGTGGAGATTGTCAGCTCCCCGCAAGTGTCCAACTTTAGTGAGCAGCCAGCGCGTGTGGAGACGGCGGAGGTAGATGGCACCGCAGCAGTGGCTCCCGACGAGAGTGCTGGACCAAGTGGCGACGGGGCCGCAGCCACATTACCCCAGATGCCGAACGAGGCATCCGAAACCAGCGCAGCCGATGCCAATAAACTGCCAACCGAAAGTGATTTGGGCGGAGCAGAAGATATCTGCGAGGCTGACGAGGCGTTTGCCGAGGAGACGCTGGACCCTGGCCAGGGTGAAGACTCACAGCAGCTCGGAAATGAGAGTAAGCAGATGCACGCTTACTTGGAATTCTAAAGTTAACCCGTTCACCTTTGCAGACCAAAATGTGGGCACAAGTCAGTCTGAGCTGTCGGATAACCAGCCCAATCAAGCGGAAGGCGGCTCGGCTGAGGCCAACGAGGGCACAGATGGTGTCTCCTCAGAGGGTGAGAAGCAGACAGTGGGTGTTGAGGTAAGAAGGAGGCGCTTTTACCAAAGATAGCGTAATCTCTGACCCGTAGCCATGGCGTGGTGCAGGTTGGTGCAACTCCCGACTGCATGCGACTAACACAAGTTATTATTGTTCAAGTCCCCTCTCCCATGCCCACATTCGCTACTAACCATTCCCCCGTTTTGCTGTTGATCAACATTTAAACACGATCTATTCTCTCCATAGGAGGAAGGACGCGAGGCAGAGGCCACTTCCCCGTCGGACAACACGCGCTATCGCACCCTACGCAGTGGCCTGCCCAACAACCGCAGGATTCGCGGAGCGCGTGGAAATCAAAATTCGAACCAGAATCGGTCACGCATTGTGTGGCAGAGGTCTGATGGGCCAAACAATCCCAACATGCAAGATCAGGGTTCCTCCAGTAATCGTGGATACAACCATCCACGCGGTGCACGTACGCGCGGTCCACGCATTCGACGCCCGGCAGTAAACAACTTCAACAACAACAACAACGCCGGACGGTACTAGCAGGAAGCGGATTCCGGCGAATCCACAGACGCGAGTCGGCCGTAATTATTGCGTACATCTTCGGGTGTGGCATTAAGACGCGTCGCATATAAGCACGATTGACTATTAGAAATTGGGCTGGCAGCGAACGTCGATTCCCGCACAGTACATTCATTTACATTTAGAAACTACAGTTAAAGAAATTAAAATAAAGCCAATTAAATTGAAATCTTTGCCTTTTTTGTAATGTTTTTTTTTTGTTTATTTAGTTTTGTAAAACCCTAACTCTGTGTCTGGAAAAAGATTAGACGTATCATCATCTAAGATCTTGGGCGTTCCTTCTTCTCTTTGTAAAGAGCCAACAGAGAGACGTTGGCCACCTTGACAACCTTGAAGCGCACACCGGGAATATCACCGACGGCGTGACCCTTACGACCGAAACCGGCAACCAGGACCTCGTCGTTCTCCTCGATGTAGTTCAAGCTACCGTCACGGGGCACGAAAGCGGTAATCTTCTTGCCGTTCTTGATGAGCTGCACCCTCACGCACTTGCGGATGGCAGAGTTGGGCTGTTTGGCTTCAACGCCACTGAAATTAAACAAATTGGAATGGATTAGAATATCGTTAGCCATCACTTTTTGAATTAAATACAAAGGCACTTGGGTTTCTTCTTTCACCCTCTCTGTTGTTATCACGCCCAGCATCTCACAGTATAATCCTGTGATTTGCGTTTCAGACACAACAAAACACAAAAATATACTGCGAGGCGTCAAGACGCCGGTTCTTTTGGCACACACTTAAAAAAGAAAGCACTTTGGAGAGACTATAGACTGTACGTACACCTTCTCGAGCACAATACCCTTGGCGTGGGAAGCACCTCCGAAGGGATTGGCCTTCCATCTGGTGCCCAAATGAGCCTTCTTGTAGTCCTTGTCGGCCCAACGCTGGTCGCGACGATGGTTCACATGCTTTCTGGCAGTGCGCAGACCTCTTGGTTTGCCTGCAAAATAAACAATTAATTGGATTAAATCGAGCTTCACTATGGCATCGAGAGCGGCAACACAATGTAAACAAATGGCAGTTTAGTCGGCTTCGCCTTTGTGAGGTTAGATCGAATGAATCGTTGCAAATTTCGTTAAACACAATATTCTCGCTAAATATCACTTGCATTTCCTGCTCTGAGGTCTGTTCAATTGTTAAAACAACATATTAGGCCATTAAGTTGTACGATTTATTCGATTTCAATGGATTTTTGCAATCCCAAAATTGTAGCCTCTTGGTCTTCTTGGTGGAACCAAGACTGTGGGATTGTTCAACATGAATTCACTTACTTTTTCAGCCGCACCACATTAAAAACTCCATTTGTACACTGTTTTGCGACACAATTTGTTTATTTCACACAAAAACCACTCTTTTTCAAAACTCACCCATGATTTTCCAACTATCTCAGGCAATGGCGGAAATAAAAGAAAGAGGAAGACGTTGGAGTAGAGGTGTCAAACCATCGATGGCACTATCGATAGTTTGTCGATATTTTACTGCTAGCCTCTACTATCGACGGTTTTGCGACTATCATGATAGTATCGAGCTACAGTCGTTGCGCTTTTGATATGTTTGGATTGGCTGCTATAAAATACGAGGACACATTTGTAAACAAATCGACAGGTGGCATCTAATTTTTACAAGTTTAAAAGTTGGACAAGTTCCTAAAAGGTTTCAATGGTTTTTTAAAAATATTTGGGGCCCGATACTATCACGATAGTATCGATTGTTTTTTCTTCAAAACATTCAACGTTGATATTCCTCGAATTTGATATTCCGTTTAATATTACTAGCTACTTGGCCCTCTCAGCCCTAAACAAATAATTTTATCCGATAGATATATAAATTTTCTGCAAGATTGGCAAGTTTTCAGAAGTCCTTTTTATTGGATTATTTACATATTAAGGTTCAAACAAAAACAACATAAAACGAATGTGACGTCGTTTTTGTGGCGCTGCCAGACTCGTGCAATTCGTAGTTCCTGCGGGCTGCCATACCATGATATTTTGTGACATAATATTCCTCGATTTTGATATTCAGTTTAATATTACTAGATAGTTGGCCCTCTCAGCCCTAAAAAAATAATTTCATTCAATTTCCCAATGAATTTTGTTTAGGATTGGCTAGTTTTCAGAACTTTTTTTTATTGGGATTGTTTAGATAATAGGGTTCAAACAAAAACGGCCAAAGCATAAAACGTAAATGTTGACTAATTTTATCGTAGATTGACGTTTTTTTTAACCTATATATGCACATGTTTGTGTTATATAAATACATTTATCCCGGTTCTGATACCTATTTTTGGAACCCGTTAGCTGAAAAATTTCGTTAATATCTTTCAAAACACAGACACAGTAGTTTCTGCATTAAGGTTTTCAAATTTGTTGCTCATTTCGTACCAAAGTTGCACAACAATGCTGGCTATTCATTTCCCCATGTTGCTGACATTTTTCCCATACCAATCAAATGTATCTTACCACGAAAAAGAGCGAATTAACAACGAAAAAGAGAGCAAATTTTGAAAAACCACCACGAACGAATAAAGTGACCAAGTCGAACAATACCATTATATACCATTAAGTGGTTCAAAAATACCGTATATACAATGATAAAATAAAATACTTTTTGCATCAAAATACCATGACTAGCTGGAGGTGAACAGTGTACCGTGGACTAACTGAGAAATATACCAAAAATATACCTTCTCAATTTTATAATATACCAAAAAAAAAAGGGTTGCACTACAACCGTAATACAGCACTGAACACAGCGTTGAGTTAATTGCTTACCGATGATAATCGATATGGAAAATATATTCATCAGAATGCACCTCTGTAAATAACAGATTTTCAAATTTCAGAGTATTTAAAATGTAAATGCGTGCTTAATTAAGGTTATTGTAAATCTGCAAATACTGTCGTATTTATTCCACTTTTAGACCTGAATTGCTCGATGCTGCGCCTGCATTCTGTAAGCTCCACCCAATTATGATTTATGCGGCTTGTTTTTGATCGAACGCCCAAAATCCGTGATTAAAAAAGATGAATGCATAATCAGTTGACAGATAATTACAAAATGACATTGAACTGATAATGGATCGATGCGTCAGATTGATGAAATGCAATTGACTTTGAGTGAGATCTTTAGAAGAATATTGCACAGCATACATTTAAATATTGTTTTTACATACTTATAATTTCCGCTCTATAATGACATTGCACATATTTATTTGTACCCACACCCTGTTGGTTGCGTTGCCTGACTGAGATTAGGAAATACACCAAATCCACCTAGGTTAGGTAAGATGTTTGGTGCCCAGTACTGAAAATAACTTAATTTGTCTAATCTAATATATTTTTTATGACGTTCCAGGCACCCATGGCCACATAATTTGAGGTGCTTATCACTGCACCAAGGGATTCCGGGCGGGGAGCTGCGGCGGCTTATCAATCAAAACTCAAAGTCTCCTAAAAATTGGGTGATTCGTCGCCCGATATAAAAAACGAGAAATGGAAAATTGAGCCCAAATGATATGGAGACCAAAGTGTACTCAAAGAAGAATTCATTAAGGGTGCGCCTGTCCTGGGGCAACAAAGATTCGAGAATGTTCGAGATAAAACTGCCTTAGCCGGATATCTGGCAGACAGATAGAGAATATATAGTAGAGCCTGCTAATCGCCACACACAGCCCCTCTACCACTGCCAGTTCATGGCCCTCTTAATGAATTCAACACGGAGAATGACTTTCGTTTTTTTTTCTCGTCCGTCTCTGCGTCCGGCTAATTATAACGCACCAAAACAGTTTATCTATCCAAATAGTATTGCGGCGCTATTTCATAATTTCTGGAAACAATTTCAATGGCCCAATTGCCGGTTTCGGCCATCTTTGTTGTGCGCGTGGAGTGCGAAGACCAAAGGCGATCTCTGCGCGGTGCTGAAGTCCCCAGAACATGAATGGGTCCCCATTCACCATTTCGAGTTTATCTCTTTTGGTAGTGGAAAAAGCCCAAAAAAAGCGAGGCACGACACACACCAACAAGCAGGAGAGCACACACACATGGCATAATTTGAAAGCACAAAAAAAAAACACAAAGTTTTTGTAATTTATGTTTTCGCTGTACGAAGTCTTTAGCAAGTGGAGAGTAGCCCCAAAGTCATCATTCCGACTTTGAAATACCCGCTAAGCGGTTGTATTTGCAGCATTTTACTATTAGATGCCCAAAACCAAACTGAAGTATTTGTCTGCCACTTACATATACATTCAATATACCCCTTGTGCAGTACGCTAGCGGGGTATGCAGAGAGAACGCACCGCAAAACACTCCCAAATAATGATACAAGAGGAAAAGGGAAACAGAAACACACAAAAAAAAAAACGAAACAGAGAACCGAAGAAAGAGACATAACACAGGCTGAAGCAGAGGCAGAAACAGCAACTAGTTGCTTCTTAGCATTGCGTATACGTCGGGAAGTTCTCGAGCCATTTTGGTTCTCATGCACACACACAAACACACACATGCAGCCGGCAAGCGCTCTCTCTCTTTCACTCTCTTTGACTTTCTGTCTCTGTCTCCGAATTCTTTCTCTTCTGGCCATCATCCTGAAGCTTGTGCTGCGGTGTCTCTCCGGGAATTTTTGGTCTGTAACACTGGAGGTTGACCCGATCGGAACCATTCACATTCAGCAGAACTTGAGTAACACACACACAGGCACACACTCACACTCACACACACACACATACATAGTCTGGCTGATAAACTGTCTCGCTGCTGCCGCTACGCCGCTACGCCGCTGCTGCCGTTGCTGCTGCTGCTGCCTGCTGCTGGCTTGTGCTGTGCGGTTTATACTGCCAACACATTCTGATTTCCCCTTAGTTATCTTCAGTCCGTCGCGTCGCTCGCATCGCTTTAAGAGCCGGATCAGATCAGGGCACCCGTGCGGCAGTATTTCGAAAAGGAAACAAGTAAAGCAAATAGCAAATAGTCGAACCCCCAACAAGCCCCAAACCACAACATGAAGAAAGAAAGCAACGCCACACACCAGCACAGCACAGCGCAAGAACAGAGCACAACAGCAGCGCCCATTTTTATATGCTCCACATATGTATATATATATATACATATGTATACCCGCACGCCTCCATATGTATATATGTAGTATAGGCGGACAAATGTATAATCAGATACTGATATATGTACCACATATACATGCGTACGCACATACATATGTGCATATGCATGTGCCAGAAGTATTTATAAGCGTGTTGTTTCGCTTCAGGCTGATCCTGCTTCTTCTTCTTCTGTCCGTTCCTCACGTTGTTGCTGCTGCTGTTGCTGTTGTTGCTGCTGTTGCTGCTGCTGTTGCTGTTGACTTTTAACTTTCGCTTTTACTGTGTCAGCATCCCCGCGCTTACTTTCGCTTTCTCACACCACAAAAATTCTTTGCAGCGCGCCAAAAATAAGAACAGAACTTTGTTTTATAACACTCGATAAACGCACTCGAATCCCCCCAAAGACACCGACTGCAGCGGCTGCAACGCCACAAAATAGAGGAAACATAGAGGTAAGATCGCTCACACAGAGACACACGACATCGATGCAGCCCGTACCGTACCGATCGCCCATCCCCAGTCTCGAAACGGGTTTTTGTGGCCAAAAACACACACAGACAGACTCACACACACACACACACAGCATGAGGGCAGAACTTCAGTAGATGTGGACTCAACATCAACAAATGTTCCCACTTCGTCCAAAGTGGCCAAAAGGGAAACGTTGGCCAATACCGGGAACCGGCAGCACAAACGCAACGCACTCGTAAACGGCTTTCGAGCGCCTTTTGTGGCGCAATTTCTTAGCCGTCTTTGTTGCCTTGTTTTCTGCCATCTCTGTCCGTGCTTGCCTCCTCCGCTCCCTGAACTTGAACAAAGAAAATGAAATGAGCTTACGTTAGATCGATAGTATTTAATGAGCCTCCACTGAGCCTCCCAGCCACTGAGCCTGAGAACAGCTCTGAATTGTTAACAGGCTCTGAACTGCAGCCACTTCAAATGCAAATCCCAAGTCGATCTTTCGGGGCCTGTCCCCCAGATTGCGTGAGTCAGCGATCCAGTTTTTGGCATTCACCCCCAAGGTGAATCTCTTCGCGTGGCTCCAAATGATTTCGATCTGACAACCGGTTGCCGGTAAAAAGCAAACAAAACAGCGCTAATAGCATGTACGAAGATAAAAGTCAAACGCAATCGAAACCCGAAACCCAAAACACCAGTCGCCCCCCCTCCCACATTCACATCCACATCCACATCCATATTCATATCCATAACCCATAGCCATATCGATGGGCCGTGACGCCCGTCAGAAGCATTAGAACTGCAAGATGCCAATGACCCAATTTTAGCGCCCCAACCCACTAATTGCGTTTCTTGGTAATTAATCAATATGCGTTGGAGCCAGAGACAGAAACAGAAACAAAAACAAAAACAGAGCCTGATTCAGAGCCAAGAGATTGGCATGTTGAAAACTACTTTTCGTTACTCGAATTTTGCTTTTAATTAGCAAACAGAAATACAAAAAAAATTAGAAATCTAAATTATAATTTTGCGAGTATTCGCTATTAAACATTCGGTAAACATGTTTTCTGCATTTACAATGGCCCACTCATTGCCAAATATCTGAGGTTTTCTCAACAGTAACAGCCAGAGCCACAACAGCCACAACAGCCACAAATTGAAAGAATTCCTGCGGTTGGATTCGGATTTCTCACTCATTCAACGTTCTGGTTGAGTGCTGCGCTTGCGTACCGGCACGCCAAATCATTCGGGGAGACGAAAGATTTCCAACTTTTTTTGGGGAATCTTTGAATGGAATTTTTCCACACCCAAGCCCAACCGTTGATTGTTAATCGGATTGTCAATATTTACGGGTACAGCTGATTAAAGACAGCTCTTGGCTGCACTTCCAGTTGCAGTGGCAGTTTGTTTGCTTCCTTGCTCTGCTTATCAGATGAGAGAATTCAAACTGAGGCGAAAAACAGCAAACAGATCAACAACAATAACAACAACAACAACAACAACAAAACAAAGGCAACAACATTTTGGCGCCAATGTCGGGGTCGGATCGTTCAGTGGATCGCCCGATTCGGGGTCAGTTGAAAACTCAAACAGAGCCGTGAGAGATGTGAAACAGTGGCTGGAGGAGGCTGGCGGGGCAGTGCCTGGACAAAGCCACGTGCAGATAACCCAATAAACGAATGTATAAATAACAATTTACATACATACACAGCAAATCACGACCTGCTGTTAGTCCCATCCAATCTCGATGCACCCCCCTGCCTGCCCCTGCCTCTGCCCCTGCCTCTGCCCCTACTAATGGCCCCATGACTGCCCTGCCCGTTGTTTGATTCCCGATCGACGACGACTCTCGATTTCCATTTGAAAGGCATTCGTCGTAATTGTGCGACTTACACTTATTTTCCATAATTTAAACATGTTAATTGATTATGAATACCATGCTCTACTTCCGACAAAAAAAGAAGAGTGGAGCCATCACGGACCACGGACCCTAGACCCCTCGAAACCCGACCATTGATCGCTCCACTAATTGTCGCGGGCCTTTGTTCGTGCCGATAGTAAGTAGTGTGGTCAACGCGCCAACAGCTGGCTGATACGCGCAGCCAGGGGCTGTGAGATAGAGAACTGTGTCAGCGACAGACAGACAGACACACAGACAGACGGACGGACAGAAGCCCCGAAAGATACAAGTTGGAACATACAGTGGAACTACTCCCCGTACACATAAGATATCGCATACTCCTTGGACCCGCTCTGGGTGAAAGACCGACGACGGCAGTCGTTCAATGAACTTGACAGCAGCTCAGCAGCTGCTCTGAAGTGTCTCCAGGCCAATCCAAATCGAAATGGGGACACTTCCAGTGGAGTGGAGTGTTGTGTTGGATTGTGAAGAGACTTCCTAGGGGCATACAGGGCATACACGATTCGGTGTGTTGCTCTCTCTCCCGCTCTCTGTTGGATTCGTTGCTGCTCCAGACATTTGAGGCTGCCATTTACGGCGCTCGCACCATTTTGGGACCTGCCTGCCTGCCTGCCTCTTGGCCAGCTAATTAATATTTTGAGCATAAAGTTGTTTAACGATTGCTTCACTTGTACCTACAAATTGCGGCGCTCCGCAACGAGAGCTGGATGTGGAACCTGTCGCTGGCAATGGCAAAACCATCTAAATGGGTACGCCACGCACTGCACTCAGCACTCGACGAAGAACCGGACGGGACGGGACGGGACGGGACGCGACGCGACGCCTAAAGTTGCATGTTAAAAATAAAAGAGAAGAGCCAGACACTACATATGACAGATGGATGGATGTATAAAGAGACGGGATAGTGCCACATACATATGTACGCAACACACACACACAGGCTCAGAGGGAGACAGAGATACATATGTACGAAGAAAGATAAAGATACAAATACTACTGGGAGATACGCTCGCACTCGGAGTCGAACCCGACGACAGGAAAATATCTTAAGAAATCGCCGTTTACGTTTTTCCCTCTTCCTTACTTCCGTCTGTCTGTCTGTCTGTCTGTCTGTCTGCCCCTCGTTGTGTCTGCCCCAACCACTTGGACACCAAACATAGTACATATGTGCGGATTACCACCTATAACATTTATTAGATCAATCGACATCGGGCGTCAAATTTAAACGACTGTCAATAGACACAATTGGCGCTGACAACTTGTGACCTTACGTCCCCCCTGGTCATTCAATGGCCACCGCCTCCTGCCTCTGTCCTCTGGCCTCTGCCTTCTGGCTCTGCCATTCACCGATGATGGATGGGAGGGAGGCGCTGTTTGCTCGCAGCGGGATTAGCTTACCAGTGGCGGGAGGGGAGGCCACAGACGGAAGGCCACAGGAGCCGTGTCACATTATCCACCACTTGCGGGGCCAAACCCAGAGAGCAAACAGAACAGAACAGAACAGAAAGGGAGTAAACGTGGCATGTTCAGTAGAACAAAGCGGGAATACTCTAACCAAAAACCCAAGGGAATTAAAGTTTGAAGAGAAGTACAGATCAATTTCTATAGCTATTGCTGATGAAGAAAAGAAAGTCTCAGTCCACAGTTTGAACCCTGACAGAGCCCAGAGAATAGTCTTGTTACCCCCCAAAACACTTTTTGGGTGCGTCCTGCGCCAATTTGTAGCTTAAGAAACACTTCGACATGGCTACAATATGGGATCGGGCAACAAGTAAATGCTTGGGCGGGTGTCTATTTATTTATAGGCGCTGCTGCGGCTGGTGGCTGCTGGCTGGTGGCTGTTGCAAGCCAGTTATGGCACGATACTTGAAGGGCTTCCTCCTCCATGTGCCTCTCGGTTCTCGGTTCTTGGCTCTGGGTTCTCAGTGCTTCCTCATCCGCCTGCCGCGAGGTCATTTGGGCATGAAACTGAAAACAAAATCTGAAATACGAGGCGCGGATCGGGTCGGTTGGGTTTCGGCATCGACTTCGATGGGTGTGCTTGTGCAGGTGGGAAGGGGGTGGGGGGCCAGCCACACTTTTCGATTGCATAACAAACAAGAGTTCTGCAAGGGTTACGCTACGACAACTATTTCTGGCGACTGTTTCTGTGTGGCCTATCGCAGCTACTTTATGGGATCCCATAAATTGGCTTGGTCAATGGCATGCCACCAAACCACCATCACCACCATCACCACCATCATAGCCGAAATTTGGCCATAAAGGAAACGAAATTATCAGGGAGGGCGCGTGGTCACATGGTGGAGCTGCTGCTGCCATGGGCGGGTTGCCAGGTACAAATCTCTCTCTATCTGGTGCACCCAACAGGAAAAAGCAAAGGCAAATCCGCTGCGATAAGGACAAATCTGGAGACGTAATCAATTAATTTATGGAACGTAGACTCCCGTAGACAGCAAACAGCTAACAAAGGGCTCTATGCCACGGTTAGCTGCCGCTTATCCGGGCTTTATCTGATTGCCAGCCAATCTCTGTTATTATCTGACAATTACGGGCGACTACTGCGGCTACTGGGACCATTTCTGGGGGGTATCGTTTTGGAATATCTCGCGCGGGCTGGCTTACATCAGAGCTGTAAGTCTTTCGGCAATCTAACAACGGGATCTACGAGTTCTACTGCTGCCACAAGTCGCCTAGCAATTGGAACAGATTAGATTAAGGCAACGGGGCAGGTCTCAAGGCCAGAAGTTTGTTAGCCGCAAGATCCAAGATGTGGACAAACAAGAAAAATAATCAAACGAAAAGGCGCACTCGTACTCGTATAATGTATACATATATATTATGTGCAGAGAGATTCACTGTACCCTGCACACCGTAGTACCTATACACATGTGTGACTGGCATACAGAATGATCTCTTAAGTCGCAGAGCCAGAGGCAGAGACTCCTCCGATGTATTTTGGATACATAATTGCAAATTCCAATTCATATTTGAATATTTCTGTTGTTGTTGACGCACTCCCGAGAGTGTATATCCATCCGTTTGGCCCTGGCATTGGCCTGACGTTTGACATCCCAACAATACCTACCCGATACCCCCCCATGCCGCACCACTTCCATGAGTGGTTGCCATTTCCCCGGATTGACGTCGATTCTGATAAACAGCGAAAACCTTTCACAGCCCGCACACCTTTTGGCTATCGCGGGCAGATATGTGGTCAGGTGCATGGAGAGTAGCATAGAGCTCGAAGCTGTTCGATTGTGGGCACGTGACACTTAAAAATAGACATATGTACATATCCATGGGAATATTCTCGGGCAAATGAGCAATTGACTGACATGGGGGCGTATACGCAATGCGGCCCACGGCAAAAACTGAAATCGAAAGCGAAAGCAAATGACGAAGGCGAAGGCCATTTCGATTAGGTAAACATTTGCATAACACCCAAACGGCAGAGGTGGCATGGCTATATCTACACATATGTATCTATATCTATAAGATCTTTACTGATCCTCTCTCTCTCTCTCTCTATCTCACTTCTCTCCACAGCCCCGCAATGGCCACACAGCAAACGAAATCACAGGACGAACTGGCATCGGCCCGCGCCTTGGTGTCCAAGCAGCCAGCCATTGTCATCAAGAAGGTGGATAACGATGAGCAGGAGGAGGAGGAGGAAATCGAAGAGGCAGCAGTGGTGGTGCCCCCGGACAGCGGCTGGGCCTGGGTGGTGATGGTGGCCTCCTTCCTCTGCTGCACGGTGATCGATGGCATCGTCTTCTGCTCCTCGATGATACAGGTGCAGCTCATGGCTGAGTTCGACGTGAGCAAGGCGTACGTGTCGTTCGTCTCGTCGCTGCTCAGTGGATGTTACCTGATGGCCGGTCCCTTTGTGAGCGCCCTGGCGAATCGCTTCGGCTTCCGGATCGTCACCATTACGGGGGCCATCTTCGCGGGCATCTGCTTCGGGCTGTCGTACTTCGCCACCAGCGTGGAGTATCTGTTCATCATCTACGGCGTGCTGGGCGGAATCGGCTTCTGCATGGTCTACATCCCGGCGGTGGTCATCATCGGCTTCTACTTTGAGAAGTGGCGCGCCCTGGCCACGGGCGTCGCCATGTGCGGCTCCGGCGTGGGCACCTTCGTCTTCGCACCACTGACCAAAATCATGCTGGAGTCGGGCTGGCGCCACACTCTGGCCATTCAGGGCATCATTGTGATGTCCTGCGCTCTGTTCGGATTGGCCTTCCGACCCATCCAGCCGATCACCCTGTCAGCGACCAATGAGGAGGCCGGCGACGAGCAGGAGAAGAGCAAGCTCAATGGCCACGGCAACACGGTGGCCCCCACGCCGCAGCTCCATCAGGCGGCGTTCACCAAGCCGCTGCCCGAGGGCCGCTTCGCCTACTCCATGCCAAACTCCGCCCACAACACGTACATGGGCGCTTCGCAGCGCAACCACTACCCCACCGCCCAGGAGATCTTCAAGGGCATGAACCTGGAGCGTCGTCCCTCGGGCACGGCGGCGGGCAGCAAGGGAACGGAGCTGAAGCAGCTGCGCAAGTCGCAGCCGACGACTCCCAACGGGGATCCCCAGCAGCTGACCTTCAACCTGCACAAGGAGCTGACGACGGTGGGCGAGAACGAGGAGGAGGCGGAGAACGATAACCTGTTGGAGACGGATGCCAAGCCAGTCACGATCCAGGCGCGTCGCCACACCGTCTCCGGACGTCGGCCCCAGGACCTGGCCAAGCGGGCAGCAGCCGCCGCCAACGATGCCAATCACGGACAGGCCACATCCACGTCGAGGCCCATGTACAGGGACGACATCTTCTTCTCCGGCTCGCTCACCCGGATCCCCCAGTACCAGTCGCAGACGTCGCTGGCCTACCACATGTCCGTCACGCGGCTGCCCACCAAGCAGGACATGCTGCAGGATCGGCAGAAGGGCTGCCGCATCTGCCCGGAGGCGGTGCGTCGCACCCTGGCCACCATGCTGGACACCAGCATGCTCAAGTCCGCATCCTTCATGTGCCTGGCCGTCAGTGGCTTCCTGACCATGATGGGCTTCTTTGTGCCCTTCAGCTTCGTGAAGGACCGTGCTGTGGCCGCGGGAATGACCGACGATCAGGGCACCGCTATACTTGCGGCCATTGGCCTGGTCAACACCATCGCTAGGATCGTGTGCGGCTCCCTCAGCTCCTTCCCCGCCGTCAAGCCACTCTGGCTGAACAACTTTGCCCTCACCGCTGGCGGCATTGCCACGATCTTCAGTGGCGTCATCGTCAGCGTCACCAGCCAGTGGATCTTTGCCATATTCTTCGGCATTTGCATTGCCTGCTTCTCGGCGCTGCGATCGCTGATTGCCGTGGAACTGATTGGACTCGAAAAGCTGACTAATGCCTACGGATTTCTCATGCTCTTCCAGGGCCTGGCCGCCACCTTTGGCACCCCCATTGCAGGTGAGTGATTCCCCATGACCCCCCCAGGCACTATGTACTGAATGTGGTTTGTCTTGTGGTTTGTAGGCGCCCTGTACGATGCCACCCAAAGCTACGACTTGGTATTCTACTTTGCCGGTGGGCTCATCGTGCTGTCCGCCTTCCTCTGCTACCCGCTCACCTGCGTGGCCAGGTGGGAGCAGGGGCGCAACGAGAAGATCACACCCCTGCCGGCAGCATAGACAGCATTAACCGCCAGACAACGAGACGTCCAACGACGTCACAACTACCGTCTTCTGATACGAGCACGGGTCGTGCGCGCGCTCCACTTAAGGTTTTTGGATGGGTGCTGCTGCTGCTGCTGCTGCTACTGGTGCTCGAATCCAACAGTAATTGCCAATCACTCGATGTTAAGATTGATGTCCATGTCCATGTCGATCGATATGGGAGATTGCCGAGGCATTGAGCAGCTGGCAGGGAGCAGGGAGCAGGCCCTGAAGCGTGGTGTTCCGCAAGTACTTTATACGTTAAGATTAGACTAAGTGTAATGTTCGTGCCTTCAGCCTAATCGAGTGCCTCCATACACAGATACAAACAGAGATACAGATACAGCGTGGTGTAAATTACGTTTCTATAAGCTTTAGTAGACAGACAGACAGACAGGCCGACAGGCCGACAGACGATCTGCGGAGAGTGGAGTGAACTAGAATTTAATAGCTATGCATAAGCGAGATAAAGTGAAGTGAAGTGAAGTGAAGAGTAGAGGGAGGAGAACCTAAAACATTATTAATATTATTATGATAGCTGTAAGCAGCTGTGCACATGGCTATGGCTGGGCCACAAGTCGACTGCCAAGTTAAGAATCGTTTGTTGAGTTTATTTAACATGATATGATGATACTATGCTGATGGGGAATGATGATGGGAGTCTTGAAGCTAGTTACAAACGAAAGCATTTGTTTATTTTATAGAGGAGATACTGCCCTGCACCACTGGGCACACTGGGCAGGTGGTATCTGCTGTTGTTTCCTACGAGTAGATAGATATACATTTATCAATCAATCAAAGACACAGGGCCCACTCGAGCGACCGCTCGTGGGGTGAATGCACTTCGCCCGCATGCAGCAATGCCGCTGCATTGCATTCGTTGGCTTAGCCGATTGTGGACAAGGCAAATAAACAAATGAACGAACGATGAGGCGGCATCTAACTGGAACAAGTGTGCCCTTCTGGCCGTTTGTGCTCCCAAACAAATAGACTTATGTATATACTACCTGCAGACAGATATACGGAAACAGATACAGACACGAAACCCCGCTACATACTCAAGCACGTGTTTACGTCTATCAATTAAAAATTACAATTACAATCTTATTATTTGTATTACATTTAAATGAATGATAATGATATATGAGAAATACCGAGATGCGAGAACACACAATAAAAACGATTCGAGTTATACAAACTAACAATCTTTGAAGGTTTATTATGTGATTTCTTTCCATTTAGCTGCCCTTCGCAGCATTCTGCCGGATATTAGCTTAGCTAAACGATTCAAGCGTGACTATGAACAAACGGCTATAGTTTTGGACTTAAATTATTCAATTAAATAAGTAACGCGTGGAGTCGTCCAGTGTCTTTGGTCATGGCACTGCACACCTCTTCTCCTACTTCTCCTGATTCAGTGAATTGATGAACTCCTCCAGCTTCTCCTGGATCTGCCGCACTTTGACTGTGCAACGAAATAAAAAGGCGGGCCATCAGAATGTGTTCGAATCAAAATGGACTTTTGCGCTTTCACTTACTCAGTTCCTCGGCGAGCAGCACGCGTTTGCCGGTCAGCAGATGGGCCTTTTTATCGTCGTCCTCGCTGAACTCATCCAGCACCGCCTTGATCTCCTTGTCCAGGCGCCTCGCCTCGCGGTTAATCACCTGCTGACGCAGCGCATTGCCCGTTATCTTGATGACCTGTTGGATGCGCCAGAAGAGCACCACATCACTGCAGGAGATCTGTTTTGGCAGAATGTGCTGATTAAATATACATAAATCCAAGTGAATTTCATTTGTTTCCTGCTTACCTCGCACTCGGCACCCTGCTGCGTGTACAGGTAGTACGCCTTGCGGCAATCCCTGGCCCGCTGCAATGCCTGATTCAGGAAGTGTCTGAACGAGAGAGAAAGGAGAAATGTGTAACCACCCACGATACACGATACACAGTGTGCTGTGCTCATCACTTACTTCCTGTAAACCGGGAACCATGTCTGACGAATGTAGTCTGTATCCACATCGACGTTCTCCCGCTGCACATTCTTGCGCACCGTCGTCAGCTCGTCGTAGCTCAGAGTGGGCAAATGTTTCTACAGGTTGGGCAGAATGTGCATCCATGTTATTGATAAGATAATTCCAGATGGATGGATGGATGGATGGATGGATGCACTGCGGAGCTTACCGAATCATTCTTGAGTATCTTGTCCAGTTCGTTTCTGACGCTGCGCCGCTTCTGCTGATCCTGTGTGAGGTATTCCCAGTGGGTGAGTCGCCTCATTTTGCCAGGTCCGAACATCTGCGACAGCGTCTCCTCCGTTTGCACGAGCTTGGCGTTGACGGAGGTCTCCAGGAACTTCACCGCCTGATCCCACTCCGCCTTGTCGTGCACGAAGCGATCCTCCAGCGTGTTCAGCTGTATCACGCGCAACATGTCGATGGCCTTGTCCTCCCAGCTGTGCCGCCGTATAGCCTCGTCCACCACTGCGCTCTTAAGCTGGTCGAAAATGCCGTCGTGGTCCTGGGACTTCTTGGAGTGGTCCATCAGCGAAATGAACTCCTGCTGCAGGGCCTCCCAGCCGGCCTCCACGGACTTGGCTGGCAGCGCCTGCTCGGCCCACTGCCGCAGCTTGATGTCCACCATCGTGTTGAAGGAATCTAGAAGGGCGGAAAGTGAGCAGAGATTAGTTGATCGCAATGGGCATGGAACATGGAACCAGTATGATAGAATGGTAAACAGAGCCACAAAGCACTCAAACACAGATGCACACTCGATTACCGCCATTCGATTTGATTATTGAATTAATTTAGGGGAATTTATGGGGCAACAAAGTTAACGGATCCGTCATAAAATGCCAAAAACAAATTAGTACCGTTCGGCCAAAACCCGTCTGTGGACTCCCAAAATCTGGCTTCATTACAGATGCTCGTAAATCTTCACATTTCACGCTTTCCGGCACCGCACATGACTGCCACAGAGCCTGCTGAATCACTTGGGAAGCCTGGGGCGATTAGCAATCGGTGTTAATGAAGTCGGAATTGGGGAGTACACAGTAAATTTACACGCATGATTCAATTGGAATTTGGACAGCAGCGAAGAAGCTTCAAACCGGTTTCCAGCTTTTCGGCGCATGTGATTCCATTCGCGTGATAAGTGCAAAATTAAACAAGCGACATCCACAGACACACCACACACACGTGAGGGAGGAGGGCATGTGCTTCCCCCGGTGCAGGCACCGCCTCCGGCTGCTCAACACACAACAAAAGACAATGCGACACAAAGGCGACGAATCGGGGGACGTGCCCCCGACGGTGACGATGATTAAACGATGACGACTGCGACGTTAAGAGCTTACGACTACAAAATATTACTTTGAGAACCTGACTGTGCAGCGGGCAGATAGATGTTCTCGAACACATAGTTCGAGAGCTTCTCCCAGAGCTTCGTGGTGAGGGTGTCGTCCCACTTCTTGGCGGAGATTTGGGAGAGCGTCACCACCTCGTCCAGTATTTCCCCTTTGGCCTTGTCGAACAGCTCATCGCGTCCAGATTCGCGCAATCTAAAAATAATTTTAAAATGTTCGGTAAACGGATTAAGGGTCGCCTTCGGCTGCTGCTCACCTGGGGAAGTTGTTCTTCCATTCCGTTTCCAGATTGAATCTGGTTGCCTTAAATGCATCCGCCTGCTGCTCAATGGTCTCCCGCACCATTTTCCAGAAACGATCTGAGACAGCCATGCTCAGATTACGGCTGGTCACCTGGTGGGGCATTATGACGCCGCGACGACTACAGAAGGAGCACAGGGAGCGGGATTAGCTTCAGAAGATAGCCAATGAATTGTATACTCACTGGAAGAGCTTGGAGTTCTTGAAGAAATCCTCCTCGTACTGACGAATGGCCTCTATGCTATCATCCTTGCGACCGCGGCCCGTCACCACAGCGTAGTAGCCAAGGGCCTTCATCGGGAAGAGCTTGCCAGAGAGTATTTTCCTAATCCTTTCGGGATCGGCCAGCTCCTCGGCCAAGTCCACCTTGGTGAGCACAAATATGGTGCGGCGACCCAGGGGATCGCACTGCATGACCAAATCGGTGACATTGCTGCGCTCCGCGTCCACGGATCCGTCCTGAATACAGAGTATGATGGCATTGGGATTGCTCATGTAGTGTTTGGTCATTTGGTGAATCGAGTCCTTTGTGTCCGAGGCCATGTCCACTGTCATAGTCTGAGAGAAAACACACACACACGCTACAGACTGGGAAACGCAGAAACAGAAAAAGCATCGCATACTAACCGAAATGATGCCCGGCAGATCCACCAGTACCATGCGCTGCAGTCCAGGGCCCTTGACTGTCATGGATATGACCTCATTGCTCACCGTCTTTCCACCGCGCACAGAGGCCCTCATCCGGAACTCCACCTCGCGGCGAAGTTCGGCCAAATCGGACTCCTTGGTCAGATCGTATTCCCGTTCCGAGTCGCGAAACTGGGCCACATGGTAGGGTCCCTCGGCGAGTGTTACTTTGACCGGGGCACGAGTCATCATCTCACCACTGCCGCGTGGAAAGATGCGCGCCTTGGCTATGGACTCCAGCACCGAGGTCTTGCCGCTGCTCTGGTCCCCGACCACAACGACACGCGGCAGATGATCCGCCATGGTGTAGCCCGTGTCGTAGCCGGTCAGCTCATCCAATACCTCCGAGTACATGTCGATGAGGGACTTTTTAATCTTCTTCGCTGAGGTCTTCTTGTTGGTCTTGAGCAGGATATACTGCGTGCGCAGATCTCGGTTCTCCTTCTCCATTTTCTCCAGCTCCTTTTGGTATTTGATCTGCACATTCATGATCTCTGTCTGCAGCGTTTCCACCTGATTCTGCATCTTTTCTATGTGGGGGAGGAACGTTATTCTTGGCTACTGTCTTCTGTGTGAGATTTCAGTTCAGGCATACCAAATTTCTTGCGGCTCTCGTCTGTGGTGATGCCCAGAGCGGCGACAGTTGTCTTGGAGCTTAGGTCCTCTTTGGCTGCAATGAAGTTGGCAATAAGTTTCGATTACAAAGGACTGGGTTCTCTCACTTTAAATTGGTTCAATGTTTGGAGGTCTGTAGTGTGTGTGTGTGTGTGTGTGTAACCTACTTTCGACAATTTGGGCTCCTTGATAGTCAGCCGCTTCGATGGCATCGTCCAGGCGACTGTCGAACCACGAGCGCCATTCCGACAACTTATCCTCGCCAAGCTGCTTGAGCTCCGGATCTACAAGCAACAAACACCCCAATATCAGTATCATTCAACGTGCAATGAGGTGCGTGAAATCAAAATCATACGCAAATTCGAACCAACTGAAGTGTACAATGAAGCATCCGAGCGGCGCCCCCACCATGACCATTTAAAGTGAGAGAGAGAGAGCGGCAGAGGGGAGATCAGTGTGGGTTGTACTCACCGATATCGATGGCATTCTTGACCACTGCACCGACCTCGAGCAGATTCTTTGAGAACTGGCTCCACCGCTCGCCCTGAGGCATGGCGTCCTGCAGCCACTTCATGTCGGGCAGGCCATCCTTCCAGTCCTCGTATTTCTGCAAGATCGCAATTTGATAAAAATGGCACCTTGCACATTATATAACACCGCAACGGAAACGTGAACTCACTTTGCTTAGGGACATGCCTCCGCCAATTGCACCACCCAGCACGAGGTACCGCAGCTTGAGGGCTCCCCTTAGAATGCGCACCACCAGCATGCCGTAGCCACGAGACGGAGGCGGAATCGACCAGCCCCTAGCTGGATTGCCGGCTAGCAGGAATTCTTCATGCTGACGGTGGCGCCCATTGCCACTTCCACCGCTATGCTGGTCGCGGGGCGCTCGACGTGGATGGCTGGTGATGTTGCATAGCGTGGAATGATTGCAGCAGACAACCTTCGTGGAGTAGACAACAGCCTTTTTTGCGGTACGCCTAAAACCAAACGAGAGTGGGGCGATGACGAAATCGGCAAACCAAAAGAAGCGAATGTTTGGCTTGCAGCCCTTGGACATAGCCATGCTTACCGGTAAGAGTTCTGATAGATGCGCAACATTATTGCTGATGGAAGCTGCAGTTGCCACACAGATTCTTTTGTTTATTTATGGGAAATTACTTAATTTTCCTTCCGCAAAAATTCATTTCTTCCTTCGAACAGTGTGACTGACCCAAAGAAATATACCGTAATATACCAAAAATTGATCGATATACCATATTGTAGGACATACGATAAATCATGAACGAATTTAACCCACCTAACCCCCCTCTATTTAAACAGGTGAATAACTTGAGTGGAAACCTTGGAAAGTTGTGCTGTTTTTTAAATTCGCCTTGTAGATGCGTCCTGTTATATGTAATCTTATAAAAAACGCAAACATTTGACTTGTTTTAAATTAGAATGATTTAATAGCTTCTAAGCGTAATATGACGACAGACAAAACAATTACGCTACCACTAAATTTATATATATATATGTATTCTCGCATATTTCTAATATATGTATATCGTATTGGGATAACTTTACTTTTTCAATTAATACACATGCATATTTGCTACGTAATATATTTCGCTTAACTATTTGTTTCTATTTATGTTTCTGTTTCCGTTTCCGCATCTATTAAGAGAAATTCACAACGGGAAAATACTTTCCCAGCCGCCGAATTTTCTTCATGGTCACAAAGCATTTAGAGCCGGTAACATGTATTGCTTTGGTAAGGCTTTTATCCTCCAAAATCAGATCGATCTCCTCGATTGAATTCAGATTATAAATATCTTTTGGTGTTTCGTTGGATTTCTTTTTGTTGCTTTTGCTATTGCTCTGGCTATTGTGGTTGTTGTTGTTATTGTTGTTGTGGTTCAAGTTCCTACTAAGATTGGTGTTATTATTAAAATATTGCTCTTGTTGAAGCGTAGCTTTGGCTGCGTTCAATGTGTTCATGATTTGGTCCTTGGCATCATGTGGGTCCGCTGCAGCAACTGGCAGCTTGGGCTTCGTCTCGGGCTCCTCATCCTCATAGTACTCTTCTTTTGTTTCGGCAACGGAGAATGTGCTGGTGATTAATGTGGATTGTGAATATCTTTGATCGATATGCTGTGTTGATGAGGACACCGCCTCGCCGTCGACGTAGCTGCGGTGACGCATCTCGTATTCCTGAGCCTCTGTGATGCGATCCAGCGACTGGCTCTCGCGCATGCGCCGCCTCCTGGTGGATGATGTGCCTGTTGAGCCCTCCATTACCACCGATTGCTGCTTCTCAGCTTGGGAATGCTTGTCCACATGATCCTTCGGCTGTTTTCTATTCTTCTGTGTGTGAGATTTGCGTGTTTCTTCAGATTTATTGGGCTGCAAATCGAATATAATCTTGAAATCTGTTGGACAGATGCAGAGGTTAGTGCGGCAGACTACTTACCTCCTTGCATTGTCCTTGTTCTTCCTTCTTGCCGCTTACGCCACTGCTTTTCGAGATGAAATTTGCCGCACTGCTGGCCGAACCAGGCGGCGGATAGAGTTGATCCTGCGAGTCGCTGGAGTCGTCGTGTGAGTCCCGCCGGTGCATGCGAAACCGTGTGGGAGTGTCGCCCACAAACTTGTTGATCTTCTTCTTGTTTCGCGTTTTTGTGTCATCGTCCGAGGCCTCCGAGCTGCTGCACGACGGGGTGCCTTTGTTGAGTTTTGTGCGACGGTGACTGAGCACCGGATTCTTGCTGCTGCTTGGCAGGGGCTTCAACTTGCCAATCTCCAGCTCCTTCAGGCCTCTCAGGGTGTCTTCGTCTATCTTGGCACTTTTCTCCATTTGCTTGAGCTTCTGAGCCAACGTAGCATCTACGGATACGACAATCTTTGTGCGTGAATTTCTAGGCACTCCCACGGCGGCAGGAACAGTGGGGAGGTTGCTCGTACGCTCCTGCACCGCCCGATGGAGGAGTCCCTCAGATGTAGACTCCAGCCGCGATGAGGTCACCTTTAGCTCATTTCCAACCACCGAACCCTCGCTGGCAGACTCTTCCTCGTCTTCCTCTCGCACAATACTGCACTTGCGACTCCGCTTGTCCTAGGCGAATGCGAATGGATTCACTTAATTGCAGGAAACTAATCGAAATGGTATTGCACTTACGGGCTTGCCGCCGTCGTTTGCTACTTGGGCTGCGGGTGTCACGTTAATGCTGATGGGCACCACCTTGGGGGCTTCTGTGGGACTGGGTTTCTCAGCTACTGGCTTGCGGTTCGCATCCCCCGCTCTGTGGAAGAAGGATATTAATTGTGTGTGTGTTCCTTTCGAATGGCTTTCAGCACTTACTTCATGCTTGCCTCATTGAGAAGCTTCTGCTTCTGTGCCTGCTCCTCTCGCCGCCTTCGCAGCCGTATTTCGGCCAGCAGAAAGTATGTGGCCGTTATATGATTGTACTTATTCTTGTCGAGAGCTCTGTTTCCAAGCAAAACGAAGGTTAGCCAGGATACAATGCTCTGTGGCGGTGTCTACTCACTGCACTATCTCCTCCTTGGACGCAATATTTCCATTGATCATTTTCTGTATGATAAAGGCATGATCCTCCTCACTGAGCTGCTCGCGGCTGACCAAAGGCAGAAAGTGCTCAGTGGATGTCGAGTCCGGCTCGTCGATTGGCTTCAGCCAGTCTGACGAGGCCAACTCCTCCACAGTAGCTCGCTTCTTGGGATCCCGCACCAGCATCGAACCAATCAGCGTGCGGCATTCTGCCGAAACGTGCGCGGGCACAGTGTACTTGCAATCCATGATCATGGTCAGAGTCTCCGAGTCGTTGGCCTTCTCGAATGGCGCCTGTCCGACCACCAACATGTACAGAATGACGCCAAGCGACCAAATATCTAAAAGATACAAAAGAAACATCAACACGAGTCAATTGCAAGCCAAATAGAAACACTCACCCACTGCAGGCGCATCGTAAGAATCGCCCAGCAAGATTTCCGGAGCCGAATAGGCCAGGCTGCCGCAGAAGGTTTCCAGCTTTTGGCCGGGCGAGAATTTGTTGCTGAACCCAAAGTCGGTGAGCTTGACGAGGCCGAGCTTCTCGAAAAACACCACATTCTCAGGCTTCAAGTCCCTGTGATTGCGTGTGCCGTGCCGTGACGCGAAACGAAGCGAAAAGTTACGTAAATTGCTGATCGGGGCTGCATTATCAGTGGGCGTGGATGCGAACTCACCGGTGCACAACGTGGAGCTGATGACAGTACGTGATCGCACGTAGGATTTGACGGAAATACTTTCGCGCCAGCTCCTCACTGAGTCCGGCTTCATGCTTCATTATGTAATCGTACAAATCTCCCCCGTCGCCCAGCTCCAGCACCAGGTACAGCTTGGTTTGTGTGTCAATAACTTCGTACAATCGCACCACATTCGGATGCTGTACCAGCTTCATGCAGCTGTTGTTTGGGTCAAGGTCAGACATTTCACATTAGTTTGCTCCTGGCTCCGCTCGGCTTGGTGTGTGCAATACTCACCGCACTTCCTGGAACAGATGAGCCTTAGAGACCTCGTCCAGCTTTGTTTTATCAACGACTTTCACCGCCACCTTTGCCCCGGTGAACACGTGACGTGCCAGCTTCACAACGGCAAAGTGGCCCGAGCCGAGTGTCTCCTCCAGATCGTACAGTCCGGCGATTTTGCCATCGCCCAGGCCACCAACGGGCTGCGTTTCCAGGGTCATGACGCGTCGAGTGCTTTTCAACTTTTCCTATTGAACGACAAGCCGCGTCGCCGAGCTGCCTATCCACCGAGCACAACTGTCCGCGATTAGCTAAAACTACAATTATAATGGGTAAGCATTTCGGGCCTCAGTTTTCATGGGAAAAGCTGGTTTGGTTCAACTGGAATATTTTTTCTAATAAGCATCGACCTTCATCCTTTTTATTTTGGCTTTTGCACTAGCCAGGAGCAGCAGCAGAGCAAATAGAGGCAGGGCTGTTACACAAGGGGATGGATGTGGAAAGGCAGGGCTGTTACCGATTTAGAGCAGAGCCTCCTCCAGCAGCCGCAGCAGGAAAAACTATAATATGCAGGACATTTTGCAATTGCTGTGGTTGAAGCTTGCCTTTACGCTGTCAATAAAACGGTCTCGAACAAAACACTTTTGCGTTATCACTCATAAAAAATGAAATCTTAGAATCTTTGTATACACATTTCTGTGCATGGTACTTATCGGACTTATCATTAGGATTGTTGATTTTAGATCGATATATCGATATAGGTGATATTTTTTATTTTTGATACGATACTTTTCTGGCCGACTATATCAAGAATCGATATTTTTAGAAAACATCAACCTAATAAACTGCGCGCAACACCTTCCGCTAAAACAAGATAAACAACTTTTATACAAAAATGGACAGGCTGTTTTTTGTCGCTTTTTGATCACCGAGGAAATTGTCATGGGACTATTAAATTTTGAAAAAGTAGCATTGCCCATCGCCTCGACTGCGATAATCTGCGACGACTCATCGATTGGCCATATCGGTAGCTTCTCGTCCGTCCCCTGCTCAAATCCAAATTCTCAATAAAAATACAAAATATCCAAATATATTTCAAACCAACAGATAATAAATAGGATGAGTTTAGGTTTTAACACACAATCGCAAAGTACACATGTAGAAAGCAATAATCGCACCGTGGAGTCGGAGGTGAGTGTGAGGTGAGACCACGAGCTGGACTGTCTCCCTTTCGTTCGTTCGCATTGTTTTGACCAATCAGAAGTGAACTCTATTACATGACTTTCGATTTTGTTCATTGATAAGCGTGTGAAATTGTTCGTCCTTTGCCCTTCCAGCACGCAAACGGACACGCCATGGCAGATGCCGACCATGACCCGTACTCAGACGAAAGAAACATGAATTCCCACGAAGCACTCTTCAGTGGCTCTCTGAACTCGCTTGCCCAGAAAGACGAGAGAGTGGAGGAGGATGTCATCGGGTCCGGGACAGGCCTTGTCGGACTGCAAAACATTGCCAACACATGCTACATGAATTCGGCGCTGCAAGCGCTGAGTAATCTGCCGCCCATGACCCACTACTTCATCAACTGCAGCGATCTGGTGGAGTACATTGCGGATCAGAGTGCAATTGCACGTATCTGCAAGCCAGCGGGGCTGGCCAAGAGCTACAGGCGCCTGATGCAGGAAATCTGGATAGACATAGAAGACCCCAAAGGTAGATTCGCAATTGATATGATCAGAGTGCTATAACAGAGTGTTTGACTTGCAGAATACATTGCTCCGCGTGGCATTTTGTATGGCATACGGTCAGTGCATCCGATGTTTCGGGGCTACCAACAGCATGACACGCAGGAGTTTCTTCGCTGCTTCATGGACCAATTGCATGAGGAACTGACGGAACAGGTTTTTGTACAGTCGCATCAGCAACAATCGCCACATCAGCAGAACAAGCAGCCCAACGAAACGGACGACGACAACGAGGACGAAGCGCCGCCTTCCTCGCATTCGCCGACAGGCTCTGAAAGCGATTATGAAACGTGTGAGAGCAGCATGTCGGAATTCACGGGGGAAGTCCTGATAAACACCGAATACTTTGTTACGCCGAGCCGAACTTCCGTGGGTTCCAGCTCTGCGATCCCAGAGGCTCCTCCAAAGCAGCAACAACAGCAGCAGCGACAGCAGAAGCAACGTGAAACATCGCCAGAGCAGAAACCACCGGTAGAGTCGGCTCGTTCTATCATAAGCGACGTGTTTGACGGCAAACTCCTGTCTGCCGTTCAGTGCCTTACCTGCGATCGCGTGTCCTCACGGCAGGAAACATTCCAGGATCTTTCACTGCCCATTCCGACACGAGACTTCCTCAATGTGCTGCACCAGACGCACAGCCTAAGTGTTCAGAGTCTGAATGCCGCCGAAGCATCGAGCAGAACCAACGATGGCTGGTTGGCGTGGATGTGGGGCGTGTTCCGATCGTGGCTGTACGGTCCCTCGGTCACACTCTACGATTGCATGGCCAGTTTCTTCAGTGCGGATGAACTTAAGGGCGACAACATGTACAGGTGAGATCATTGCATTGGTCACCTCAGTGGATTCGATGCCTAATTGTCGGCCATTCATTGCAGCTGCTCGCGATGCAACAAACTGCGAACGGGCATCAAGTACTCGCGTGTCCTCAACCTGCCCGAGGTGCTGTGCATCCACCTGAAGCGCTTCCGACACGATCTGTCCTACAGCTCGAAGATCTCGTCGCACGTTTACTTCCCCCTGGAGGGCTTCGATATGCGGCCGTACGTGCACAAGCTATGCAGGAGCGAGGTGCCCATCTACAATCTTTCGTCCGTAATCTGCCACCATGGCACCGTCGGCGGCGGCCACTACACCTGCTATGCACGCAACACTCTGAACGGACGCTGGTACGAGTTCGACGACCAGTTCGTGAACGAGGTGAATCCCGATGTGGTGCAAAACTGCCAGGCCTACGTGCTCTTCTACCAGAAGCACAATCCCCTGATGAAGCTCATCCGCGAGGAAGCCATTCTTCTGTCCAATGCGCACCCGATCTGTGATTCGGACATTCAGTTCTATGTGACGCGCGAGTGGCTCTCTCGGCTGGCCACCTTCTCCGAGCCGGGCCCCATCAGTAACCAGGAGATGCTGTGTCCCCATGGCGGCGTCCTACATTCCAAGATACCCATGATCAGCCAGATTGCAGTGCCGATATCCCAGCCCCTTTGGGACTATCTGTGCAAAAACTTCGGCGGTGGACCGCCAGTGAACATCCTCTTTGAGTGCGAGATCTGCAAGCGGGCGGCAGAGGCGCTCTGCCGGCGACAGCAGCACGAGCTCAACGATTTCACCAAATTGAACGGGCTCCAAAGCGAGTTCGACTCCTCTGCCATCTATGCCATTGACATGCCCTGGCTGCGCTCCTGGCAGAACTTTTCACGCGGTAAGACCTCCAAGGAGCCGGGCCCCATCAAGAACGAGGGCATATGCGCTTCCACGGACAGCAGCTGCACCATCCGGTGTGTGAGGATCGGATCCGATTATGCCCAGCTCAATGCACGCTCATGGCGGCTCCTGCACGGCATTTATGGCGGCGGACCAGAGATCTTGCTGCGACAGGCTCTCTCCGACGACGACGAAGCGGAGATCGAAATCATCGAACAGGATGCCGACTGCTATGACGCGCAGGAGCCGGAGGCGGAAGAGGAGGATATCACGGCCGATAGCTATCAGGGTAATCATTCCGACACCGAAAGCAGCCGAGGACGCCGCACCACCCCGAGTCCGAGTGTGAGTCCCGGACCCTCGCCAAAGCCGCCGCAGACAGTCGAGACGACGCCCACCCCCGAGCAGCACAACACCCCCAAATCGAAGCGCAGCAGAACCAGCGTGACTGCCCTGCGGCTAAACATGCGCAAGCGGGGGAAGCGCAATCGGAGCAGCTTCAAGCACGCTGACATGTTTGGAGCCAAAGGTCAGCCAGTCCCCAAATTCAGCCACAGAATGAGGTTTATCATTTCTGTTTTCTGCACTTTCAGGGAACTACAATGCCAACACCAATGCGGACCCCCCAGCAGCAGCAGCAGCAGAGCATCGGGATAAGGATAGGGAAAAGGAGAAGGAGAAGGAAAAAACCAGTGCATTTCAGAGCGAATACAGCATACCAATATCGATACCATTCCAAAGCGACAATTTCCAGGTCAACGGCTTGCCGGAGAAGACGCGGGAGAAGGGCAAGCGGCGGAACAGTGTCAGCGGCAGCAAGACCAACAACAAGGAGAATGTCACTCTGCAGAAGTTTGTGACGGTGCGCGAGACGAATGGAACCGCGGACGAGACTGATATTTGATCGATAGCGCAAGCGGTTCCCAAGCCGATAAACAGGCCAAAATCAAAGTTTAGGCGCAGACAGAAGCGCCATTAGTTATATACCTCAGTGTATAGCTGGGTGGAGGCTATATAAATTGTGTATAAATTGTATTTATGAGTTGATGATTTGAGTATTGCTATCACGCAGACAACTTTCTAGTTTTACTAGCTATAATTGACCCCAGGGACAGAGAGATGGAGAGGGCTCCTTGCCGACATGAGCACTCAAACGATTGTACATAAAATAGGCAGATTTAATTGAATTGGAAAATAAATCAGATTATGCATGCATCTACAACGGACTCTGAAGAGACTTTTAGTTCAGTAAAAGTTTTCTTTTTCATGTTTTAAAGGATACTTTTAGGGGTGAGTGCCTCGGCCACACATGAGTGTGTGCGTTCAGCACAGCATTGGTCCACTCCACAGTGCCACAGTGGGTTATTTATAGAGTCCCTACCCCCCATCCACCCATCCCTCACCCATGTACAGGCCACACACAGATGTGCTCTTCTAATGAACACAGCCCGACAGCTCGGCATAGTTTCAAGAGACCCAACGAATCGTCGTGTGCCAGTGGACTCGACTCGACGCTCGTGTGGATGCACACACCGCACTGATAGGTGTACGCGCTGGGCTGCTATCTGTTAGTGTGTAGGAGAATCTCGTTGGAAAAGCATCGGTGGTCCACTGCTCATCGATTGCGATGAATCCCTGCAATGTGTGCGAGCAGCCGACCAAGAGCAAGTGCTCCAACTGCAACCAGGTATCCTACTGCAGCGTGCAGCACCAGAAGCAGGACTGGAAGGCCCACAAGTCCAGCTGCCACCCATTCAAGGTAAAAACTTTCCCGAAGTTTTCCCCGCAGCGACATAACCTCAACCTCTACCACCCTTTCGCTTTCGCTATCAGATTTCTCACAATGAGCTGCTCGGACGACACTTGGTGGCCACGCGCACCATAAAGCCCCACGAGATCATACTGAAGGAAGCGCCGCTGGTGCGGGGACCAGCCCAGATCACGACCCCCGTCTGCATGGGTTGCCTCAACAGCATCGAGCCTGAGGATCACATCGAGTGCGACCTGTGCGGCTGGCCGCTGTGTGGGCCCGAGTGCAAGTCGCTCGATGAGCATCGGGCGGAGTGTCAGCTCACCCAGGAGCGGGGTCAGAAGGTCAATGTGAACGAGTTCAACGGCTCCCATCCGCTGTACACCTGCGTGAGCACCGTGCGATGTCTGCTCATCGGCGAGACGAGTCCGGAGAAGGCGAGCAAGTTCCAGGAGCTCGAGTCGCTGGAGTCGACCAGGCGTGGCTCCAACCAGTGGAAGGCGGACCTGGCCAGCATTGGCCAGTTCATACCCAAGTAGGTAGCCCGCGGGCAGGACTCTCTGGCTGAGATTCTAATTGAATCGATTCCCGCGCAGGTTCTTCAAGACGCAGAGGTTCAGCGAGGAGGAGGTGATGAGAGCAGTGGGCGCCTTGCAGATCAATGGCCACGAAGTGCCCACCTCGGATCCGCCGCACGTGGCAGTCTTCTACACGGCATCCTTCACGGAGCACTCCTGCTTGCCGAACCTGGCCAAGAGCTTCAACAAGAACGGCCACTGCATCCTGTGGGCGCCGCGCGAGATCAAGAAGAACGCCCACCTGAGCATCTGCTACTCGGATGCCATGTGGGGCACCGCCGACCGGCAGCGCCATCTCGTCCAGACGAAGCTCTTCAAGTGCGCCTGCGCACGCTGCACAGATGTCACGGAGCTGGGCACCAACTACAGCGCCATCAAGTGCGAGGATCGCCGTTGCGATGGTCTGATGTTGCCCAGCAAATCCGACGATTGGAATGCAAGTTGGAAGTGCCGCGAGTGCCAGAAGCAGGTGCAGAGGCACTACATCGATGGCATCCTAGAGCGGGCGGGCAAGGACCTGCAGAGCATGGAGAAGACGGCCGAAAATGGTTTGAAGTGAGCAATTGACAGGTGGAAAAGTGGTCCGCAACTCGTTCTCATCCCTTCCTACTGCAGATACCTGAAGCACTACGAAAAGTGGCTGCCGCCGCGTCACTTCCACATGAGCGAGGTGAAGATTCTGCTGGTGCAGCTCCTGGCCAAGGATCAGCAAGAGCTTATGGTGCTTGCCGACGACAAGCTGGCGCTGAAGCTGCAGTTCGCCTGGGAGCTTGTCCAGCTATACGAGACCATTGCCTCATGTAAGTGAGATTGCCTTTGGGGAGCGTTATCTCAAGTGTTATGTTCTGTTATCTACAGGTGAGGTACGCACCCTCGGCACCCTCTGCTTCGAGCTGCACTCGGCCATTGCCGAGCAAACGCGTCGCGTCTCCCTGGAGACGAGTCTGTCACCCAAGGAGCGGCTGGAGGAGTCCCTGCTGTACGTGGACAAGTGCGTGAACTACCTGCAGTACGAGTCGGACATCTTTGTGGAGGGGCACATTCTCAAGCAGGCCAAAATCAATCGCGATGCCCTGCGCATGGTCATGAGGATCTCCTAGCTGCCCCCCATCCCATCCATGGCCCAGCAATTGATTCAGAGTACTCATGTCGTCCACAGATAGCAGCAATTGTTCAGAAGCACCAAACCAGCCCCACCGCTGGGGGTCTCAAGTGTATGCCTGTTTGGCAATTAACAATAAATTCTCATTACTGGATTTGCTTAATTATCTACACCCGCGATTCCCTCCAATCGGATTTGCCAGTGCCATTCACGGCACACGTAAAATCTGCAGAGTCAGAGTCAGTCCCTGGTCACGTCATAGCCGGGTGACCGTATCTAATTCGATTTGTACAATATATTCGGGCGCGTGAGGAAGGCCCGATAAGGATAAGATATTCCGTGTTTGCGTGTGTTTGTACTTTGTAGTCATGGCTGGCTAGTCTTTCCCTCCTTCGGCTGCACTCCCTCCTCAACTCTCAGCGTTTTATAGCTGAGTGATTTGATCAGTGGCAAGCTGTTCCCCAAAATCAAAGAAATCGAAGGGGGAATTACTCATAATACATTCATAGACTACTTCGAGTAGAGTAGAGCGTGGTGATAACGATGACTTTGCTTATCTGATGCACGAAGGTAATGGAAAAAGTCTTCTTTATCTTAGTGCACATAAAAAGCACTTTTATAGCTCAGCTTAAATCAGTTTTAATCGGTGGGCTTACATTCGTTATCCAAAAGTCAGGAAGAAGGACTCACAATTGACTCCTGGGTACATCTATCAGATGATGAAATACTCACCTCAATATGTGTAATCTATGGAAAACACTTGGCCATGCCATGATCGATTGGATCTTGGATATGCAATTAATGGATTTATTGCATTTAAGCGTTTGTACGTATGCCCCCCTGATATACTATCAAATTTCGTAGCCAATTGATCATGGAGTATGTATGTATGTATGTATGTGCTGGCTTTGAGGATACCCCCACCGCAGGTTCATTTAGAAACCCATTGGAAATTCCTCCTCCTTTGACGCTGTCATAGCATTCCATTGGGAGCACTCACATTCCACGCTTTCACGTGCTGTGGTAATTCATTTCCATTTCAGGTATTTCGCCAGCAGACCAGAATCACCGTTAGTCTTAAGAATTGGGCACTTGTTCAATTAACATGGTCGATAAGCACTATCAGACGTGATAACCGTCGATTGTATGGCTTTTCCTGCTCGAAGCTTTATGAATATATAAATGCCCGCGCCTGTGCACACATTTTAATAGTCTTTTTCGCTGAGCTCCAGCACCAGGCGGTCTCTGATACCTTAAACGGATTGATACTGATATTGATATTGATCGATAGTGTGACTTTTCCTTCGAGACATACACAGGATGACCGCCTCGAATGGCGACATCGTCAAGGACGATGACAAATCGCGTTTGCAGTACAAAACGAACATCGTCCTGGGCTCATCTGCATTCGAAGACCAGGACAAAGACTCAAAAAACTTGTAAGTTAGATTACCCGCCATAGTGCTGCCATATACCAGATCAAAGGACCTACTCCAAAGTGAATGCATATATGAATCATTGTGAAATTCTTCAAGAAAGATTCAGCGTGGAGTAGCAAAAACAGTGTAGTGAAATTATAGTTCAGATTCTGAACTTCAGAACATACCAAACCTAAGTGATAATAGAGTTCCGCGCATAATCTTGGGAAGGGAAGGAATTTTATGATTTTGTTCTTGTGAAATATGTGTACCTCTGCCATTGTTTCTGTACGAAATACCAAAGAAGTTTTTCACCTTTCACCGAAAGCGCATTTCAACGATGACATAGCTAATTCATATCTAATAAAACATCCAAATGGCGACCTTGTGAATACCCTTTCGAACCCACTCAAGCCTCCTCGAGGTGTGCAAATATGGAAACAAAAGTGACAAAGATTTACTACAGATTCCACTCAGCTTAATAGTTGAATTTTGAGGATTCATTGAGATCATTTCGAGTGTCAGTTCTGTATAAAGTAGTGTTGGCTTCACAGGAGCAACACTTGGCTTAACAAGTGAACACCAGTAGAAATTGCTAATGTACATGTGCCTTGTGTTGCTGTATGTGTGTTCCTGCAAGTGCAAAGCAAGCAGCATCAATCTGTACTAATGGGTTAGAGCGGGACAACTTTTGTATACAGCTGATCTACAGGCCCTTCTGCTGGTTTCTCTCTTTCTCTCGTTCATTGTGGATACGACCAATGAGAAAATAATTAATCATTATTTGAATATTAAACTATAAACTGACTGCAATAAACAACAGTGAGAGTATCTGTTTTTCCGCTTCTCACGTTCGTTCGTTTATCGTTCATCGATGGCTAATGCAATAAATTTGGAGAACAAAAGCACAATAGAACAGGTCTGCGCACAATATGATAATGGTACATACATACATACATATATGCGCACCTATGCTTATACGCGTATCTGCATTTTGATATTTTGATAGTTGATATGGAGCCAAGCTGAAGTGAAGTGTAGTATGCGCTGATATGGGGGCTGTAGGGACTGGTGTCATATGCCGATAAGAAATTCGCAATGGCGTGCCTCGCCTGGCGCGATAGGGCCACGGTCACTGGATGGGGTTCATGTTCATGGAGTTATGGCGTCAATAGAAACCGTCTGTGATAATAACCAATGATTGGCATGCGCGTCGCCCTTTATTGCAGCGCACCCAACAAGACGAAAAAGAATTCCAAGCATGACGAGGCGGAAGAGGAGGAGAAGGACGATGGCTCGTACAAGGAGGAGGTCAAGCAGGTGGGCTACTTCCAGATGTTCCGCTATGCCACCACCAAGGATCGCACGCTCTATATCATCGGACTCCTGTCTGCCGTGGCCACAGGCCTCACGACTCCAGCCAACAGCTTGGTCTTCGGCAACCTGGCCAACGTAAGTGGTCATCGTCAGTGGTTTGTGTGTGTTCCCTCTCAAATACCGCATCCATTATACCTTTCTGTAGAACATGATCAATTTCGGCGGCACAACTGAGGGTAGGACGTACCAGCGAGACGGCGACGACCAGGGGGACTTGCTGCTGGACAAGGTGCGCGAGTTCTCGCTGCAGAACACGTACATTGGAATTGTGATGCTGGTGTGCTCCTACCTCTCCATCACCTGCTTCAACTACGCCGCCCACTCCCAGATTCAGACCATCCGATCCAAGTTCTTCCGCTCCATCCTGCACCAGGACATGAGCTGGTATGACTTCAACCAGAGCGGCGAGGTGGCCAGTCGCATGAACGAGTAGGTTGCTACCCAAGCATACACCCACCCATCCCATTAACTGGTCTTCCAACTCTCTCTCTCTCTCTCTCTCTAGGGATCTGTCCAAAATGGAGGATGGTCTCGCCGAAAAGGTCGTCATGTTCATCCACTATTTTGTGTCCTTTGTGGGATCCCTGGTGCTGGCTTTCGTCAAGGGCTGGCAGCTGTCGCTGGTGTGCCTCACGAGCCTGCCGCTGACTTTTGTCGCGATGGGACTGGTGGCGGTGCTTACCGCCAGGCTGGCCAAGCAAGAGGTGACCCAGTACGCTGGAGCAGCAGTCGTGGCCGAAGGAGCCCTGTCCGGCATCCGCACGGTGAAGGCGTTCGAGGGAGAGGATAAGGAGGTGTCCGCCTACAAGGAGCGGGTTGTGGCCGCCAAGCTGCTGAACATCAAACGCAACATGTTTTCCGGCATCGGTTTCGGCATGCTCTGGTTCTTCATCTACGCCTCGTATGCCCTGGCCTTCTGGTACGGCGTGGGGCTGGTGATCAAAGGATACCACGATCCTTACTACGCCAGCTACGACGCCGGCACTATGATCACTGTCTTCTTCTCGGTGATGATGGGCTCGATGAACATTGGCATGGCTGCGCCCTACATCGAGGCATTCGGCATTGCCAAAGGCGCCTGCGCCAAGGTATTCCACATCATCGAGCAGATCCCCACCATTAATCCCATCGGCCACCAGGGCAAGAGCCTCGACGAGCCCCTCAATACCATCGAGTTCCGGGACGTCGAGTTCCAGTATCCGACGCGCGGCGAGATTCCCATTTTGAATCGTCTCAACCTCAAGATCCATCGCGGCCAGACGGTGGCCCTGGTCGGACCCTCCGGCTGCGGCAAGTCCACCTGCATCCAGCTGCTGCAGCGCTTCTACGACCCCTCCGGCGGCGATCTCTTCTTCAACGGCACCAGCCTGCGGGACATCGACATCAACTGGCTGCGCTCCCGCATCGGAGTCGTCGGCCAGGAGCCCGTGCTCTTCGCCACATCCATCTACGAGAACATCCGCTACGGACGGGAGGACGCCACCCGTGCTGACATCGAGGCGGCAGCCGAAGCCGCCAATGCGGCCGTGTTCATCAAGAAGCTGCCACGCGGCTATGAGACGCTGGTGGGCGAGCGCGGAGCCCAGTTGTCCGGCGGTCAGAAGCAGCGCATTGCCATTGCACGGGCATTGATTCGCGACCCGGAGATTCTGCTGTTGGACGAGGCTACCTCGGCTCTGGACACCGCCAGCGAGGCGAAGGTGCAGGCTGCCCTGGAGAAGGTCAGTGCCGGACGCACGACCATCATTGTGGCCCATAGGCTGTCGACGGTGCGGCGGGCGGACAGGATTGTGGTGATCAGCAAGGGCGAGGTGGTGGAGAGCGGCACGCACCAGGAGCTGATGATGCTGAAGAGCCACTACTTCAATCTGGTTACCACACAGCTGGGCGAGGATGATGGTAGCGTGCTCAGCCCCAGCGGGGACATTTACAAGAACTTCGACATCAAGGACGAGGACGAGGAGGAGATCAAGGTGCTGGAGGAGGAGGACGAGGAGGAGCCAAAGGCCGTCACGAAAGGACAAGAAGAAGAAGAAGGTCAAGGACCCCAACGAGGTCAAGCCCATGGTGGAGGTGATGAAGATGAGCAAACCGGAGTGGGCGCAAGTCACCGTTGGGTGCATCTCCTCCGTGATCATGGGCTGTGCCATGCCCATCTTCGCGGTGCTCTTCGGCAGCATCATGCAGGTGCTGTCCGTCAAGGACAACGACGAGTACGTCCGCGAGAACAGCAACCAGTACAGTCTCTACTTCCTGATCGCTGGCATAGTCGTGGGCATCGCTACCTTCCTGCAGATCTACTTCTTTGGCGTCGCGGGAGAGCGGCTCACGGAGCGCCTGCGCGGTCTGATGTTCGAGAGAATGCTGAAGCAGGAGGTGGCCTGGTTCGATGACAAGGCCAACGGCACGGGAAGCCTCTGTGCCCGCCTCTCCGGTGATGCAGCCGCTGTCCAAGGCGTAAGTTTTGCCACTAAACTCCCACTGGAATCCCCTGCTGATTGCTTTTTCTTTCCAAATGATTCCCGCAGGCAACTGGCCAGAGGATCGGCACGATCATTCAGTCGATTTCCACACTGGCCCTCGGCATCGGTCTGTCCATGTACTACGAGTGGAGCCTGGGTCTGGTCGCTCTCGCCTTCACGCCCTTCATCCTCATCTCCTTTTACATGCAGCGCATGCTCATGAGCGAGGAGAATATGGGCACAGCCAAGACCATGGAGAACTGCACCAAGCTGGCCGTCGAGGTTGGTCTCCAACATTCGCACCGTTGCCTCCCTGGGCCGCGAGGAGATGTTCCACCAGACATACGTCGGCATGCTCATCCCGTCCGTCAAGGTGAGTAGCCACAAGTAGCTGGAACCATACGCGACTCGAACACTGACCCGCAATCCCCGCAATCCCCGCAATCTCCGCCATCTCCCCAACACAGATAGCCAAGAGAAACACCCACTTCCGTGGCCTGGTCTATGGCCTTGCCCGCTCCCTGATGTTCTTCGCATATGCCGCCTGCATGTACTACGGCACCTGGTGCGTGATTAATCGGGGCATCCAGTTCGGCGATGTCTTCAAGTAAGTGCCCGAAGCAGTGCAAATCGAGAGAGAGAGAGAGGACCAGTACTACAGTTACCTTCCCTTGCAGAGTATCCCAGGCCTTGATCATGGGCACAGCCTCGATAGCCAACGCCCTGGCCTTTGCCCCCAACATGCAGAAGGGCATCACTGCCGCGAAGACAATCTTCACGTTCCTGCAGCGCCAGCCAACGATTGTGGACCGGCCGGGAGTGTCGCGCGAACCGTGGCACTGCCAGGGCAAAGTCACTTACGACAAGGTTGAGTTTAGCTATCCCACGCGCAGGGAGATCCAGGTGCTCAAGGGTCTGGATCTGGGCGTGAAGAAGGGCCAGAAGGTGGCTCTGGTCGGTCCCTCCGGCTGCGGCAAATCCACCTGCATCCAGCTGATCCAGCGCTTCTACGACGTGGACGAGGGCGCCGCGCTCATCGATGAGCACGATGTCCGAGATGTCTCGATGTCGAATCTGCGCCAGCAACTCGGCATCGTGTCTCAGGAGCCGATCCTCTTTGACCGCACCATTCGGGAGAACATTGCGTACGGCGACAACGCGAGGTCTGTCACCGACCAGGAGATCATATCGGCGTGCAAGAAGTCCAATATTCACGAGTTCATCGCGAGTCTGCCGCTGGTAAGCAACCAGAAACCAGGTCGTGTCCCCTGTAGATTTGTCAATAATCTGTGATTTTTCCCTAGGGTTACGACACGCGAATGGGTGAGAAGGGAGCCCAGCTGTCTGGGGGTCAGAAGCAGCGCATTGCCATTGCGCGCGCCCTCATCCGGAATCCCAAGATCATGCTGCTCGACGAGGCCACCTCGGCCCTGGATGCCGAGAGCGAAAAGGTAAGTCCATCCCTCGATGCAGATGCTCTTAGCAGACTAAATCCTTTGCTTTATCCTTTGGCAGGTTGTCCAAGATGCGCTGGATGCCGCATCCGAGGGGCGCACCACAATCAGCATAGCCCACAGACTGTCCACCGTTGTCCATTCGGATGTGATCTTTGTGTTTGAGAACGGTGTCGTCTGCGAGACGGGCTCCCACAAAGATCTGCTGGAGAATCGCGGCCTCTACTACACGCTCTACAAGCTGCAGAGCGGAGCCATGTAGACAGACACTACACTGCCATCCGCCATAGCATAGGACACCTATACCATAGCATGTATATCTAGATTTAGACAGTTAAATAGCTTAAGGAATTGCGATCAAAGTCAAGTAGTATTCGATTGTACAAAGAAGTTCATAGACCTAAGATTATTTATGTCATTCTCTAAGAGTTCCCGGAATTTATGTATGAATTTGATTCTTAATTAAACCTAAAACGAAATTTAAAAAAAAAACACATCTATCTATTCGTAGTTTTGTATTTGTGTGTTTGGTTTTTGTTTGTTTGTTTATTTTAAGTTTACATCGATTTTTAAATTTAATTGCATTTTACCCAGTGTCGGTCGGTTGGTTTGGTTGGTTGGTTGTCCACTGGAAACCAACGTACAAATTTAGCTTAAAGTATGACCTATGACCTCAGACTGTCGCGTGTCGCGGGAAGCTGATTCAGTGGCTGAATTTGTGCTGTGATCGGTTATCGTACAACTAGATGGTAGTTAGAATAAACGTAAAAATAAGCAAAATCTTACAGCGAACACAGCACCGCCGCAAGCACTTGAAGGACAGCTCCAGTTGGACGTGGGGTGGAGTTGGGGGGGAGGAGAGCTCCATCGATCGGTTCCATAATAAACAATAAAAACTTTATGCAATCGATCGCTGGCTCCCATGGATGGTCTTTGTTCTTGTTTCGTCTGCTTTCTGGGTTGTCACTTCTGTCACACATTTTGGGTAAATGCCGTGTTGATTCACGTGTGGATTGTGTTTTATGATTTGGAAAAGGAATATGATGTAGTTATGTTAAACGTAAAACTTAATAGAAATCCAGAAGGGGCTATCATTAAATAGGGGGAAACAACAACTATGACTATGGTTGCCTAATTTAGTTCTTGTCTTCCTTCTTCTTCTCGCCAGAAGCGTCGCCTGAACTGCTGCTGCTGCCGGTGCTATCGGTGGATCCGGCGCCAGCACTGCTCTCGCGCTCAGCGGACATCTGCCGAGAGATAATCAATTGATTAGCTGATAAGAGCCTGGTCATATTTGTAGACAACATACCTTCTTGTAGGCCATCTCGAAGAGCTTCAGCGAGGCCTGCTGCAGTGAGCTGGTGGCCTTCCTGACCTCCTCCAGATCGGCGGTTTCCTTGTTGGCCAGCAAAGTGCGCAGATCGGCAATTTCCTTCTTCAGCTTCTCGCACTAGAAGTAAATCGATTCGGATTAGTTAGATCAAACCTTAAGAGTCCCTTGTGCACTGCTGCATACCTCCTCGGCGGGCAGCTGGCTCTTGAACTCCTCCATCTTGGTCTCAGTGTCGTGCACTATGCTCTCGCCCTGGTTGACGATCTCGATCAGTTCGCGCTTGATCTTGTCGGCGCTGGCGTACTCCTCGGCCTTCTTGATCATGTTCTCGATTTCGTCCTTGCTCAGACCGCCGCTCGACTGGATGACAATCTGTTGCTCCTTGCCGGTGCCCTTGTCCTTGGCCGAAACGTGCACAATGCCGTTGGCATCGATATCGAAGACCACCTCGATCTGGGGCACTCCGCGTGGTGCGGGTGGGATGCCGACCAGTGTGAAGGAGCCCAGCTTCTTGTTGTCGTTGGCCATCTCACGCTCTCCCTGGTGCACCTTGATTTCCACCTGGGTCTGGCCATCGCTGGCTGTCGAGAAGACCTGCGACTTCTTGGTGGGGATCGTTGTGTTGCGCGAAATCAGGCGAGTGAACACTCCGCCAAGGGTCTCAATGCCCAGAGATAGGGGAGTGACATCGAGCAGGAGCACATCAGTGACATCACCGGCCAAGACACCGCCCTGAACGGCGGCACCGACGGCCACAGCCTCATCGGGATTGACGGAGCGCGACGGCTGGCGTCCGAACAGCTCCTGCACGGTGGACTGAACCTTGGGCATGCGCGTCATGCCACCAACCAGCAGCACCTCTCCAATCTCAGACTTGGCCACTTCGGCATCGGACAGTGCCTTCTGGCAGGGCTGAATGGTGCGCTTGATAAGATCGCCCACAAGACTCTCCAGCTTGGAACGCGTCATCTTCAGGTTCATGTGCTGGGGACCTGCAGAGTCCATGGTCAGATAGGGCAGATTGATGTCAGTCTGCTGGGAGGAGGACAGCTCGCACTTGGCCTTCTCGGCCGCCTCCTTCAGGCGCTGCATGGCAATGTTGTCCTTGCGGATGTCGAGGCCTGTGTCCTTCTTGAACTCTGCCACCAGGAAATTGACAATATGATTATCGAAATCCTCACCGCCCAGCAGGGTGTCGCCGTTGGTGGACTTGACCTCGAAGACTCCCTTCTGGATTTCCAGAATGGAGATATCGAAAGTGCCGCCACCCAGATCGTAAACGGCAATGCTATAAAAGATAATGTGAATGTAATGAACGAATCACACACACACACACACCACACACACACACACACACCATACACACCACACACAAAAGGGGAGAAAAACCGGCATCGGTGCACTTACATTTTGTCCTCTGTCTTGTCCATGCCGTAGGCCAGGGCCGCTGCTGTGGGCTCGTTGATTACACGCAAAACATTGAGACCGGCAATCTGTCCAGCATCCTTGGTGGCCTGACGCTGCGAGTCGTTGAAGTAAGCGGGTACAGTCACCACGGCGTTCTTGACGGGTGTGTTCAGGTAGGCCTCGGCCGTCTCCTTCATCTTGATCAGAACGAAGGCGCCAATCTGCGAGGGGGAGTACACTTTGCCATCGGTGGACGAGACCCAGGCATCTCCGTTCGAGGCCTTGACGACCTTGTAGGACAGATTGCTGATGTCCTTCTTCACCTCGGGATCGTCGAAACGTCTGCCAATCAAGCGCTTTGTGGCATAGAAGGTGTTTTCTGAGTTGGTCACAGCCTGACGCTTGGCCGGCATGCCCACCAGGCGTTCGCCATCCTTGGTGAAGGCGACGTGGGAGGGCGTGGTGCGGGCTCCCTCGGCGTTCTCAATGACCTTTGCCTGCTTGCCCTCCATGACGGCCAGGCAGGAGTTGGTGGTGCCCAAATCAATGCCAATGACAGCACCCTTGACCTCGCTAGACCTAAACAAAATAAAGAGTGAAAAATGGATTGCTCATGAGCATATGGCGAACACCCGAAAATTGATAACGCCGGTAAGGACCGCCGGCTTAGATAAGCGACTAGGCCGCGCCCCCTATCTCTGCTCGAGCAAGCTCCGAGGCTTTTAATCAACAATCAATGAACTCTTGGCATCCCTTATGATGCAACATCGAATCTGCTGCTGGAATCTGAAATCCGTTACATAAGCACAGCCCTACAACTTAGCAGCCATGGGACCGACCGGTCAGTCGGCATCCTCTTCACTCTGCATTCATTTTCATTTTATTTGTGTAAATTAATTAAAGTTCACTTACTTGTAGCGCTGCTGACCCCACAGACCATTGCTGGCACCTGGCAGGCTCTGCAAAGAGGAAAGAATGCATCGATCTTTATGGAATGTTCGCGCAAAACATGACCCGCAACGAGCCGCACAATAGCATGCCGCTCCGACTATTATGTAAAGACGACGGTCGTGGTACTTACGCGGTACATGCAGGAAGATCCAGATGCATTTGTGGGCACAACGCCGGCTTGGCGCACAAGACCGGGCAACAACTTAGCAACACGCAGCATTTTCGGTATTCACTTTAATTGCACGATGTGGTGTCAAATTAAAAAGCAAAATTTCGTCAGAACGTCGGAGCACGTTTCCCGTAAGAGGCGAGGGCTGGAGAAAAAGTAATCGGTGTCCGACAGAACGATAGGTTTTTCAGCCAGAGTTGTCAGCGTTGTCAGCGCAGGTGCAGGTTCGTTTATTTTAAATTTAGTAAATATTTTCGGCTTTTGAGTGTAAATTCGATTCACATAATCAAAATCGATACTATTCGATTTCCTTCTAAAGCCTAGTACTCAGATCCAAAAACTGTTTGCCAGCAAACAAATGTCATATATTTTTCTAGCGGCCAGTAGTGTGACCAGAGGTGTGAACTGCATTCCGTACGGTTACACTGCCCAACACATGTACATACATCAGTCTATCATTGCGTAAAAGTATATAAAAATTTCAAAAATTTTGATTGTATACGCTAAACCAAACAGGGGCAGCATTTACCGTTTTTACCGGCCCGCGCCATGGCTTCGGAGAATGAATCGGACGCCGAGCTTGAGGAGAACTACTACACATTTCTGAACTTGCCCCGAGATGTAAGTGCATCGTCACCCGGCACGTCACAGGCTTATCAATTTGTTCTTTAGGCCACCACAGAGCAAATCAATACAGCATACCGGAAGCAGAGCCGCATTTACCACCCGGACAAGCACTACGATGTGGACAGCAAGAAGCAGGCGGAGATAATGTTCAACCGCACCAAGCGGGCGTACGAGGTGCTGTCTGATCCCCACCAGAGGGCCATTTACGACTCGGTGGGCGTAAAGGGCCTGAGAACTGAGGGCTGGGAGATTGTTCACCGGACGAAGACTCCGGCAGAGATCAGGGAGGAGTACGAACGCCTCGCGCAAGCTGCGGATGAGCGTCGCCTGCAGCAGCGAACTAATCCACGGGGGAACATCACCATTAATGTGAATGCAACGGAAATATTCGCACCGTACGATGAGACGGAAATGCCCCGCGTGGAGATTGGCTCGATGAGCATTGCACAGTCGATTGAGGCCCCTTTGACGCGCAAGGACATGATAATCATGAGCGGCAACCTGTACTCTTCCAACGGCAATGGCAGTGGCGGGTTTGTGGTGGCTGGCCGTCGACTCCTTAACAAGGGCTGGCTGGAGGTCTGTGCGGGTGCGGGAAACGGCTTCCTGGTGGGTCTCAAGGGTGAGTAATCGGTGTGCCAGGGCCCAGCCTGCAATATATCTAAAGTATGTACCGACAGGTGGACGCACTCTTTCTCCCAAGCTGACGCTCAACGGCGGGACCAACATGAGTTTCCGGGAACATGGTGTGATACCCGCCCTGTTCTCCACGCTCGCTGTGCAGCTGGACAAGCACACGGTGGGCAGCCTGACGCTGAACGCGGGTCCCCAGTCGACCATGTCCACACAAATTGACCACAACAAGGACGAGTACGCGCTGAGCTCATCCTTTGTAATTGGGTCGCCGCACATCTACTTTGGCCTCTCCTACACGCGCAAGCTGATAGAGGACGAGATGAAGCTGAAGCTGGCCGTCAAGTAAGGAGCACGGAACATCGGCAGATTGGGTCGATTAACAGGATTTACTTATTGCAGGGTCGGCACGTTCGGCTTCATGGGCGAATATGGGCTGGAGAAGAAGATTTCCAAGTACAGTTCGGTGACAGCAGCTGTCTCGATTGGCGTGCCTTCCGGAGTTATCCTTAAATTTAAGTAAGTACAACAGAGAGAGTGGCCTGCATGGGGAACTAAATTGATGGCTTCGCTTTTCTGCTTTGCAGAATACTACGATCGAATCAGTCTTATGTCTTTCCTATCCACCTGAGCGATGAGATAGTGCCCGCCGCTGTGTTCTATGCCTCGGTGACGCCCGTGATTGCGTGGTTCTTGATTAAGAAGACCGTTATGGACCCGATGGACGCCGAGCGCAAGAGCGTCGAAGTGGAGCGTACAAAAAGGCAGAACGAACAGCGCCTGTTGGCCAAGAGGCAGGAGGCCAGTGCCGCCGTCCATCTTATGCAGAGTACCTACCATCGCATCATGACGGAGGAACTGCAGAAGACTGGACTGGTCGTCACAAGAGCCGTATATGGCTGCACAACGGAAAACAGCAGCACCCAGTTCAAGCCTGAGCTGTCGCTCGATGTTACCATACCTATTCAGTGCCTGGTCAGGGACAGCTCCCTGCAGCTATACGATTCCTCAAAGGTTTGTTCACTGTCTGCCCTGCCTGATGCCAAATTTGATTTAACTGATGCAATTCCTGGCCCTTACCTTACAGAGCGATCTGCCCGGCTTTTATGACCCCAGCATTGGGGACAATAAGATCCTACGCATAGAGTATACATACCAGAACCAATTCAGGGTGGTAAACCTAAAGGACAACGAGGCGATTCGACTGCCATTGCCATGATGGTGGCTTGTGGACTACGGTCTGTGTGCTTCATACTGTATTTAGTATAAAATCATCAGTTGTGTTTGTAACTTGTTTTCTAATCTTAATAGGAAAGACCCATTCCAAGAGATGGGGCAGAAAAACGGTTAAGACAGCTTTATTAAATATAATGGGCCTAATTGTATTTTCAAACCCAAACCCCCTATTTTGGGAATAGGGCATTTTCTCAGCATTTAAAAGTTACCTTGAAGCTTGCTTCCCTTAGAGGGAGAATATATCGATATCGATTATATTATGTAAAAGAGGTATATTTGGGTATACTTTTGAGCGTCCGATGGTATATTTTTTCAATACATCCGCGGTCACACTGAACATCAGCTGCTGGGGACAAATTTGTTTTGTTAGCAATAAAAACGACCGTTTGAGCTGAAAATGGCACTGCGGAGAGCAAACGAGTTGGTCACGGAATGATGCAATGCATGGACCATGATCGTATTCACAAGGGCGAATCTCATCCGCTTCCTGGCCGGCGCAATATGCTTGTTGCTGGTGCTCAATTTTGTGGGCTTCCGAAGTGACGGAGCCAGCGGTACGTCGCTGAGCAAGTTAAGGTAAGTGTGTGTTTCAAGCGGGAAGCGGAGTAAGCCAATTAGCACCCTCATTTGTTGGCTCTATCAATTACAGCATACGGCGCGTGCACAAATATGCCCATATCCATAGGAACACCAGCGGCAGTGGCAGTGGCAGTGGCGGCATCCGGCTGCCTGCTGCACCCCTGGCACTATCGAAGGAGCGAGAGCTGCACAACGCTCAGAACTCCACCTCAACGACTGTGATTGCGATTGCAAACTTTACTTCCATTCCACAAGACTTATCGCACCCCTTTGCGAACATCAACATGAGCACGCACAAGCCCTTGCCAATGAAACCAACCATGTCCGCCCTCCATGCCAATTGCACTGATCCTGATCCCCGAGATGGTATGCTATACTCTCAGACTGTCTTGTGGGATGTCTGTGGTTCAAGAAATGCCCTTCCAGGTGGACCCATTACGCCCAACACAACGCTGGAATCTCTAGACGTCATTGAGGCCGAGCTGGGCCCCTTGCTGCGCCCTGGCGGCGCTTTCCAGCCGGACCACTGCAACCCCCAACACCATGTGGCCATTGTTGTGCCCTTCCGCGACCGCTACGCCCATCTCTCCGTCTTCCTACGCAACATACACCCGTTCCTAATGAAGCAGCGCATCGCCTATCGCATATTCATTGTGGAGCAAACAAACGGGAAGCCCTTCAATCGCGCGGCTATGATGAATATCGGTTACTTGGAGGCCTTAAAACTTTACCAGTGGGACTGTTTTATATTTCACGACGTCGACCTTCTGCCTTTGGACGATCGCAATCTCTACAATTGTCCACGTCAGCCGCGGCACATGTCCGTTGCGATTGACACGCTGAATTTCAAGTAAGGAAATTCTATTCTCATCTCCCGAATAATTCTGTGATTTTTATGACAGGTTGCCTTACCGAACAATATTTGGGGGAGTCTCCGCCATGACACGTGAGCACTTTCAGACCGTGAATGGCTTCTCGAACTCCTTTTTTGGCTGGGGCGGCGAGGACGATGATATGTCCAACAGATTGAAGCATGCAAATCTATTCATATCAAGGTATCCCGTGAACATAGCACGCTACAAGATGCTGAAACATCAAAAGGAGAAGGCCAATCCCAAGCGGTGAGTGGAATGGATGGTCATCTATGATTATAATTCCCTATGGCCCCTTTGCAGCTATGAGAATATACAGAATGGCATGAACAAGATAGAAATGGATGGCATCAACTCAATCAAGTATGCCATCTACAGCATCAAGGAGTTCCCGACCTTTACGTGGTATTTAGCTGAGCTAAGGAACTCCGAGCGCAAGAGTTAGCCAACATAAATGGCGGAGACATCGTAACCATGCGTGACCTTTCAACAACTATCTAATAATGTGCATGTACAAAGGACAACATTACTTTCTCGAATAGTAGAATCAATCTCTCGTTTACTAGAGTAGCCGAAACACCCAAGAAAAAGACAGATTATGCCGTAACGATCAAGACATTTAGACGCGCACATATTGTGCGTATGATAGTAGTCCACTCAATATACTCACATCACAAATGATGCTATGTATGTAGTATACTTTTAATCCATAATTTAGCTCAAATTCCAACTCGAACCGTAGGTAACAAGTGTAGCAATAATCGCCCCTCCTCCACTCCCCCCTTAAATACTCAAAGTGCTCCAGTATAATTATAGAGTTTTTGTTGATTTTTTTTTTGTGTTGTGTTTTTTGTTATTGTTTTTTTTTAAACTTCTATGGTAATGGTATTTTATTCTCTCTTCTCTTTAAAAAGACACCTACACCAATTCCTACAAGGTGAAATGTAGATATTACTTTTGTGATATGCAAATTGTTAATCGATCAGAACGATTTATACCAAAATAAAACATATAAAAACTTTTACTATACCAAAACAAAAAAATTATGAAAATTTCGTTGTTTCGTTGCCCCCACCCACACGTGCTCAATCCCCAACATTCCATCCATCCATCCATAAATAGTAAAGACAGAGTTCATTGATTCGTTTGTTAGATATCGTTTTATTATTATTTTATTTACGTGTATTAGAGATAGTGTTTATGGCTCTGTAACGACTTGGCTGGGCGGGGTGGTTACCTTTTAAGTCGGAGGAGTTACGTTTATGGTTTACGATTAGTAGGTATTCAAGTGGCGCCGTGGGGCACGTTTATTTTTATTAGTGTGTTTCGTATGCGACATGCAAATTTCAGTTAAAACAATTTCGACTGCGGGTTTTTCCACTGGTAAATGCTTGAGCAATTTGAACAATTTCGAGCAATCTATAACAGATACATATAACAATGGGACAGCACAATCCTCGGATGCCGTAATACAAATTAAAGTATATACATAGACAAAGACAATAACAGACATATACGATAGATACATACAAATATGTATATGTATATAGGATTTGGCCAACAAGCAGAGCCAGAGCCAGCGCCAGATCCACCAATGGATAAGCAGCAAAACCCAAATAAAAGTTAGACAGTAGTAGAGAGCAAAAAAAAACAGTCACAAGTTCGACGCGGGGCAGGATTTAGCGTTAGACTTATTAACGGCAATATTAGAAACCTATATACAAGTACGACTTCCAGCTGGACCCTCTACATGATGGAGCAGGGCATCGCACAGCAGAGGGGCAGGCACAATGGCACCACAGCGCCGCCGGACTTGGTTTTCGTCTTTGACTTGGAGCCGGACTCGTACTCGTACATTCCCGAGCCCTTAGCCCAGCGACCCTGCAAAGGAAGAGCACACATTAGCGATCCTCTCACTTCAGCAGAGCTTTAGGGTGCAAATACTTACACCAGATGCAGAACCGGCATGCATCTCCTCCCGCTTCATGACAATGGTGTCGTGTCCGGGCGGATAGTAGACCTCCTTGCCCAGCTTGTTCACGGACGGCACATGCTGCTGGTTGGGCGAGGCCACGGATGTCTCGATCTCCCTCTTGCGTACGGGCGTCTCTAGGTCTCCGCGATCCACATGATCAGTCTGAAAAGTTAAGGGACAGGTAAGTGGAGCTCCGAGAAGATGGATTCTTTTCTACTTACAGTGCCAAAGGACTGCATTAGGTCGTCCACACGCTGGGGTGGATTGCCATTGCCCACCGGATACTCCACACCGTCCACGGGGAAGGGCGAAGGAGAGCCATAGTCCGGACCGACGCCGGGACCTCGACGATTGTTCGTGTTCGTTGTGGAAGAGTACTTGTAGGTGTAGCTCGTGTTCGGCGGATATCCATTGCCGTTCTGTGGCTGCGGATAGGCCGTGCTGGGCGGCAGTTGCTTCAAGGGAGCGGACTGTGGCAGGCCCGGCTCATAGGGACCACCATTGGGCGCCCCGTGGATCGTGTTGACCGTGTTGGAGGACTCCGTCTCCTTGTAATAGTAGCGGTTGATGCCACCAGGCCCAGACGGATGCAGCGGCGGACTGTGTGGACCCTGAGCGTAGTTGGGGCTGTGTGCCGGACTGAGCGGGGGATAGCGCTGCTGTGGCGGCAGCTCGTTGATCGTGTTCACGTTGTCCGTCTTGTGGATGTTGTAGACCACAGTGCGGCTGTTGTTGCCCGGCAGTGTGCCTGTGGGGTGGCCCACCGGTCCGAGGGGCAGCTGTCGCGGCTGGGGACTCACTCCGCGAGTGGTGGTCTCCTTGTGCTCGCGAATCTCGTACGACTGGTTGGTCAGCAGCGGCCGGTCGGGTTTGTTCAGCGTGGAGTAGCTCTCCGTGTTGTAGACCACCGTCTGAGGCACGTGCGGTGGCTGCGCATGTGGTTGTGGATGTGGCTGCGGATGTGGAGGCGACAGCTGGCTGAAGTTCTGGCTGGAGTTGTGGCTCTCGTGGAGCTTGTAGCTGCTGCTCAGGGTGTTCGTGTTCGTGTTTATGTTGCTGTTGTTGAGTGTGTGACTGCGATTGATGGTGCTGGTGGCGCTGCCCGGACCAGCTGGGATCTCATAGGTGTACGTACGCACGGTGGTCGTCACCTTAGTGCCAGGCGCCGGCAGTATGCCATCGCTCAGGGCGATGTCCTGCAGCTCCTTGTCGATGGTTGTGCCGCTAGTCAGGGTCTGTGTGTTGCCGGAGCTCGGCAGCAGCTCCACATTGTTGTTGATCGTCCGATTGCTCTCGTAGATCTTCGACTTGCTCTCGTACTGACCGCCAATGGGTGAATGGGCTGGAAAAGACAATAAAATACATTGTAAGAATACTCTGCATTGCCTTCCCTACGATTCCAAGGCACTTACCCAGCGTGTATGGCTTCTCCTTGGTCTGGTAATCGTCCCGCTTCAGGCTCGAGTACTTGGCCGTCGACTGCAGCGTGCTGTAGTCGGTGGGATTGAAGGTCTCCACATCATCGATGTAGGGCTGCTGGCCGCCCTGACCCGAGTGCTTCGTGGTCTTGACCACACGCGTTGTCCTCGTGACTGTCCCGGCGGGATCAGTGCGTTCCCTGGAGAATATATAAACTTGTTTAGGGAACAGCAAAGATTTGTGCATCCTCTAGGAAAACTCACAGCGTTCTATAGGAAGTGCCGTTGGTGGGCAGGAGGTCGCGATCTCTGTTGGTGATCTGGCGTTCCTGCTTCAAGTCCTCCAGCAAGGCGTCCAACTGATCGATGTTCTGATCGGGCGACTTGCCCTGATACGACACGTTATTGTCGCCAGAGCTTGAGTATTGATATGAGGACTTTTTGTACGCATAATTCTTGTCGTTCTGCGAGGAAGTGGAACGAGAATGAGATCAGAATGGAGCTGGAGATCATAAATTTTGTATGGACTTACCTTTCCGCTCCATTTCGAGGGCGTGTCCCTCAACGAGGATGAATAATTTTCCGAACTGCTCGAGTACTGCATTTCCAATTAGTATTTTTGCTGAAACGAAAATCAGTTCCATTCCCCCATTCATAAATTATTCAAATTCTACGTGTGAGTAACCGAGAGCCGCCGTGGGTGTCGCGTCTGACAGACACGTACACGTAAGCACGGATCGGGTCTCGATTCCCGCAAGGCAGGTTGATTCAAGGCAGTTCTCGAGAATTTCGAACATTTCTGAATCTGTTTACTCGAGCACCCGCCCACGCCTACGCCTACATCCATGCCCCCTCCCTCATCTTCATCAGCATCTCTGCCCGCACCAAAATGGCCGCATTCGGCATTCCTTCCTCCAAACTGAGAACCGAGAACTTTTCGCGCATTAATGGAGGCTTAAGTCATCTGAAGTGGGCATCACTTGAGCACACACAAAGCACACATATACATATTTAGGTGGCAGATCAAAGAATCACATCACAGCAGTTAAGTGGGAGATAATACAAATCAGAAATGCCACTATAAATGCCAAAAAACTTACCATTTGCAGTGTTTTTGCAAAAAGTTGGACTTTCGGATCTATTTGGGATGCTTTTTGAAAAAACTTTCAATTTGAAGTACCCAAAATAATGGCCATTGGAAGTATGAATCTACCTGTTACAAAAAGGCTGCCAGGGTATCAGTATCACCCGAAATGGCATTGGATTCCCGAAATGCCACACAAAAGCACACGCACACATTCACACTTACTGTATGCATGGACAAAGGCCAAAAAGTCACAAAATTCAATGTCAAACTGGTTTTCACTTTTTAGCGTGTCCTTAGCACTCCTTTTACGTATGAGTGGGACAAAGAGGGAGACATATGTACATACATATGTACATCTGTATAACCCAATACATATATACATATATATCCTACAGATTCGTTTTGATATTTTAGCGATAACCTTGAGAAGAGAGATTCACTGAATGAGAGAAATACAGAGCTACAGCTACAGATAGAGACAGAGGAAGAGGGAGAGCGAATGAGCGTGATGCAAAATAATTCGTCAAGCACACACAAGAATGATGACCGGCGGAGGAGGATGATGTCATATGAGCCAGAGGCTGCACCACTCGACAGCCCTGACAGCCACTGCACTGGGAGCTGTCCCCGTCCTCGTCCAATAAGCAATGCAATCAAAACGAAGCTAAATAAATCACATTATCACGGGGATCTAGCTACTGAGGAATCGCATCAGACGATGCCTCGCCCGCCATATGGTCAAGAGTAGAGCTAATAGAGACACAACAAAAATCACTCGCATAAGCAAAATATCATGCATAAAAAATAGCATACAATAATATAAATAAAAGGCCAAATCTAATTGATGCCGCCGTCACCGCCTCCGCCTCCTCCATCACGGAGCGATCATAGCACGTTTTTAGCAGAGCTCTGGGTCTCAGTTTTGGTCTGTGTGTGTTATGGCGACAGCAGCTAAAACCGTACGAAAAACAGAGAATGTTGAATGGAGGGGCAGAGAGGAGAGGAGAGTTGAGTAGAGGTTTTTGCATACAGACGCACACATGGGTCAAAAATGATCTCATGTATTCGAAACGAGAAGCTCTGTGGAAACATGTTGCTTTTTGCTGGCTGCCTGTCTGGGCATGGGCATGGGAGTAGGCGGGACGTAGCGGGGCGGGGCGCTACTAGATCGGGATCGAGATCGCAAAACGAACGCCATAGAGCGTCTGTCCAATAGCCAATAGATGGAGCGGGGGGAGAGGAAAACGTTAGGGGGAGATTTACGGCGCAAACATAAAATAAACAAATCGCGAGTGAACAACAAGTTTGAGAACGAGTGAAGAAAAAAAGCGAAGGTGTTGTTCTTGTCGTACCGAAATTGCCGAAAATCAAACTGAAACGTAGGCGAAGTGTATACATAATACATACGTATGTACATATGTACATATCTATCATTATCTAGTATATGTGCATGTTCTGCTGGTGACGCTTCTCCCCACCGTCCCACGCATCTTACAGTTCAAAAAGATCAGGCGCCGTTTGAACTTGGCTAATATACGTATGTGGATATTTCTATAGATGATTGGAAGGAAATTCAGAGGCAGCATCACCGCCAAGAGTACAATGCCAGGCAACGTATACCTCGTCGCAGTTTCGTCGCCTTTCTGACTTTTGCTGAGCAATTTTTGTACGCTACGAGTGTCGGTGTATATGAAAACAAATAATTCTATAAATAGTTCACTGCCACTGTGGCTTTTTTGGCTTTTCGCCTTTCAATTTGAATACTGCGCCGTCCGTGCTTGAACGTTGTACGGATCTGGGTCTGGTCTATGGTGCTGTTCTTTTCTGTTTCTGTTTCGAGTACAAGAGTGCCCACCGTACATGAATCATCTGGCGTGTAGTGTACATATCTCTAGATACATTGCTGGCCCCGCCGTCTGGCTGGGGCAGAATGTGAGGAGGATGCGGATATACACAATAGAGTGCGTTTTTTTTTTTCTTTCTTTCTTTCAACGAACGCAATTGAAATTTCACTTTGCTGCCAAACACGAGAGTCGGTCGCCCGTTCGAGTACTTCCCCATACAACAATAGATACAAAAATCCATCCATCCAACCATCTATGCCTGTATGTTTGTGTCTGTGCGCACATAGCGGATAAAAAGTAACGACGACACGTAGGGAAAACTCGTTTACACCGAGAGTATGTGCGTGCGGTTCGTTCTCCACCCCACTGTCACCAGTATGTGGCTTGTTTGTGGCTGTCTCTTTTTGAAGCTCCTCTGACAGTTCAATAGACCAATATGAAGCAGCCCACTCAAACGCACACCACAACACACTCTTCCATCCACACACACACACACTGTGTGAATACATTCACTCGAACACACTCACTGTGCACTTTTCCAAAACTCCAAAAACGATTCGATTGATGTTGTGTACAGTTCGGCGGAAAAAAGAAAACTGCTACGATGCGCGGGCGCGTTTGTCTTGGGAAATTCGCCTTCGCGTAAGAGAGAGAGAGAGACTCTGAATGTGGGGGCTTCGATCGTTCCAAGCACTAAACAAATTTAACGGCAACGGAACGGTTTTCGTTGCTTCTGCGCGCGTCTCTTGCTGGTGCAGTAGTGAGGCTTCGATTTCGCACTTGCCACCACCGATCCCCATACGATTCGATCAAAGCAGAGAGAGAGAGACGGAGACGGACCTGTTGTTGGACCCCAAGAGCATCCATTTTGCTCTCAGTTCGAAAGCTCGCCGAAAAAGCTTGCTGCTAATGCTAATTGTATAAACGATAGAAACGTTGCCAAGTTTCGTGCCACGAAACATGGATACTCTTTTGTGGCATGATATTTGACCCAGCTTCAGTTTTTGTGTATTGGTTAGAAAAAGAGATTCCATGCAAAGAGAAGCACAGACTGCACAGGCCGAAACGTATGCGTTTTGGCGCCAATCCGATCGATCGCATGCGTGACGTGGCAGCGCTTTTATGCCATGTCCCCCATCCTACATTTGTTAAGAATAAACCACGTGTGTTTTCTTTGCTGCATTTACTTGACACAATCGTCAAGTATTTTATTTTATACAGTCGTATTGCGGTATGCGAAGTCCATTAAATCTGTAAGCTTTTCCATAAAAACAAAGACCCGATGCCACTCGGAGAGTGAGTGGCAACTACAACTGAGGGGCAGTTACGTTAAGATACCGTACATATAATAAAAAATAAACATCTAATCCTTGGCGGGCACCTCGATGACGCGGGGCTTGTCGATGATGCGGGCGGTCTTGTTGCCCTTCTCGACAATGCCAATGATCCAGGCCTGGTAGCCCTCCTGCTTCTCGATGTCCTTGCAGTAGGCGGCGGCCTGTTCGCGCGGCAAGCAGATCAGCAGACCGCCAGAAGTCTCGGCCGAATGGCCCTGCAGCAGCTGGAACATATTGCCGCAGGCCTTGGCCACGGCCGCCATCTTGGCGATCACTGGAAGATTATGAATAACGAAGGAGACGTCCTTCTTTTGGTGAGCCGCTAATGTCTGGGCATGACCCAGGAGACCGAAGCCGGTTATGTCGGTGGCACCGTGGGCGTTGTACTTGTGCATGAGCCGAGCTGCCACGCGGTTTAGGCGCGACATCGAGTTCATGGCCCTGTGGTAGGCCTTGCGCACATCCTCCTCGGACACAACCAGCTTGATGCGGTTCCAGCGTTCCGCCTGGTCAATCCACTGGTGAGCATTGACGGCCACCTGGGTGCCCAGGGGCTTGGTCAACACCAAAACATCACCAACGACAGCGTTGTCTGGCACAATGTACTCGTTCGGCTGGCAGATGGTCGAGGCCACGCCGCCAATGGTGCACCAGGGATTGACCACGCTCTGGCCTCCAGTAACCGTGGTTCCGGCCTCCAGGGCGGAGTCCTTGAAGCCACGCATGATCAGAGGGATAACCACGTCGCGCTCCTTCTCCGTCATCTTTGTGCTCACAGCCAGCAGCATCAGCATGTTGTCGCAATCGGTCACGCCCATCGCGTACAAATCACTGAGCACGTTGGCGCAGGCTATCTTGCCCATCATGTATGGATCGTCGACAATCGGGTAGAAGAAGTCGGTGGTCTGCACCAGGCAAAGCCCGCCATGTCGAAGAGGAATCACAGAGCAATCTAGGCCGATGCCGATTCGGGGAATAGCCACGTTTAGGAACTGCGGCTCCTGGTCCTGGGCAGAGTAGTCCTGCTGCAGAGCCGACACCAGCTTTGAGAGTACATCCTGGGGCACCTTGCAGCCACGTCCCTTCAGATCGGCGAAACGTGTCAGGCGGAAAGAGGCATCCAAGTCGTGAGCGGTCGGGTCAAAGGGGCGGCGCAGTTCTGCGTCGCCACCGCCATGCAGCTCCAGGTGGGCAGCATTCAGGACGTCTGCGGCGTAGCTCATTGTGTGCTAGAACTAGAGAGGGGAGGTTTCTTTGTATAGTGTGGCAGCTAGCAATATTTACGCACTTCTTGCCGCGCAACAAAAACAAAATCAACCAAGCTGCAAGTAACTCGCGTTCTCCCTCAGCACCAACACAGGCGCACATAGACGTGTATGTACACATAATTTTTGTTGCGTGTGAGTAGCAAGCGCTGTGATTGGCTGTTTTCACGTTGGCGGCTAAAACGGGCGAAGTCAGTATTTCTCCCTGTCGGCGAGGCGAGCAACGTGAAATAATGCCCACTTATGTGAACCGAAAAATGCCAAAATAGTGTTGCCTTTCACTAATTTTCACATTTGAACTAATTAGTCCAGTGGTGGGGAACACTTTTACTTACAGTGGCTTTATTAAATTTACGGGGAAAACTTTTGGTACAGATGCAAAAAATTTATTTATTTTGCGCCGTTTTTCTTTTTTCCACAGAACACAACAGAGTTGCTTCGGTGGCTCTTTCGTCGATATATGGCCAAACTATCGTTGCAAGTGGCGTGGGGCTGCCACATCAGCTCAAAATCTATCGATATAAATGCGCGCAAAGCAAAAAAAAATAATAAATATGAATTCATTTAATAATTAAAAAGTTAAAACCGGAAATTAACATGTTCTGCCTCGCACCATGACTCAGTGGCCTGCCTTGAAGGCGTCACTCGGGCAGAGCCAATCCCACCTACTGCATGGCATTCGTTCATCCAACGATTGGCAAGAAGAAACCTGTTGCGCCAGCTGACCAAAAAGTAAAAGTGAGTCGCAACAATGAAATAATTTCCCTTTGTTCGCAGTTTTGCAATTTAAGTTTGTCTCCTTAGCTCAGAACCTATTGCGCTTACATAGGCGCATCAGAGAGAAGAATCTGAATTGCGAAAAGGGCAAACAAAAGACTTGAGCCACAAACTTTCTTTTCCCTTGGCCATGGGCTAAGTGAATCACTGACGACACCTCATCATGATTACGCTACGCCTGCGCAGTCTTATGCTGCTGCAGCTGTTGGCCGTGGCCAGCGCTGAGTATGTGTACGGCGAGCCCAAGTTCAAGTGTCCCAAGAAGTAGGTGTCCTTTTAGCTTGTAATGATAAATTCCTGTATAATGGACGAGTTTCGTTAACCAGGTCCAAGGTGCTTTACCCGTGCAGCTGCATTAAGGGCAGCGATGATGGAATCTTTGTGCGCTGTGAGAAAGTGAACTTGGCTACGCTCTCCGTGGCTCTGCAGAACTTAGCCTCCTTCGGCTTGCCCATCGAGGAGTTGTCCATTTACAGGGGTAACTTTGGTGCGTACTGGTCTGTTTCTTGGGGTTGGAACACCTGATAGCCTGTTGATTTTTTCAGTTCGCTTGTACGGACCTCTGTTTGCCAATATCAAAGCCCGCATCCTGATCATTGAGGAGACACCTCTGGCCACCATCGAGGATTATGTGTTCTATGGCGTGAACAATACAATGGAGGAGCTCCACTTTTTGGGCACCAATTTGAGTCATATTGGACCCCTGGCCTTTGGCGTAAGTATAAATTGGAGTCGCGGATACCGTGAAATATGCTCAAGAATTGTGATTTCAGATACTGGGAAAGACCACTCAACTAGTGATCAATGGCCATGCGTTTGAGCAACTTCCAAACGATCTCTTCGCTGGCCAAGAGATCGCGAATAGACTCGAGACGTTGCGGCTGACCAATGGACTGCTGAGCGATCTACCTATAGAGACCTTTCAGCCCCTGCGCAAGCTGAAAACTCTCGACCTGCATGGCAATCAGTTGGAGAACCTGAAACGAAATCAGTTCAAGAATCTCAGGGAATTGGAACTCTTGGATATAAGTCACAATGGGATCAAGAAACTGGAGGCGCAACACATTTCCGATCTCACCAAGCTGGGCTGGTGCAATGTCTCGCACAACGCCCTCAGCGAGCTGAGTCGCGGCACCTTTGCCAGGAACTCTGTGTTGAAAGTGCTCAATCTTGACCACAATCGCATATCGCGTCTGGATGCTAACAGCTTTCGGGGCATGCGATTCCTGCGCCGCCTATTTCTCAGCGACAATGTGCTCACGGAGATTGGTCGCGGCACCTTCGGGTCGGTGGCCCGGATTGGAACTATTGACTTGGCCCGCAATCAGCTGAAGAAGGTGGAGTACCAAATGTTTACCCAAATGAACTATGTGGAGGTGGGTACCCAAATATCAAGCAAGGGATGAGTATACTGTATGAAATTGTATACTGTCAGCTTTTGGATCTGGCGGAGAACAACATCACGAAAATCGAGAAGAACTCCTTCAAAGATATCTACCAGGCGGTGATAAATATCTCGCACAATGCCTTGGAACTGATTGAAACGGCCGCCTTTGAGAACTGCATCAACATAACCACACTCGACCTATCCCACAACCGATTGACCAACTTCTCGCGCCGCAGTTTCGACGAGAACACTTTTGCCACTACCTTCCAGCTGAGCTTCAACGGCCTGACCAGTCTGGCACATGTAATAACTCATCTAAATGGACCCAAACACGGTAACTAATCGCTGTTGTACCTTTCAGATACCCATACAGAACATGACTGGCCTGAAAGTGCTGAATGCCTCGTACAACAACATCTCGGAAATCCCCAGGAACTCCTTTCCCAAGCTGTACGAGCTGCACACGATCGATGTGTCGCACAACAACATCTCCATCATTTTCAACGGTGTGTTCCAGGTTCTCTTTTCGCTCCGGACAGTGGATCTCAGCTATAACAGCATGCGGGAAATCAAGTCATCGACCTTTGGCACCATGCCCACACTGCTGCTATTGGATCTCAGTCACAACGAGCTGGTGTCAGTGGTACGCGGGTCTATGGCCAAGATGACCAGCATGCGTCAGCTCTACCTGAACCACAATCGGCTGGAGAAGCTCTTTGAGCTGCCCATTTCACTGAACGAGCTCTATCTGAGTCATAACAACATTACGTCAATCCCAGCGAGCACGTGGCCGGTCATGAACTCATTGATCTACCTAGACCTGAGCCACAATCAGCTGGGCGACAGCCTGGACTCGCAGAGTTTCACAGGTCTGCTGGTGGTGCAGCGTCTAAAGCTGCAGAACAATGGCATCACTCAGCCGCCTCTGCAAGCAGTGGCGGGCATGTCAACGCTGCAGTATCTGTACTTGGAGGTGAGTCGATTGGCGGAGGAATTTGCGCTTTTAGATTATAATTATGAATGCTTTCAGAACAACAACATATCCGCCTTGGAGCGCAGCGCCTTTGGCAAGCTGCCGGTTCTGTTTGAACTCAATTTGCATGGCAACCAGGTCCAGGACATTAGGTGAGTGGTTCATCTTGCATCTTGCAAACGACATAAGAGGAATTTTATCTTTGATTTTCCTACAGCAAACGCGCCTTTGAGGGCCTGCTGCAGTTGCTCAACCTTAACCTGTCGTCGAACGGACTCAAGCACCTGCAGAACGACATCTTCTTTGGACTGCCATCGCTGCGCACTTTGGATCTGTCGCACAATTTGCTATCCAAGCTGGACAACAAGACGAACGGCGTCCTGGACGACCTGCTCAGCCTGGAGACCTTGGACTTGAGTCACAACCGCATCAGCTTCGTCACCAAGAAGACCTTCCCCTCGGCCCAGTACATACCGTACAACCTGCAGTACCTGGACCTGAGCTATAACCAGATGCCCGTCCTAACCTACGACATCACCTTCGGCACCAAGAAGCTGCTGCACCTGAATTTGTCCCACAACCAGATCAACGAACTGCGACGCGGCGTCCTCTCCAACTTCACCGCGTTGAATCGTCTAGATCTGTCGCACAACGAGCTCACGAACCTCCAGTCAGAGGAGCACATCTTCGACCTGCCCAAGAACCTGAGCCGCCTCGATTTGTCGCACAACCAGATCTACCACTTGCCCTTTGCCAATCTGGTGAAGGTGCAGTCGCTGGCATTCGCCGACCTGTCCAACAACAGCCTGGAGGACGTGCCCGCCACGGTAGTGGGCAGCATGCGCAACGGCACACAGATTCTGGTGGCCGGTAATCCACTACACTGCGGCTGCAATGCGCGTCCCCTTAAGCACTTTATGCTGCAGCAGACGACGCCAAGCGAGGATCTTCGGGGCATTCTCTGCACCACACCATCGCTGGCCAAGGACAAGTACCTCTTGGAGCTGGACGACGAGTTTCTGCAGTGCACCAACGACGAGAGGGAGACGTACACGGGCAGCGACTACGAGCAGCTCACAGATGTCCGGTTCCGTGAGGTTCAGACGTAAGCACAAAACCCACTGTCCGACAACTTGTCAGTCAATGACACTCTTCTTCCTTTCTGCAGCAGCAAGGCCGGCAATCTAACGCTCAGCTGGTATGTGTCTGCCACGGCAGATGTGTCCGACTTCAACGTTTATATCCGGAGCGGCGGCAACGAGGTGCTCTTCCAGGCGGACTATGCCTACAACCAGCGCACGGCCCAGATACCCATCGCAGACCTGCAGTCGCACGGCGAGGACAAGCTGCTGGCTGCCGAGATCTGCATCGTGTCCCGCGACAGCGACGGCAACACCCGGAAGTGGTTCGCCGGTCAGTGCCAGGCACTGCCGTCGCTCAAGCTGCGCAGGACCTTCTTCTTCGGAAACTTCCAAGTGCGGGGAGGAGCCGCCGCCGCCAGCCACCACACCGGAGAGTGTCACCTCGTGTTCATAGCTATCATGTTGTTTGTTGCCAAGCTGTGGTATTCGTGGTATTAAATGTCCGTCTGCGGCCACCGCTCACTGTAAGGACACGCTCTGCTCTGACCTTACGGACGAACATGTGCGCGCCGCCTTATTATCACAGCGGTGCGCACATGTACGGGTAGTTGTTTACTCGGACGCTGGACGCAGGACGTCGCCTCGCGTGGCAGCGCAATTGAGAAATTGTTACGGCCCCACCCACACCCATAGCCCCAGGCCGCAAGCCCAGCTGATGGCACGCCTGGACGGACATTCATTCAGAGCGAAACACAAAGGACGCTTCGGGTGTCCTTTCATTCTCTACTTGGGACTCGGCTGTGGCTTCGGGTTAGGTTTCGGCCCGGAGTGAGAGAGAGGAGAGCGAGGCTTGACACACAAATGCGCACTCGCGCTCTCAGCTGAAATGGTATGCGTTACACTGGCGGCCATAATTGATGATGATGGAAAGTTAAAATCAGAAAATTATTTGATCCTCGAAAGCTTTAGAGCTGTAGAGGTCCTAGCCCTAGGATATTTTATCTAATATCGGATGAACATTGAGAACAAAGTTGAAGAAGCATTTACAGTACTGTACAGCATCGGGAAAGCTCTCCCAATGTGACCTGGCCAGCAGTGTGCTAAGGACATGTGCACTTTCACTGCCACCCACACACGCCACGCTCTCGATTTCACTCTGACAACCACACAAACACACAAGAATGTGCTTTTGTGTTTTGTGTGACTTTGCTTTTGCATTTGGCCCGTCCTTTGCGACTTTGCCTGTCCTTATCGATTTTCAGCGAAATTTCACAGGCTCACGGCGCACGTCAGTGCCATGCGAAAGCGAAGTTTCACTTGTCGCGCTGAGTTCGTTCGTGTCGCAGCAGCAGCAGCAGTAGCAGAAGCACTAGCGATTGCCGTTATACCGTTTACCGTTCGTTCGTTACATAAAGAAGAGATTCCAATAGAAAGTTTAAGTGCGCTGCTGTCTGACGGCATAGATCAGTGAAAGTTTCCAGGAATAACCAAATCAGCACATTGTGATAAGCAGTACGAAGCGCGACCCCACCCCCCTCCCTTCAGAATCGAATCGAATCCAATTTCAATGTAATAAGTCGGAAATTGAGTGTATCCTCTCACTCTGTATCGCTCTCTTTGGAGACTGAAGTATCTGGCATCTGGCTGCGAAAACGCAGCACGCTGCTAAACGTGCCGTAACACGGGCGTTGAAAAAAGTTTCAGGTAGCAGCAGCCGCAACGGCAGCGGGAGCTAAGAGCAGAAAGAGCAGGAAGAACGAAATGTAATAGAGGTCAAAAGAAGCATTGATTTAACGTGTGCACTTCCACCCCCCACTCCCCCTATTCACAATCACCCACTCTTTCCCTCTTCACAGTTCAGTTCACCTCTATTTCGTCTTCTTCATTAAGTTCTCCTCCTGTTCTCCCTCTCTATCCCACTGTCTTGGGTGCGTGCTCTGTTTTTCGGGACACGACTGTTGTTAATAGTGTGCGTTTGTCATACCGAATATTTGCGTGTACGTGTGTGTTTCATTATTAATTTGTTTAAACTTTAAAGTTTGCCATTCACACACTCACACGTAAATTGTGGCGCCCTTATATTAGCGAGTGTGTGTGTGTGTGTGTATGTGCGAAAATGTTGATGACGAACCCACTTACGTCTATCGCAAAACCACAAAAACCACCACAAACAGCCGCAGCAGCTGAAAAAAAATCGCATGTAACACACGAACACACACACACGTACAGTTCAATATCCAATACGAAACCAAGCATAATTACATAATCAAATAGAGGAACGACTTGCAAAAAAGACAAAACAAAAGCAAAGCCTAAAAGGAATAAACAAAAAATCACGAGGCTCAACAAACAAAACCAAAAAAACAGAAAGTTAACCCAAAATAACCCAAAAAAAAAAAATGCAATGAAACGAAAATCAACGTAACGTGCAGAATTATTTAATCGACGCCAGAGGCCCCCTGGAAACGCCTCAAACAAAGGAAAAACGACAAAAAAAAAAAGCTATGTGAAGAGGACAAAACTACGTATAGAAAGTAATAATAGAGAACCAATGTACCTGCAACAATGAAATTGAGCAAATCTTAAACAACAAACCGAAAAACCAAACAAAAAATCACCAGGATAAAGATTACTTTTAAAAATATACAAAGACACTCGCTATATACCAAAGTGCTATAGTACATATACTCGTAATCGATAGGCAATACATTATATGATATAAACGCTACCCACAAACTACCCATTTAAACCGTAGTTCGTTGACGTTTGTTCGCTGCTGGGAGGATAACGATACCGATAAGGATAGCGATAGAGAGTAACCCCCTCCCCCAATCAATCGTTGGATTGGATCGTAGAGTAATGGAACTAACCTCGTAGTTTGTAGAGAGACGTGCGTCTCCGCAAGTAGGAAGCAAATCAAATACTCGTAGCCGCAACATTAACGCACTTAACGACTAACTAAAACTACCAAGTAGTTGCCTCTCTTATATACAATATATATAATATATACACCTAAAAAGATATATACAAGATACCTAGCTGTAGCCGAACATATACGCCAATCTATATATCTACCTATATGGATTTTATTTTTATAAATTCGCTCGGGTGAGCATCCTCCGAAGTACTCCCACTCCCAGCCACAGCCCCAGACCTCGACCTAGGCCTTTAAAATTGCATCTGAATAAGTAACGAGGTCGATTAATGCATTAATTGGGTGGCGAAGGACACCACACCGCCACGCCAAGCCGCTCCAAGGAGAGACCACCCGGTCCGGTCCTTGCCCCCGCCCAGCCGCATCCTCTCTCGCTCGCGTGTCGCTCGTGCTAGTATCCAAGGAGAGATACGTGCACACAGACACACATACACAATATATATATATACAACATATATAAGCAAAACTACCTGCTTTGGGTTTCCTGTGTGGCGCCTGCCTTGACGTAACTTTGGCCGTACAGCTGTAGAGGAGGGAGTAGCACCGAAACGCCTTAACCTGAGTCACTTCCATCGCCCCACAGAGCGACCGCTACGCCAGAAAGCCAGAAAGCCAAACCTTGCCCGCTGTGCGTTCATTAAACTTTCATGACCAAACATTAAATTGCAAAGAGCAAAAGGAAGTAGAAGTGGAAGAGGAGAGGAGATAAGAGGAGGAACCTCTCCCCATTACCGTTCCATAGCATACATTTCGGAGTAAGGAAACTCAGCCAAAGTGACAACGCTCCATCAACCCCCCCGGCTCTGTTGTTGTTTGTTTGTGATAAATTATTCACCGATCCGGATCCGGATCTTGATAACGCCCACCCAATCCAGCCCAGCCCTTCTTGTTATTCGGCCCCAGCTCCAGCCAGCTCCAGTTCCAGTTCCAGCTCCAGTTCCAGCCCCACCATCACCTTATACACCACCAAAAAAAAAAAAGAAACACAATAACGATACCGTAGAGGGAAAACGACATTTATAATCCAAAGTACAAACGAATAACCCCAAACAACGCTGCAACTCAAACTAAACTATAAATAGCAACATATGGTATTATTATACATACAAACCCAGCAGATATACCCAATAGACACATACCCTCAAGCAAACACCCGCATAACGAATAACGAATCGGAATCGAAACGAAGCGAAGCGAGGCGATACGTGTACAACCGAAAGCAATACAAGCAAGTGCTGTTAACTATTTTAGGAGCTACCTTTTAGACATTCAACCTACGTTACTTAACACCCAAGAACCCACCAACCAACCGAACCCCAAACCCCGGAAGGAGGACGACAAGCAGCAGGCAGTACATGCAATACAGTGAGAGTGAAACAGATAGAGTAACACAACGAAAAGCAATTTATTTCCACGATGTGTGACGACCTGTGTTAGTTAATGCCAAAAATCGAAACGAAAGTTGCACCCACACTCCACACCCAGACACTAACACTCACTTACCAAAATCTACACCTACACCAACAACATGCCCATCACAGGGTTAAGAATTGCATCAGTCATCGCGGGACGTGCATTATAGAACGGAGTACCCCAACAAAAAGCACCAACAACAACAGCAGCCACCACATCAGGAGTTTAACGGTAACTGTTACGGATAGAGGACGGCGGATAGCGGGTAAAAGTCGAAAGCCGAAAGTGGCGAGAGAAGCGGAACTTCACCGTTACTCGATGTGGTGCTAGTGGTGGCGACGTGACGGCGGCTGTGGTGACAGAAAATGCACGTGAAACACACTCAGCGCCGAGTCAGCGGTCCTGGAGCATTCGGAACCTTTACCAACGATCAACGGTATGAGAAAACCATCATATAAACGTATTCCCTCTATGTCTGTGTCCTTTGTACCGTTTTTGTGCACGATCAATGTACAGTTGTGCGAGTGCGTGCATTGGGTGACGGTGACGGTGACGCTGAGGTGACTCGTGATTAGGATCGAATGATCACCTCCAAGTGTCCACCCTGTGCCCACACTCGCACACCATTAAACGTGAATGTAATTCTGTTTCAGTTCTTGTGTTGTTTGTGTTGTTTGTTTCGTTTTGTTCGTTTTTGTTGTTGTTATCGATGGCGTCATTGTTCGTTTGTCTCTTCAGTTACCTACCCTGTTATTGTTGTAAATGTTGTTGCTGCTTCTATTGTTGTTTTTGTTACTGTTCACGTTCATCTGTGTTTTTGTGTGCGTGTGTGTGTGTGTATGTGTGGGGTCGGGCAATGGCCAAGTGCTCCACTGGCATCCATTAAGACCCCGATTCCTTTGACCGGCGGAAAGAGCACATTCACATGTCATGCCCAGGTCAGAGTCCAGAGGACCACATCTGTCACTCTAGTCAATGCAATTACAAAAACTAGATTAAAAGCCCAGCCAACAATAGCAGCAACAATGGATTGCCAGCCAGCACATAGAGTGCCACATGTCCACACACGCTCCGCCTCCGCCTACGCTTCCTCCACCCTCCTCCACACACAATGCAACGCTGGAAAAATAGTGTCAAAGCACTTTCGTTGCATACAGCCAGGCGCCACTGTACTGTACGTGCAATTGCAATAGTGTTTTTCCCTTTCTCTCTCTCTGTGTGTGTGTGTGTGTGTTTAGGTGCATGGGCGTGCAGTGGAAGCTTTTGCTTTTAGTTCAATGAAATGATTAAACCACTGACCGATTTTCGGCTGCTGTTCTGTTTATGTGTGTGTGTGTGTGTTTGTCTGTTGTGTGATGTGTGTGTTTGTATGTACATATGTATGCATCGATAAGCGCTTGCTGACTTTGTTGTTGTAGCTGCTTTCCCACAGCTTATTCACATGGAAACGACAAACACACACACACACTCACGCACAAACACACACAAACTGAAACTAGCAGAGGGGCAGATTAGCCGTTTATTTAATACTCTTTCAGAGATTGGATGTGAGTATGTGATATTTGCAATGCAGCGAAGAAAGGTACTCCATACACCACAAGGCACATTTGTACATATATGTTCTTGATTTATCATGTTCGTCTATCTGTTGTAAGCAATTCTGAAGACCATATAACATACATATGTATATGTCAATATTTTTTAAAGTATCTCCAAGAGTATCAAAAGCTTCGGCGCCCGAAGATATCCTGCCGTCATTGCTGTTTCTTTCCATGTGCAAAAGGAAGCCCCAGATATTTCCAATTCAACTACTTTACACACATACATACGTGCATACATATGTAGTACGAAACACGCACAGACATGCACAGAATAAGGATTTTTGTTTCTTATCCCATCAACTAATCTCATTTTAGTTATTTGTTTCGCTCAGTTGGTTGTTGTTTTTGTTGTTGTTTTCGGTTTGTTTCCTTGGTTTTAATTTGCATTCGTGAATAACTGGGATTTATTTTGTGTCACTGTTGTTATTGTTGTTTTACAGAAAACTTTGCTTTAAAGTACAAAAAGTTGAACCATAAAGTAAGCATTAACTGAAAAAAAAAAACCAAAAAGAAAAAACCAGAATCCGAACCCGAACCCGCACGAACAGAAGCGAAATCAGATCAAACAAAAAATTTCGACAGCTGCTTTGACATCATCAGCGAAGGTACCGCCGACAAAAGTTCTGAGTATACCTCCCCCCCCTCTCACTCTCTATCTATTTCTCTTTGACTCTCAGTCACAGCTATTCTCCTTCTCTCTATAAATATGCATAAACTGTAGCCTCTATATGGTACTTCTCTAATACTAAGTACTACTTCTACTACTACTAATACTACTGCTACTTTATACCATTACATTTACGATTACAACTGCAACTGCAACACAGAATAAGATACACTTTTTAATGCTATTAAATTTGCTGCTCGTTCCCCACCCCTTCCCCCACCACCACACTCGCCCAGCAAGTCGCCCCGCAAGCCCTCAACAATTTCTTGTTGCAAGTAAAAGTAATCTCATTAACTTTGATGCACTTTGCTACCCCACCCCTCGCCAAGCAGAGCCAAGCTATACCCAGAACCAAACCAACTCCGACTACCGAATGCATCGCTTAATGACTTATAACAATGCCTGCTTAAGATCTAGCCCTACCCGTACATTCCCACACTTCAGACCCAGACCTGTACCGTATACCTCACAGCCATTATATTATTCCTTGCTGTAGCCGTATCGAACTTTTTCAAAATTTCATTTTGGAATCGCATGACAAGTGGTTATGATATAGCATTTATTTGTTTGTTTGTTGTCTGATGATTCTTGATATAAAAAAGGTTTATTAATTGATCTGCTGTTTGTATAATTAATGGATTATATTGTTACGATTCTGGTTAGCCCAAAATAATGTGACTCACATCGAGTTTTGTGTGTCATTTGGCTGGCTGTCTAGCCGGAAATCTTTTCAAGTTGCAAATTAATTAATTGCCAGATTGGTGGTTTACGAGTTTATGAATAACATTGGATGACCTGTTTGAACACTCGAACATGGCCAAAAGCCAGTTAGAACTGATTCACAAAGGTCGTTTGAAAATCGTGTTGGTTGAAGGTGCAACATTTTGGTATACAAACTCTGATACAGAACATTTCCACAACCACAACTTTGTTCAAACTTTTGCCTCTAGTCTTTTATTTGGACGATCTAATTAATCCTCTTGCCTTAAAAACCGTTGCTTAAATGATCTAAACAACAAATAAAATACTCAATAGGTATTTTAATGTATCCTAAATTGCCATGCCCCACCCGGCCACCCCGTCACCTTTTCAACCGATACATTTTCAAACAGCAATCACAGATAAATGTAGTTTCGTTCAAATAAACACCAAACACCACCCGTGACCCCGCCACGCCCCGCAGCCTTTCCAGCTTGGCAGCATTGTAAACATTGGAGCACTAAAAATGGAAATATTCGTAATTTGTTTACGGCTAAATGTGTTTCGAGTGGTGGCATGTTTGGTAATTTGCTTTCAATTTTGTTTGATTTTGGCCTGCAAAAAAGCTGCCAGCCAGCTCATGCGCCATTAAATATTGCATTGAAAATTTCCCTAAATATTTGCCAAAATCCATTTAAAAATAGTTCTCCCACACAGCGCTTGGGTGCTGGGTGCGGGGTGTGGGTTGGGGCCAGCTATTAGGTTTAAAGTTCCCGCACACAAAATCATTTAAAACTAAATCGACTATGAGTAATTGAAGCGAAGCACTTTGAGTTGCACATGTACATTTCTACAAAGTTATAGCCTATATATGTACATATGTATTTGTATTTGTATGTTTGTAGATCCCCCCATTTGGGGGCTTACAGCTTCCACTGATTCAAGATCGATTAACGAAGTGGAATGCAGGCCTGCTCAATTAGGAACTTACGCTTAATGCCTTCAATTGGCTTTTGAATTATTAATTGATGCATACTCGCATTGAGTGTGTGTCGAGGGGGAGCTGCCCACTGGGCAGCACGTGCTCCACTAATCCCCCCACATCCAACCCGCCAGCAGAGCACTCCAGTGCACCACAGTTGACATTGGACAAGCAGCCGCTAAGGCTGTGGCTGAGCCAGAGACAGAGCCAGAGCCGGAGCCTGGGGGGGTGGGCTGCCCTTGCCGCAGAGCTTTGCTTTCGTTTCGAGTCCCATACAATTACCCAACAAGGTTGTCTTATTTGTTTGCTCAGCCCCCGAAACTGGACTCGGACAACCGTTTCTTGGCCAAGAGAAGAGAGGGGAGAGGGGAGGGGCCCATATACTTTTGACTGCAGCACTTGACAGGTGGCAAACACTCGAAACCAAATGAAAAAAGCCATCAGATCAACGAGGGAGAAGCAGCAGAGATTGCCTGCTTGACTATCCACAGATTTCATCTCTGTGTGTTGGGGCCTCGCTGCGCTCAGAGCTGGAATTCTCCGGGGGCCGTCGATGCTTTCGCTCTGATTGGGCTGGTAACCGAAATGGACTTTCGGCCAGATTAGGTCTTCACACACACACACACACACACACACACACACACGTATGTATCTGCTGAGCTGTCTATCTGTGAAGTGGCCCACTCATCGGGGGTCCGCATTGGAGTGCAAATATTTGACATATTTACTTGTGCTTACAGAAATGCCAGCTCGAATTCCTATTTCGATTCCGATTCCGATTCAAATGCAAATCCAAATTCAGATAATTGCGCCCATGGCGTGAGGGCGAGCACCTAATTGACTGAAATTGATTTCACTCGATTCCGTCAGTGGGTGGCATGGGATGTGGAGGATTACGAATATATACATATGTATATGTAAATATTTGCTTTACAACATTTGCCCTTCCCCACCCCCTCCCAATAGTTTTGGCACATGCTCTGTCATTGGGGCTCGTTCGACTAGGGTTCAGTGCCGAATCCGTGAGTTCGGAACCATCGCGTAGTGCTCGAGGCACGCACACACCCAGGGAGAGAGCTGCTTCAATTGTTTTCCTTTTGTTCGGTTCCACACACACACACACACACTGCTGGAGGGGGCAAGGGGGGGTTGGGGCTCTGCTTAGTTCTGTCAACAATAGTTTTCCTCACGTTTCATCGCATTGATTGCCCCCCAAGCCACACAGTGGGCCAAATCCGTTTCACAGCGCAACAAACTCCCTCTGAATGCCGTTAGTTGGCGCAGCTTCCCGTTCCGTGCCACTGTAGTCGCGTTCTGCTCCCACGCTTTATCAGTGCGGGTGTCTGGGTCTGGGTCGGTCTGCCTGACGCAGCCTTATCTTATCGCATTCGCTAGATTTTCGGGGCAAATTTGATTTAGAGCACTTCCGCCCTGGCCATTCCACCGTTCAGTTCCATTTGGGCACGCGCTCATATAATATCTTTTTTTTTTTATGCCGGTATCGGCTGAATCTGAATCTGCATCTGCATCTTCGCTGGTATCTATGCATGCATTTGTTTGTTTGCTATTTGTATATTTGTATCTGCTTGTGCGAACGGCCTGGCCGGCCTATTGCCGCCTGCCTTGGCATGCGTGCTGCTGTACATTAATTTAGTTGAATTTTTCGCGCGATCAGAAACCAGATGAGCATGTCAACCATTGTTATATAGATGTCTCTATAAATTGTATCACACATCGCGGTCACAGTGGTCCCTCGATGTGCAGACCCAGTCGAGAGCACATGTCGGAGCACTCGCTCGGATCGAGTGTCCACTGCATGATGAACTCACACACACACACACAACATACTTACATGCTCGTTGCGGGGAATTCGATCCTCCTCCGAGTCTGCCTCCTCTCATGTTGCACAATCAATATCTATAATTAACGATTTTCTTTGTTTGTCTGTCGCGGTTTTCCACACTGTTTCCTGCTCACTTAGCGTAGCCACTCACTGCCACTCTGTCCACACCCCGTGTCCAGCACAACCCCCATCCCGCCCAGCCCCACCACCCGCCCCCATGCTGCACATATCTGCCAATTTGAAATAGATAAATTTGAGTGTTTTGCGGCAACTCTTGCCATTCGTTCCAGCATCATTTACCCGTTCTCATTCTTGTCTCCTCTTTCTTTTTGCGCCTCTCCTGCCGCCGCCGCCGCTGCCACCACCTCGGATGACTCTGCTGACTCTAGTGCCAGCCGCGACAACTTGTTCCCCGACGACCATCAGCAGCAGCAGCAGCAACAGCAGCAGCAGCCTCCGCAGCGGCACTCACACTCGCACCAGCACTTGGTGCGGCAGTCTCTGAGCAGTCTCAGCCACGGCCAGGCGTCATCCGGATCCGGGCCAGCGGGGGATGAGCAGCGGGCCCACCAGCAGCAGCACCAGCAGCAGCAGCACCGCCATCGCAGCAGCAGCAGCCGGCTATCGAGCGGCATCTCGAAGCAGAACTCCAGCGACAGCCGCAGTGGACTGCGCATCCTCGACAGCCACAGTCCGGTCAGCTGCGGCACGCAGAGCGTGAGCAGCACTGGCGGCCACTCGGCGCTCTACGATGCCTGCCACGAGTACACGCGCAGCTTGAGTGCAGCTCCAACAGGCGAAACAGGATCGGGCGCGGAAGCGGGCGGCATATCGTTGCTGAAGGGCCACTACAGTGACCAGCAGCTAGCGCAGCCAGAGCCAGATCCGGAGCGAGACAGAGATAGAGACCGAGATCAGACCGAGATAGAGATCGAGATAGAGAGCGGGAGAGACGCCATCTGACCAATCTCAATCTTAATCTGAACAGCGAGTACGACTACAGCGGCAGCGACAAGCAGCAGCTGGTGAACGAGACGTACATCTTCAAGTGCATCGCCAACAGTCCGTCGTTTCTGCGCACCAACAAGATCAAGGAGCAGTCCAAGAAGCTGCGCAACCTCTCGCTGAAGACGCGCACGGCCAAGAAGAAGGGCCAGATCATCTCCAAGTCGAACGCGGTGTCGGACAACTCGCTGCATCCGGGCGACAAGTACCTCAACTTGTATCTGGTGGAGAAGAAGCACTCGCTGCAGCCGCAGGCGACATCCACATCGGCGTCCACATCCACGCCCAATCCCCACTCAGCATCAGCCCCGGCCAGCTCATCCTCATCTTCCACGGCGACAGCTGCGCGTCCGCAGCAGTCCCAACAGCTTCCAGCCCTATCCGCGGTTGCCGCACGCCAGCAGCAGCTGCTCCTCAACGGATCCCTGAAGAGCAAGACGAAGACCTTCCCGGCGTACAGGGCGTCCGTGAAGAGTGAGAGCGAGAGCGAGTATCGCGGCAGCGGCAGCAACACCATTCCGACGACGGGAAAGAGTCCGCCGGTGCCGCACTCGCTGGCGGCCAAGATAAGCAGCGGCAAGAACTGCAATCTGCTGCAGAACGCCGGCAACAAGCAGCTCAGCGTCAGCAGCAACTCATGCCACAAGCTGCATGCCCACGGACACGGACAAGGACACGGACACGGCCAATACGCGGGAGCACAAGCACACCATCTGGCCTCATCGCCCAAGAGCTCGGTGTCGAGCAACGGACACCTGAACAAGTACTGCCTGACAGACCTCACGCGCCGCAAGGCAGAGTTCAATCGCCAGCTGAGCGCCCCCACGGACTACACGCACCACTCCTCCAGCAACGGGTCCCAGCAGGAGGGCTCCTCCGAGGCGGCCAATGAGGCTGTGGGCGAGTCGACCATCACTGTAGCCAGTGCGGGAGTGCTGGGAAACGGCGCCGGCCACGGCTATCCGTACATCCATCAGGCCTCGGCCACTGCGCCGGCCAACCTCAAGGCGTCGCTGCAGCTGCACAACTTCGGTGTCCACCATCCGTACCCGTATCCGTCGCGTCCCACGTCCACCTCGTGCACGAACAGCTTCAACCGCCGCCACATACGACGGCACAAGAGCAAGCTCGGCGACCGGTGAGTACCCGTAGTCGTAGCACCTGTACTGCCCCGTAGTTAAGAGAGTGACAGATCCATTACAAGTGAAAAATTACGCATGCAAAGCGGTGCCAAAGCCGCGAGACGACTGTCTCTTACCGGTTTTTTGTTGTTTTTTGTTTTGTTTTTTGTTTAACTGTGACGTTTGAGGTGCTTGTGGTGCTGGCTTATCGCAGGTATTTGCATAATGCCATCTCGGCCCGGGTCTCGTTGTGGTCTGGTCTGATCTGGTCTGGGCACGGCTCGTCTTGTCTCTGTAGCTTTGGTCAGGGCTCAGTCCGAGCATTGAACTTTATTCGAGCGGCGAACCCGCACCAAGGATTTTCGTGTCTGTGAGTTATCGATTAGCGATACGCGATCGATATTAGTCGAGTATCATTGCTGGCAAAGGCGGCAAACGGGATATTTGCCTTGCCCTTTATTTTGTAAGCGATTCGGAAACTAGCTTCATTAACATACCGATTCGATTCGGTGCGGCGACTGGCTGGAGAGTAAACAGCAGAGTCAATAATTTTTGAAATTTATTGCACCAGTTCCCCAGCGAAAGAAAGAGACAGAGAGAGCGGGAGAGAGAGAACGACGCGACCGAGACCCAGACCCAGACCTAGCGTCTGGCTTCGCTTCCTTCTTGCCCCATTCCCGCCTCTCGACCAGACAGATCGCTGAGCAAGAACAGAACGGAGCGAAGCGGAGCGGAGCAGAGCATATATTTGCATACAAATCTAAACGAAATTCTCCATTCGAATCGAATCGAATCGGATAAGAACGGATCGACGCTTGTTTGTTTATGTTCCGATTTTGAATAGTTTGCGGATCGTTCTGTTTGGTGGGCCCCTCGTGTGCTTTTATTGGCATCAATTTCTGCGAAGAATGGCAGCGAATTACGGACCCGGGGTCCAGCCATAATTTGCGTCGCCGCTCGTCGCGTCGCGAAATCAATTAAAAAGCAACACAAATTCTTTATTTATTTATTGTGCAACAGCGCCGCGAGGTTCAGAACAGGTTATCAAGTCGTCGTCGCCGCAGCAGCCGCAGCAGCCACCAGCAGCCTCAGCAGCAGCAGCAGGCATCCAGCATCGGCATCAGCTTGATAAATTCTGAATAAGGCACAGCCTCAGACCCAGCCCCAGCTACAGCTTCATCCTCTGCCGCTGCCGTAGACGAAACAAAAAAAAAAAAAAAAAACAGCGGAAAAACAGTAAACAGAAAAACTATAAACAGTAACAGTAAAAAGCAACGGGAAATCAGAAGAGAAGAAACTATCGTCAAGTGCACAGGCACAAGGCACTGGTGTCAATCTCTCAATTATCTCTCATTTAATTAGGCAACTGCCAGCCAATTTCGGTTTTTGTGCTCTCGGAAACGACTGCATCATATCCCGATCCGATCTGGATCGCCAGCAATTGATGTTCGAGGTAATACCCGTCGTACAAACGAAAGCAAAGTGTCTCTGTCAGCGTCTACGTCTCAGTTTGCGTCTCTCGGTCTTTCCGTCACTCGCGATCCGTATCCGTACCTCCCGCGGCTGCTGGAGGACGCCCGAAGGCGGCTACGAAACGCGCCGCTCGCTCGGTCATTCGGAGTGTGGTGGTGCTCTGCGTTTGGTTGCCGGCCAGCTGTAGCTGTAGCTGTAGCTGTGATCACTGTGCTCGGACCGTGCCGTCGCTAGTCGCAGAAAGATTGCCGCTGTAACAACGTGGAGTAGCCAGTACCTCATACGCGTGTACCCTACTAGTCCCCGCCCAAACTAATACCCTATGTGTGAGTCGTTAAATCAGAGACAAAACATCTGCTGCGGCACGTTTCCAGTTGCCAAACAGAACAGCAGGAACAACAACAACAACAAAAACATAGTGGAAACAAAATACAGAAAAAAACACAGCACAGCACAGCAACAGCACAGTGAAACCACAATTAAGAATCCGTAACCAACAATTTATGTGTAATGCAATATTCTGGGAAATGTTAGAGCTCTTTCTGCGGTTCTATACTGTTCGTTCTCTGGTGTGCTTTCCGAATCATAATAACTAATAAATTCATTAGGGCGATGATTAAATTAAATCAGCTTCATTCATCAGGCTTAATTAAAATGAAACTTTCCCATTTCGAAATATAAAAATGACCATCAATTGACTGTGAAGAGAAGCAAAAATACAAAAAAAAAAAAATGTATATAAATAAGTACAAAAAAAAGCCAATGTGAAATAATAATAGAAATATGTACATATGTACAAATGCGATTACGAGTCCGAAACCGAATACGAAATACGAATAACCGTAACATTCATAGCCCCCGCCCGAGCAGAGTAACGTAACTGCACGCGTCTCCGTCTCCTAACAATAGATCCGCGCTGAATACCACGCGATTTGTCGTTCAGTCTCCCTTCCCCACTGACGATTCAACATTGCGCCGCTGTGCTCCAAAAAAAAAAAAGAAAAAAAACGCAAGCAAGCAGAGCAAACATCATTTCCGCAGCAACGTGCGGGGTGCGGTGCGGTGCGGAGTGGCGGTTTGCCGGAAAACCTTGGCAATCAGCATCGAATGGGCAAGGTGAGAGGAGGAGCAGCCCAGACCAGACGAGACGGCGCACTCTCTGTCGCCCTCCTCCTCCTCCCAGCTAAAGCTTGCAACGTGCGTGTGGCATAATTAAAAACGACAAGAAAAATAACCGGCGTGCTAACCTACCCCACCCCAAACCACCTTGACATCCCGCGCGGAGCGTGGAGCATACTTTCACTTTATCGGGGACCGACCTTATGGCGTCAATTGTAACGGAATGCTTCCAGGAAGTGATTTCAGGGCTTTGATTATGTTTTATGATTCTGAGAATTAAATATTCAGAATTAACATTGATCTGGGAGAGCTCCGCGAAACCCGATTTGAAGTGTTTTAAATTGCAATTAGTGCAATTCGAGTGGCCGGAATTTAGTACAACTCCACAAAGTATTTGTAAATACTCGGATCGGATGTCTTTTCCTCGAATTTTGAGAGTTTTGTTTAGGCAGCTACATAAAATGAAATCTGAGGAGAATTTATCCTCTGGTCGGCATGTCGACCATATGTCGCACTTATTATATACATACATATGTATATGGACATATGATATGTGTTTTTTATCCATTGTAACAATGTTTCATACTTACAGTGTGCTGAGCGGCGATAGTGAGGAATCGGTGCGCTGCTCATATTGCTCCGTCTTGAATGTGAATGAGAACGACTTGCGCATTTCGTTTGAGAACACCTGCACCGACTCGCTGGTCACCGCTTTCGATGATGAGGCACTGCTAATATGCGACCAAGGAACCGAAATGGCAAGAGCAAAGGTTTTATATGTACTTTTTGCACAGGACAGATCACACTCACACACACACACACACACACATACAAACACACACACCCACTCCCACACACACACAATCATCATTAACAGACTACAACAACGACAGCGACTCAGGAAAATTTCGAGAGAGAGAGAGATATGCTGGATATATTGACTAATTGCTTCGTGTTTGTATTTCCCACTCACAGGTACACTTTGATGACGTGTCGTTGTACGGCACTCCGAAAGAGGAGCCGATGCCGAACATACCGATCGTGTCGGAAAAAGTCTCTGCGAATTTCCTAAAAAGTCAATTGCAATCATGGTTCCAGCCGACGGACAATCGTCTGGCCATGAAACTGTTTGGCAGCCGCAAGGCATTGGTCAAGGAGCGCATACGTCAGAAAACTTCCGGTCATTGGGTCATACATCCGTGCAGTTCATTCAGGTGAGTGGGACTCGATGGACGAGTGGATATATCGATATCCTTTGCTAATCTGTATCAACATCAATTCGATCTGATTGACAGGTTTTACTGGGACCTTTGCATGCTTTTATTATTAGTAGCAAATCTTATTATCCTGCCAGTCGCAATATCATTCTTCAACGATGATCTGAGCACACGATGGATTGCCTTCAACTGCCTAAGTGATACTATTTTTTTAATAGATATTGTAGTCAATTTTAGAACAGGTAATGCACATAGTCCACATACGAATCAACCTACCAACCTACCAACCTACATATGTATGTAAATAACCCTCCCCCGGGACACCACCGGACTGGCTCAAGCCTCGAGCCCGTGCCCGAGCGGTTGTGGTTGTGGTTCCTTCTGTTCTCTTCTAAACTTTGATGTCATCTCTCGCCCCAAATGTTTTTCTTAGGAATTATGCAACAAGACAACGCTGAACAAGTAATATTGGATCCAAAGCTTATAGCTAAACACTATTTAAGAACTTGGTTTTTTCTCGATTTGATTTCGTCGATACCGCTAGATTATATATTTTTAATTTTCAATCAAGTAAGTCCATGTATTTTGAGAAGCAGTACGCAACACATTGATTAAGATTATGAAATTGCAGGATTTCTCTGATTCTTTTCAAATTTTGCATGCCGGACGAGCACTGCGCATCCTGCGCCTAGCTAAACTACTCTCCCTCGTCCGCCTGCTCCGGCTGTCCCGCCTCGTGCGCTACGTGTCCCAATGGGAGGAGGTCTATGTGAGTACTCACGGCTACATTTTGCCAACGTTCCTGAAACGTTACTCGTTATCGTTTCTTTTCAATTGTTTTCGGTTTGCATAATGTACGTAAAAGTGCAAGTACGATGTTATTTCTTTACCCTTAACCCCACTTTCTTGATTTCCGTTTGTAATGTCTCTACAATATAACATTGTATGTACGATATTACATGTCATAATGCGCATTATGCATTACATATTTATGTACGAGAGTATCTCTGATTCCTGAGTTTCGTCATTCACATTTCAGTTTCACTTTTGAGTTGGAGTTTTAGTTTAGTTTTAGTTTCGGTTTGAGTTTCAGTTTCTGTATACTTTTTCGTTTGCGATCCAATTCTCGACCGTAAGATCAGCATACTCGCCAATACTACTCGTTCGTTCGTTCACTCGCCCACACCACAACAGATTACGATTTCGATTCCGAGGATCTAGCATATAGGATATAGGATCTGTGTATGTGTAGTACATAGGTTCTTCACAGTGACTGCAGTTAGGCTTAGCACAGATGTCAGGGGTCGATCGATGGTCAGGGGACTTAGGACTACTCCACGAAGTGCTCACTTTTCTTTGTCAAATGAACATATATGATATATATATATATGTATGTATATGCCACACACATGCGTGCATCCATCCATCCATTCGCATGTATTGTATCCACATGTGTGGGGCCGTAAAGAAATGTTCAAACTACTACCATATGTACTACTATTTTCGTTGAGTTGTTATCTGGAAAAAACTCTGTGTCTTTGATTTCCGTTTAAAACCTTATGCGTTCGATTACCAAATGCGTTTTATTTACCAAGTAATATGATACTCTTTTTCTCGTACCGTACCTCCTAACCGTAATACATGCCGTTTTTATATGTCTATTAAGCCGAACGAACATAGAACCAAACCAACCAGACAATCGCTGTACCATAAGCCAACTCAGTTTGTATATTATACGATTGTGTATCCACTCCCCCAACTCCACCCACCCCACGATGTTTGTTTCGTTTCGTGTTGTGCGCCTGCTGCGCTTCGAGTCCCAGACCAGATCCATCCAAAAATCCCCACCTAGGCCAAATACTGCAAGAACACACATATCCTATCTATAACAGACAAACACACACATACACACTTATAAAAAGTATAAATAAAGAAAATTCTTAAACAAACACACAGACACACACAAATCGAACCGAACCGAATCGAATCAAATCAAATAATTTATTCTTTGACCATCTAACGCGCTCTAAGCCAAGCTTGAGGACTTCACGGGAAGATCCCTTTGCTTTCTTTCCACATTTCTTCTGTTGAGTCTTCGATTTACCGCTTCTGTTGATCTGATATTCGATTTTCTGTTCATTTCTTGCTGACTTTGAAGCACTCAAACCAATTCTTCATTGCACTTTTGTACAACTTCTTTGAATCCAGAGGACATCTCCGGCACTCTCAGGTGTTTAAGGAATGCCTTTGAATCTATCTCTCTTTCCCCTCTCTCCTATCTCTCCTGTCTATCCAAAATAACCCCGAACCCTTATCCCAAATCCAAACCCCACCACCCATCACACCTCACTCCGTTTTGAGATACGTACAACTACAGTTTCTTAAAGGATATATAAGCCACATACCTTATGATTTATGTTTATTTTGTTTTTGAACCGCTGAACCGCGGAAGCGATGAAAAGAAATGAATACCAAAAAAAGAATCCAACAAAGAATTGTCAAATGAAAGAAAATGAAAACGAAAATCAAAATCAGATTAAGAATCCCAGTAAAGAGATCAAAAATGAAATAAAAATAAACTATACAAAATCCAATAAGCTGAATCAGGGCCTAAAATACCTGTGTATATATATGGTTTTAGATTCTGCAGAATCTACAGAAAAAAAGTGCTGATCGCAGAGGGAGAATGAACAGAAAAGACAAAGATGGCTTGACAAAAAGCAACCTAATTCTCAAGGTAAACCATCCAATAAAAATAACAAACAAAAATCAACAAAAAACACAACAACTTCAATATACATTCGTTGATAAAAAAAAAAACAAAAACAAAAAAAAATACCTTGATTGATTCAAATTATAATTATGTATTAACCGGCGCAACATGACTCACCTTTGAGGACTGTTCGAGCCAAAATTCAGTTTTAGTGCATCATTTCGTTCGATTGTTCGTTCGTTCGATTGTTCGTTGATCATGTTTGCTTGATTTTATCGTAATGTTCGTTCGTTCGTACGTTCTGTAAATTTTCTGAGACTGCCTTTTTATACACACATTGATTGATTGATTAATATTGACATAGTACCTACATACTCTCTATTTCCCATTTGATGCATAACTAAAATAACAAAAAAAAAAAAAAACCAGAAAAACAAAGAGAAGAAATGCATTATTCAATAAAGTCTTCGGTGGTGAAATAAAAGCTTTCTTTCACGCTCTTCACACGATTTGGGGATACGATTTCTCGCCTGAGGAAACATTAGATGACATATCGTAGATTTTGATTCCATGCATGGGCATGACTGAAAGTCCTTTCGTACTGCTGTATCTTATGCTCCGAACCACAGATTAGCTGGGTTCCACCTACATACATATGTATATTCTAGTCCATTCTAGCGATGTGAAGAGCCTGAAAATGTGACAGATCTCAGCAGAAATCAATCTGAAGCGGTTTTTCAGAGTGCAGATCAATGCTATTTGGTGTATATAAATATATCCATTGAAGTAGAGGAGCAGCCGCATCAGCTGATCTGTTGATCCCACTGTAAATATCCCTATAAACTGCACCGTTAGAGAGTTGTTTTTGTAGTTGCTGCTGCTGTTCCTGCTGCTCCGCTTCTGCCAGGAGCTTCTTCTTAGCCGACAACGCTGCACCGCATTGCCACATTCCGGATTGGATTCCAATGCCCAGGGCTCAGACATCACAGAAAAAACACACACACACACACGAAATAGTCAATCGATGTAGCGATAAATCTGCGACAGTTGTCGGGGTCTATGCTGATTGCCTGAGGCTGGCCAACAGATCAACAGATCAATCAGATCGAACACGAACACTGTACTATATCTAGCAACGTAATACTCGTATTATATAGCATACATTTGTGGGCCCATGCCGAAACGCTTTCTACATCCTAAGCCTATCGTATCTATCGTACTCAACCTAACCTCACCTTTGATCGACACTCTGCTCAATGCTTTCTGCTTTTGTTTGGCGCCATATTTGTGCTGCGCGCTTTCTTGCTCCCCACTCCGTACTCTCTCTCTCTCTCTTTACCACACACACTCTCTATTTCTCTTTCTCTCACTCTCAATTACTTTTAACAAACACAACTGAACTGCTACCGTTGCTACTGCTACTGCTGCTGCTTCTACTGTTGTTTCTGTTTCTGTTTTTGGTTATGGTTTTTTTTTTTTGTTTACCCGCTTTGAGTTTTACCCTTCGGTTGTGTTTTCTCCTTTTCCCTCCTCTCTTCCTGATTTTTGTTTCTGTTGTACAAAGGATTTCAGCAAGAGCGCGTCGTAACGGTTACTGTAAGTGTCGACACGCACACACACACAACGCACACTGCAGCTGATTTCTTGAATGCAACTCTGTTCCTGCTCTCTTTCACTCTTCCTGTTTTTGCTCTCTCTTGCTCTCTCTCCTTGTTATCATTTCGTTTGGTTATGTTCGTTTGAAATTTGTTGGTTTGTTCGTTTGTTTTGTATACTCGTAAGAAAAACTACTACTTTTGTACAGAAATTACGTAGTACAAATACTAACAACTGAGAAAGTCAGAGCCCAACAAGCGCTTTCATTGTAAAATACCAGTTTCGATTTCAATAATTTGAACGTTTGAACGGCTTTAGTGTTGAAAACAAGTACATACAAAAAAAAAAAACAAAATAAAAAAAAAAACAACAACAAAAAACAAAAGTAAAGATGAGCACCTTGTACCATAATTTAGCAGCTGATTTTGCACTTATTTCGAAACGTAGAAATGGTTTGAATTTGAATTGAGTTTTGGATTGATTGCTCAGGCTGTACACTGTACACAGTACACAGTAAACAGTATCGTACACTGGACACTGTTGCATTGCCTAACATTAGACTAATCTTATCTTATTTTACCCTATCAGATGTACTACTACAACTACTTTTATTGTATTGATAGCGAGTTTCCGACTGCGTCTATGACTCTGCGTCCAAGTCCATCTCCTGCCTCTGCGACACTCCTGATCTGATCTGATCTGCTCTGCTCTCTGCTACAATCCACAGATCTCTGAGGTTCGGAGGGCAGAGCAGAGCCGATTCGAGTCGGAAAGGGAAGTCCCAGTTACATGACATGGACCTCTAGACAGCGTAAATTCTTGTTTAATGGCTGTGGTTTGGTTTTGTTTTAGTTGCTTTGATTGGCATAACTGCAATATGCAATAACTGTTCTATTTAACGGTAGCTGGAAGCTAAAGTTCACCAAATAATACGCAATTCCAACAATTCCAAATGTTCCAATGAGTTCCATTCTTTGTTTGGGTTTTCTTTCCCGTTTACCCGATACATTTGGTTTGCCGTACATGAATTTGTTTAAATGTGAAACTCACTAAAGATGTAACACGCACACACTGACACACTTACGCCCACAACCAACACAACCCACACACACACACACACACACAGAAACACACATTAGTGAGCGGTGTCGGACCTCTGGTTGATTGTGGCACTCTATCTGATTGAATACTCTGGTTACAGTTCCTCAATATGGCCTCGGTGTTCATGAGGATCTTCAATTTAATTTGCATGATGCTCTTGATCGGACACTGGAGCGGTTGCTTGCAGTTCTTAGTGCCAATGTTGCAGGGTTTTCCATCAAACTCCTGGGTATCCATCAACGAGTTGCAGGTGCGGTAACCCCATCGTGAATCGGTCAGAGTCGGTGTATCGGGTGGCTAATTGATTCGCTTTTCAGGAATCCTACTGGCTGGAGCAGTACTCGTGGGCATTGTTTAAGGCCATGTCGCACATGCTGTGCATAGGCTACGGCAGGTATGTTGTCCCATCCCCCCAAATCCCAAGTCCCATTAATGCAATCCGTTTCTGTTCTTGCAGATTTCCACCACAATCACTGACAGACATGTGGCTGACGATGCTGTCGATGATATCCGGCGCCACGTGTTACGCATTGTTCCTGGGTCATGCGACCAATCTCATCCAGAGCTTGGACTCCAGCAGGCGGCAATACCGCGAGAAGGTCAAACAGGTGGAGGAGTACATGGCCTACCGCAAGCTGCCGCGCGACATGCGACAGCGCATCACGGAATACTTCGAGCATCGGTACCAGGGTAAATTCTTCGATGAAGAGTTAATCCTTGGCGAGTTGAGCGAGAAATTGCGCGAGGATGTCATCAACTACAATTGCAGGTGGGCCAAATCTGTAACAGTCCATTCTCTCCACTAGTTTTCAACCCATCCAAGTCTTCGACTGGTTCTGCCTCTTGTATCCGATCAGTCTTGTATTAAAATCATTCTCCTTTCACCGTTCGCAGATCCCTCGTGGCGTCAGTGCCTTTTTTTGCTAATGCCGATTCGAATTTCGTTTCTGACGTAGTTACCAAACTGAAATACGAAGTTTTCCAACCAGGTGATTGATCTGATCAATGTCTGCTCCAAGACGAGATACTATTAACTTTCTACTCTTTCAGGTGATATTATCATAAAGGAGGGTACGATCGGTACGAAAATGTACTTCATACAGGAGGGCGTGGTGGACATTGTCATGGCCAATGGCGAGGTAATTTTCAGCCTACTCACATGCTGATTCGTGTAGCTAATCGTTTGTCTGTTTAACAGGTTGCCACCTCACTATCGGACGGATCTTACTTCGGTGAGATCTGTCTGCTGACCAATGCGCGTCGTGTGGCCAGCGTGCGAGCCGAAACCTATTGCAATCTATTCTCGTTGAGCGTGGATCATTTCAATTGCGTGCTGGATCAGTATCCGCTGATGCGCAAGACCATGGAGACTGTGGCCGCCGAGCGGTTGAACAAGATCGGCAAGAATCCAAACATAATGCACCAAAAGGACGAGCAGCTGAGCAATCCCGAGTCGAACACTATTACGGCCGTGGTGAATGCCCTGGCTGCCGAGGCCGATGAATGCAAAGATGAGTAAGTGTGCAATGAGCATGTGATCACTGGTGTGGTCTGGTCTGGTGCAATTTTCTGTATGTATTCCCATCCCCAGCAGTGACATGGATCTCAAGGAGAATTTACTGCATGGGTCAGAGTCGAGCATTGCTGGGCCGGTGCAAACGATACGCGAGGGTCTGCCCAGGCCTCGGAGCGGGGAGTTTCGTGCCCTGTTTGAGGGCAACACCCCATGACACTGAGCCGCGGCGATGACGATGAAGAGCGGTGCTGGCGGGCATCGGGCATCCATTTAAAAGGCAGTTTTGCAGGACACACACTCACCCACACCCACACAACACACACACAACTCACACAGACACATGCGTATATAATAATTTAGTAAATGAAACCCCGAGAAGCGATAAGAAGAGTACACTAAAAAGAATCAATTTACGGTAGACACTATATATGCAATTGCGATTTAGTAGAAAACATTAAAAAACGAAAAAAATCCAAAAAAAAAACAAAACAATTACACAAAAATGTCCTCAATAATTATTCATAATTTCAGCTCCGCTAACTGTGATGACTTTAATATAAGAATCGAAAAAAAAAAAAAAAACAATTACATACAAATATAAATTATATGATAGAGAAAAACTCAGCAGCAGACAGATCGGAATCAGAATCCGATTCACACAGATGCAGCCCCCACACCGCCATAGAAGAGTTTGCCACACACACAAAACCACACACACACACACACACCCACATACAAATACACAGAGAGAGACATACCTTATAGGGAATCTACATCTAAGTTTTATGCCCACGATATTGTAACGATTAAGAAGTAAGTAGACTTCTGTGAATTGCTACACATAGGCGTTAGTCCTATGGACCTACTACAGAACATACACTACATACACACACACACACACACACACCACTACACCTACAGGGTAACCAGACAGTCGATAGACAGACAGACTGACCAACAGATCCACAGACACGCATCAACTTATGATATAAAGAAGCAAAGAAAAGAGTGGAAGGCATACCAAAACATATTTATGCGCGTAGCTATTATGTACTCGAGCAACCAACAAAACAAACAAACAAAACAAACAAACAAACAATTATGTATTATTGCGATTATATAGCATATTTAAATACGCATTGCAAAATGGAAACAACATAACTCAGCAATATACAAGAAAACAAAAAGTATTTAAGCAAATTTAACGAATGCGCATTAGTAGTTGAACTATTAGTTTTTCACTCACTAACAAAACTAACAAACAAACAAACAATTAACACCACTCGACACACAACGTAGTAGAGAAGCCTCAACAAACAAAAATACAAGTATATTAAAAGGAAAAAAGAAAACCAACCTCAGGGTGCCGTCGTTTCAGCGGTCCCCAATCGAAAAACAAAAGCAAAACAAAAAGGAAGAACAGACAAGAAACCAACTATATACACGACATATATATAAAAAAAAAAAACATACGACATTGTTGTCTTTTATAGGGAATTGTTATAAAGTATCAGTTTCGATTATAAATAATTCAAGTATTTATTGCCGCCTGCCGCTGGGGCAGGCATCATGATTTTCCATTCAGATTCAGAAGTTTCCGTTCAGGAATATAATATTTAGTTGCGAGCGAGATCTCTACGCAAGTGGTTCGTCTTTGAGTCCTTGTTTTGTCTTACTTTCAAGCATAAATCAGGCGAAGGACAGCGACTTGTCGGGGGATTTATGTAACTTAGTATTTTATTACACGTAAATAATAAAAAGAAAAGCAGGACAGCGTTTGCCTTAAAATAAAATAAACGGTTCGTTTTACTACTACCAAAAATTAATAAAGAAAACAACTTGGACATTCCATGTCGACAAAAATATAACGCAGAAAACAAACAAAAAATGTGATTAGGTGATTGAGATTAAATGAATGAATAATAGGAATGGTCAAAATAATGGTCTGCTAGGTCTGCAGGCAGCGTCGCACCAAGCCACAGTTTATCAGCGTAAGGTTCAAATTAACACTATCCTCATCGACGAGCACCACATGCGCGATGTTGTTCTGAAACATTCAAATGTATATCTTACTCACTTATCTCACTTCAACGTTTTTCGGTTAGCGTCCTACCTTGATGGCCTCCACTTTTCCAAAGAGTCTGCGGTAGCTCACTTGTTGTTTGAATGCGGCCACAGCTTGCGATGACCAGCGCGGACTCTTGACCGGCGACACATAAGCCAGGCGGCCCGGTATTCCTTGCGGCGGCATGCTGGCGAATTGATCCATTAGAAACTTCACATCCTTTGTGTAAACAGTATCGATTACGCCCGTATCAATGAGCTCCACCTCGATGGTCTTTCGCAAATTGTCAGTCCGTTGGCTGACGATCTTGGCGCGCTCCCACTCCGATGAATTGCTGGGGCAGACGACGCACAGGTGGCCGGGCGTCATCAGGCACTGGGGCATCGTGAACGTCCCTGAATCCAAATTTTTGTAGACTTGCCTGCAAGCAAATGCGTATAAGACAAACTCAACAGAAAAAAGAAGCGTCTGACTTACTGCATATTATGTGAAAAGGTTTGATATACATCGTAGTCGTCGTATATCCAGAAGTAGAAGCTATGCGGATTGGTCACCTCCACCAGCTGCAGGAAGTAGCGCTCGTCCACTTTGAGAGCTTTTTCCAAATCGCGACGCGGCATCTTGTAATCGGAGCGAACGGCGTCGTGCGGATAGTCAACACCAAGAACACGTTGGTCCTGCAAGACAAGCACAGTCTAAGCGAAATTTATCATTGCAATAGGTAGCTGAACTTTACCACAGCATATGCTGGAAAGGCCTCACTTTCGATGCAATCATCGCTGGAGGAATCGTAGGACTTTTCCTTTCGTGGCTTGTCGAGTTCAAGCACAGCACTTTTAGCTTCCGCCTGTTCTACGACGACTTTTTCATCGTCGGAGCTATAAAGTTCGATGGCCACTTGCTTCGCATCCAACACATTTATCTTCTGTGCCTTCGTCTCGCCAGTTGGAGCATCACCACCTTTAGCTAGTGATAGATCTTTGACTGCCTTCACCATGGCATCTAAATCCGGAGACGGAGTGCGCACTCGCTCCGTTGGCTTTCGCTCTGGCGGCGGTTTATTTTCCATTGGAGTCGAAGTGCGCACTGGCGGCGGTTTATTTTCCATTGGAGTCGAAGTGCGCACTGGCGGCGGTTTATTTGCTATTGGAGTCGAAGTGCGCACTGGCGGCGGTTTATTTGCTATTGGAGTCGAAGTGCGGATCGGTTGCGTATATTTATGAATGCTATACATTCCCTGCGGATGTACGTTTGGATAGACGGTCGGATTGACTTTCATCTGAGGGCGATTGAACGGAATGATTGGACGACTGGACTGGAAGTTGTTCATCTGAACGTAGGCAGGAGGCTGCTGGATGTGCTGATTAAGATACTGATAGTTAGGGAGCATTACTATTGGATACATTTGCGGCCTAAACGGATTGACCGGATTGTACATCTTTCCAGACGGGGCCTTCCTTACAGACTCGTTGATAAAGACCAAATCCGACGGCGTCGGGTTATACAAAAACTTTGGCTTGCGTCCACTGGCAATTTTGGAATGTTTTGATGTCTTTTTCTGGCCCTTGACGAATTTCTGGATGTGTGCCGACTGTGCAGTTGATAATGGCTGCACAAACGCCATAGGCCCAGATCCGGTCACCTGTTGATTTGTGTTATTTGAATATGCAATAGAATTCTATGAAAACCTGGTTTCATTCATACCTTTACAATGTCCGGAATGCAGCGAAGAAAATTTTCCAAGTCCCCGAAGCCGAGCTGGCGGTACGGCACTTCTGCCCCCACCATCTCCTTGTAGTCGCGACTCAGTTTCTGGAGCGTCATTAACTCAGGCGACGACACCATAACAGAGTGCAGCATCTTCTTTACGACGTCTAGTTGTCCAGTTTTATCCATATTGAATGAAAGTCAGCACAGCACAATAATTACATATGTATGTATAAGAAAATTAGTATTATTGCCTCCTCGTTTGCAGAAGTGTGGGAGCCGAATGAAGTGCAGACAAAAACCACCGCGCAGCATTAAGTTTTAAGTGCCACCATTGTTTATGTTCCATTTACTTTTGAAGGTGTTTTAACTGTGTTTTCGCGTTATTTGTAATAGGACGCCGCGTGTAAAAATTTTCGAAATAACTGGACTTTCGTACGTGGTTGCCATATCAGATAACCTCATGATTGCGTTTTAGAGACCCGGAACTAGTTCATTCTTTTAAATATCAATGTTTTTTATTTGATTTCTGATTTTGGGTATTAACCCGACATGATTAGATTGAGAGTGTTTAAAATTCACAAAGTTCCATTGAACATTTTAAATATCGCACAAAAATATCGGTTTGGAGAATTAAAACAAATTTCGCCAGAGCGGCGCTTTGCGAACCAGTTCTTTATTTTTACATCCGATTTGCGATTAGCCCATTGTCGACCATTTTACAAACATATCTAAAAATTTCAGGTCAAAGATATCGTGGAATTATTTTTCCAAATATTAAGACACATTTCAAATTGACCACCAAACTCAATTTAGCGCACTACTCGTTCCCGTAAGATACATTTGATTTGTATGGGAAAAATTTCAGCAACATGGGGAAATGAATAGGCAGCATTGTTGTGCTACTTTGGCACGAAATGAGCAACAAATTTGAATACCTTGGGAAAATGGATATTATGGACTTGACATACATATGGTTTGAAATTTCAGGCTCCAATTAATGCAGAAGCTAATCAGTCTCTGTTTTAAAGATATTAACGAAATTTTGCAGCTCACGGCTACCGATAATAGGTATCAGAACGGGGATAAATGTGTATACAAACACACAAAACATGTGCATTAATAGGTCAAAAACATGTCAATCTAGGATAAAATGCAATATTAATGTTTAAAAGCAGCTTGAAACAATAAATTTAACATCAATTAAATGAAATGGGGTATACAAAAGTTCACACGCATGGAATAAACTTGGTTGACCAGAAACACGACATCACATTTTGTCAACATATACGTTTTATGCTTTGGCCGTTTTTGTTTGAACCTTATTATGTAAACAATCCAATGAAAAAGAATTAAATATATTTAGGGTATATTTTAATAATGACATGGTATATTTTGGTATATTTCTGTGGGTCAGACAGTATATTTTGTTGAAAAATCTATCCTTCGATTGAGTCGTCGATAGTTTTGAATGTTTTGAAAAAAATATCGATTCTATCGAGGTGGTATCGGGCTCAAATAATTATTACTGAAAAATGGTGTTATATGCTATTTTTTAAGCGAAATAATACAAAGATTGTTCAAAATAGTTTTTTTTGTTATATCCTTATTTACTGGTTACTCACCAGGTTAAATAAAGCGGGGCTAAGTTTTTGTTTTCTCGGTATATTTACGGTATTTAAAGAAAATAAGAAGGTATATTTCGGTATATTTCTGAGGATCGAGCGGTGTATTTCATCAATAAATCTGCGGTCACACGGTTCTTTCTTTTAACTTCCTGTTCCGAACGCTACAAAATGTCGAAGAGAGGTAAAATTTCGGAAAATAATCGAATTAAATCGCATTGAAAGTGTGCCATCCATGAAAAGCAATTGTGCAACGATTATGGGTGTAAAACAATGTAGTGGTCTAACTAATTATTTGTGTGTTTTCGTCGTTTAGGACGTGGTGGTACCGCGGGAGGTAAATTCCGCATCTCCCTAGGTTTGCCTGTTGGCGCCGTCATGAACTGCGCTGATAATACTGGTAAGTGTGCATTGATATACCGGCTCCGAATGGCGTCTGCTAATGCCAGCTTCGTTGATGCATTCCAGGTGCCAAGAACTTGTATGTTATTGCCGTGCACGGTATTCGTGGTCGTCTGAATCGTCTGCCTGCTGCTGGCGTCGGTGACATGTTTGTGGCCACCGTCAAGAAGGGCAAGCCAGAGCTCAGGAAGAAGGTGAGTGTTTATGCAGTTTCTTCGATGCTAGGTGTGTGTGTGTATGTGCACAAAGTGGAACCACTTTTAGTGAAATTGCTCCGAGTCTGCATAGTATAAAGCACACCTTGCGTCGACTGATTATGTGCTTCGTTGTTTTTTTTTGTTAGCTGGTTACTGATTTGCGTCTCATGTTCTCTTTTAGGTTATGCCTGCCGTGGTGATTCGGCAGCGCAAGCCGTTCCGCAGGAGGGACGGGGTGTTTATATACTTTGAAGACAATGCCGGGGTCATAGTAAACAACAAGGGCGAAATGAAAGGGTCGGCCATCACCGGGCCTGTGGCCAAGGAATGCGCTGATCTGTGGCCCCGTATCGCATCGAATGCAAGCTCTATAGCCTAAGGAATTTCCTTACAAATAAACCCATAACGGAACGAAGTTTGTTTTCAATTAAGAGTTGTCGGATCTTTTATTCAATGCACTGCTGTCGCAGCTCTGGAGGATGTTTTCGCGAGTGTGTTCGAATCTGCCTATTACTTGGGCGCTTCGGTGCGCTGCGTGGGCTTCGGTCGTGTCACCTCCATCGATATCTTGCCATTGGCGCCCTTGAACAGCGCGTAGCACACTTGGAACGTGAGCCCCTCCAGGCCATCGCCGTTCAACTTGGTAATGATGTCTCCGCGTTGCAGCTTGCTGTCGATCTCTGGATATTGGCCTTGTACCTGCAGAGACAAGTGATTTTCAGTGACAAAGCACCCGCACGACTACCCACGGGCACTCACGATATCCGCGATGGTGCAGCCAAGCTCGTTGGGCGAGAGGGAGAGGCCGAGCTCCTTGCCCGCCTTCTTCATGAAGTCCACGTTGAACTTTTCCAGCTCGGATGGATCGGCGCGAAAGACGGTGAAATTGACGGTTCGCTCGTACGTCATGTGGAACAGCTGGTGCACCTTCAGCGTGGTCATGCTCCCAACGTGCACCGGCACGCCATTCACGTCGGTGATGTGATCGTAGATCTTGAGGCGGTTGTCGGCGGCCACTGCTCCCTCCGGGTAGATGTGTGTGATGACACAGCCAGTCTGGAAAAGAGATTCGATTGGGGATTATTGTTGCTTCGTACTACCCACTGGTGCGTTACCTTGACGTGGTTGTTCTTGCCGCCCGCGACTATGACGCCCAGCGGCTTCTTCTCAACCTTCACCTCAATGAGGATCTTTTTGTTGGGCTTGATCTCAGCTGTGGCTGGCTCCTGTGGCTTCTCCGCCTCCTTCTTGGCCTCTGCGGGAGAACAGCGAAGAATGGTTAATGGTGGCCGGGCCTCCACTGCACTTGCTTACCCTCCTTCTTCTTGTCCTCCGCCTCCTTCTCGGCGCGTATGGATTCCTCGCTCTTGAGCGTTAGCAGGATCATCGTGACGACGCCCTCGGCCCGTTTGATCAGCCCCGTTGCCTAAGACCACGTGGAATTAGTCGGATTAGGGGAAGGGCGGGGAGGCCAGGCAAATTACTCACTTCATCGTAGTTGGACTCCATGGTCACGTCCTGGTTGATGGCCAGCAGCATGTCGCCCACTTTGACGCCCGCCAACTCTGCATTGGAGCCCTCGCGCAAGTCGGAGATAAAGATGCCACTGCCCACCTCCACGTGCTTGCCGTAGATCACCATGATGCCCAGGAAGCCCTCCTTGCGCACCTGAACCGAGCGCGCCTTCGGGTACTGGTCGAATATGTACTTGGTCTGTGGATGAGGAGGAGCAACAAAGGATTAACTTTTTGTGGCTTCCCCTTAGGAGAATGTCTCGCTTGCCTCGTCTGATGCTGTCGGGAACTTCTTGATGGGCTTGACACACATGCCCTCGTCATTGGGCTTGCGTCGCGACGTGATCAGCACGAGCTTGTCTCCTTCCACGTTCTTGAACACCGCGGAGGCGTTCAAGTGGCAGCGGTTCTTCAGCACGTTGCCATTCACCTCGACGATCTCGTCGCCGGCTTTGAAGTCGACGCTGGCGAATGTGCCGTTGGTATCGACGCCCGCCACAAAGCAGGCCATCTTCTGGCGGTCCTTGTGGCCGGCCAGGGCGATGCCCAGCGGCTTGCTGGCCGTTCGCTGCACCTCGATGCGGCGCAGATCCTTCATCATGTTGTACCGCTTGTTGATCTTGGCTGTGGGAGATCAGGATTGCTACTGCATGGGCGACATTGGTGGAGCAGACTCACCCATCGTGTATCCGAACTCGTCCTCCTGCTCCTTGTCGCGCTCCTTCTCCTGCTTATTCAGCTTGCAGTTGCCCGCAGAGGCGCGATCGATCTGTGGGGGCAGAGAATGGATCACATCCGGGGACTGTGGGGATTGAAGTCGAGACCCACCTCATAGCCCGCCTCCGTGCGGATGCGTCCGGTCATGTCGCGGGTGTCCTCATCGTCCTCGTCCGCATAGTTGCTCGCCGCATGCCTGTTCCGCATGGAGGCCGTGAAGGTTTGGTTCCGCTTCTGCATCGTCGGCTGCCTGTTCATGCCCATGCCTTGCCCCTGGCCCTGGCCCTGACCCTGACCCTGACCCTGGCCCTGTCCCATACCCATGCCCTGGCCCTGGCCCATCCCCATGGTGTTGATGGGGACCTGCTCCTGGTTGAACTTGTTCTTGGCCTGCGTGTAGCCATTGCTGCGCGGATCGTTCTTGGCCTGCTCCTCGCTCTTATCGATGGTCTGTATCTCCAGGTCGATCTTGAAGTCTGCATCCTTGATGAGGTCGATCACCGCCTGCTCCGTGGAGTGGCGCACATCCTTGCCATTCAGCGAGAGGATACGATCGCCCACCTTCAGCCGGCCGCACAAATGGGCTGGACTCTCGGGCACGATGCCTTTGATAAATATTCCGGTAGTCTTCGTGTTGGGCGAGTCCTTCACCTCGCCACGCACAATGCAGATGCCGAAGGACTTCTTGCCCGTCTTGTCCAGGGTCACCATGTGAATGAGTTCTGTGAAAGGGAACGGGAGTGTATCAGTTGACCACGTTTCAAGGTCAAGTTCCCAGTTTTCACGGAATTGGGGACAAATTCGATTAGCACTGACCACCAGCGGCGCCTGCCTTTCCCAGGAACTGCACCATTGCGGATGGCTACTGCTTTGTCGTCCACTGACTCCACTCACTGCCCGGACATTAAGTCAACGTATAAATATTTTAAATTTATTTTTTTATTCGAGCTTTAGTCGCTTATTATTTTTTTTTTTACAATTTTTAATGTTCCGCGGCGGCAGCGCCCGTTTTGAGCCGATGGAAAAGTGCGCCTAAACTGATTTCACAATTAGCTGGCGGACATTCATGCTAACTGACTTAGTGGCCATTCTATTTTGAGTATGATTTTCGTATCGATTACACTGGTGAGCAGGGGTGCAGGCTACACGGGAACACTCGCCAGTGCTTGGATCGAAGAAACGTTTGGTGTCTTTTTGCGTAAGTTTGGCATGCAGGCCAGTGCTATCGATCTGGCGGAGGTGCTTCAATTGCATTGAGTAACTATCGCTTGCCTGCCCACTCACCCTGTTCGGCAGACACTAGACGTAGCTCTCCCAAGACTGTCACAACATGGACTGGAGACAGGGCAGGGGCAGGAGTCCCCGCCCTGTCTTTATTGTCCATAACACCTTATTAATTTCGATTGGGCGATTCGCGGCACAGGCCCCATGCTGAACAGAAAAGAAAAAAACACTCCGCCAGCGGAAGCCGCCTAAGTTTTGCTCACAAATGCCCATCGATTTTAGACATTTCTTTCGTCGCACTTACCACGGAATAACATTAACATATGATGGCACAGAACCAAAGCAGGTGCAGTCAGACCTGCGAGGGGAATACTGAATAAAGCTGGAACGACTAATATAGAATTAATTCGCAGACAGATTCCCAAGAGCAGACAGAGAGGGCTTTAGAGAAAGGTTCTCCTTCTATTTAGATAACTGCAGGACTTAGATGGCAAGAAGCAGACGGAAATTTTTGGGAAGAATTAATGATAGATCAATGCTTTATCTGTAAACCATGGCAGATAGATTGCTTCCATGGTAAGATAAGAGATCCATTCAATTACATAGATATGTTATTTGTGGATATAATAGTCGTTCCTATGGCACTTAATGTCGTATGATATAAGTGATTGTGACTGTGAAGATCTGCACGATTTCTTAAAGCTGACCCTTTAAGCCGCCTTATGCTAAATCAGTAGTTAAACTTGAGCACAAATACTATTCAAGAATACTTATATTTATTTGAATGTAACTCTTGATTCTTCGTCACTGCCTTGGAAGAATCTAGGGAAAAATCAGAAAATCCTCCATAAATGTATTTACGTAAAATGTAAAAATTGAAGGAAAGTGAAACCAATGAAATATTTTAGTCGTTTTATTGCAAACAAAAATATATATATTTGGATCCCTGCGATAGACTCCCATCTGGGGCAATGTGAAGAGAGCAGGCAGAGGCAGGCAATGCAGCAATTGAATAAAAGTTTCTGGATTGCTGCCATTTGAGTGGTGGCAAATGAATTTAATTTGTGTGCGAGTGAGTCTTAAATTCATAATCAAGATTTGCATTTTAATGCCTTTGCCAGACGATGTGCACGATGGGCACCAGGGAGGGGTGGGGAGGGGGAGTGGGATACGAGGGTAGGGGCTACGCAAACATTTCCATTAAATGTGAGTAGAAAATTTCTAAGCGAGAAAAAAGGCAAAGCAAAACTAGAGTAAACACATGCTCAAAGAGCGGGTGGAAAATGGAACTGGAAAATGGCCACAGCTCAAATGTGGTCGGTGGGAGGGGGAGCGGGGGAGCGGGATGCGGAGGGTGGTGTGTAGGAGCGCAGTAAACGTCAACGACTGCGGAACGATGTTGGAAATTAATTTCATAATAAAAAAGCGTAAGGAAACCCATTTGATAAAACAATTTCCTTTTTGCCTCCCAACAGTCATGTTTTGTTAGTAAAGTAAATTCGAGAGAGAGAGGAGAAAACGAGAAGCAGTGAAAATGAGCTTAACTTTCCCCTCTCGCCCCACCACCCTTCCCGCTGCTCATCATCTACACAGCAGCAGCGAAATGGATGCTGGCAGGATACGTATGCGCTGCTGCTGAACAGCCATTGGTCGCCTCTGTGGCCCCGCCCCGCGCAATGGCTGCTGCTTTTCGGCAGTCATGGCCTCTCGCTCTGGCCTCCCTGCTGCCTCCTTGCGAGCAGTGCTGCTGCGTCGCAGTCGGCGCATTTAGTTAACTGAAGTGATTTTCCGCACAGCGATAGAGGGAGAGGAAGAGACAGACTCTTATGTAAGTGGCTCTGCTCTTACGTGCACGTGCACGTGTGTGTGCCTGTGTGTGTGTGTGTGTGTGTGTGCGAATCCGTTGTTGACTTGTTCTCGTGTTGTACTTACATGCAGTTATAGCAGTAAATTGCTAATAATCGTCTAGCAGGCCCTCCAGAGTGCGTCCTGGAAATGAATAAGAATTACAGTTTTCTGCGCAAAAACACTTCACACAAAGATTTGGAATAATATGGAAATTGTGCCTGTACCACCATGTTCCATCCTCTCTACCCTACATCCTCCAGGCGTAGACAGCGAGAGAGAGAGAGAGGGAGGGAAAGGAGAGCCATTTATGAGTGCAGTATAGCCGGAAGGGAAGTAGAGACGCTTTTTCGGATAGAAAGCCAGTAATGAAATTCTTAATATTCGTAGATATGAATAGTTTCTAGGACAAGCATAAAGTCGGAAGGAATTCCTTAGGTATCGCTAGATAGGAATAAGATATATATTTATATCTTAAGTGGGTGTCCTAAGCTCGGCTTGGGAATATACTACAGATGGGAATAGGCGCTAGTTGCAAAAGAATAACGGAATATGAGGCAGGCATTGTCTGTTTCATTCTGGAAGTGCTGGTCTTTGCTTATATCATTAGGAGATTCCTCATATACCAAGCTAGACAGACGATCTACATATGCTGCTATGTGTATATGTATCCAGGGATTCGGTATCCATGTGATTGGTTACTTTTCCCTAGATAGGAATAGGCTTTATCCCATCCACATATGTTCACGTTTGGAAGGCAAGTCGGTTAGCAAGTTGTAGAAATATGTTTGAAAGTTTATTTTTAGCTTACTTTAATATTTCCCTTAAAAGAAAAAGAACTATAAATTATCTGGCCAAATCTGCATAAAACTCATCCACATGTCTAAAGTCCAAACACTCGAAACCCTCCGGATAGGCAATGCCAATTTCGATGACGTCGGTGGGCATTGGACGCTCCTCCTCCGCTCCCCCCTTCTCATCACCCTCTGGCTGCTTCTTCTCATATCCTGTCTTTAGAGCCAACAGTGCAGTGCTGATGGCATCTTCCACTCTGAGATTCTCACTGCATCGCTGCTCCAGGAAGTTTGTGCAGATGTCTGCATTACGGCCCAGAGCAATGGCCTTCCTGGGGAAGTGGGAGCCGGTGGCACTGCAATTGTACAGATGTGGCACCCCACCCCTGTCACAGCCGGCGATCAACAGGGACACTCCAAAGGGTCGCGCACTCGAGATTTGGGTGTACTCCTGCATGACGATGGCCATGGAGTGCGCCATGTGGCTAACTTCGGCCGCCAAGCCATTGCTCAGACTATGAGAGAGGAGAGTAATCATCAGCAGGTATCAACAAAAAATGCGAAACTAGACATTTACTTGTTGTTGTTGGAACATTTCTGGGCGTGCTTTTTGAGCGTGCGAAAGTCGCCACTCAATCCGGAATATGTCATTCCTGTCATTAAGTCTATTGGTGCCACGTGCGGCACTCTGCGCGGCTCCATCAGAACCGAAGATTTTCTTGTCGCTGTGGCAATGACGACGCAATCGGGTGCGACGATGCCCACGGAGGTGCTGCCCTTGGATGCCGCGCGCAAGGCGCACAAAGATTGCCCTACGATTCCGGTGGCATCATAGAAGCTTGGCGAAAACTTGAACTCTTCATCCATTTAATAAAAAAATAGAAAAATAGAAATAGACACAAAAGTGGGCTACTTTGATGGCACACACAAAAAAAACGAAATATATAAAATATATTTAATACTTTTAATCTTTAATTACCGAATATCTGGGCTCTTTAGAACTCCTTCCGATCGAATCGAAGCACTGCACAAACTTCAACTTGTGGAAAACTCATTGAGCAGGAAACCCCATCATCTGAGAGGCGCAACAGGCTCTACTCCCTGCTCCCTCCCCAGCTCCGCCAAAGATACATAAAACAAATGGGACAGGGACGGTGCAGGCCGTGCGGAAGCGGAAAACCAACTGAATATTCTCACGACGTTTAAGGACATCTACAAACAATTACGGCCGTACATGTGTTCCGGGGCAGCAGCAGCCCCCACCCCTCCCAAGTTGCAGCTAAAAGTTCGCATGACGCACGGAATGCCCGCCTCTGGGGCACGGATTATAGATATTTGTGTTTACTACGGATGTATAATGTCCTCATAACTCCAGTACGTGAACGTGATAGAGCAAATAATGGTGCCCACATGCCAGCGGCGCACTTGCAGCCCAGCCCCTGCCTGATTGGTGCAGAGTGGTGCGGGATGGAGGGTTTGTGAGTGAGGAGTGAGGAGTGGTTCGGTATGAGACTTAGTGGATTACGGTCCGCTCTACATTAAAACTCAATTTGAATGACAACGCGTAAGCAAATAATTGTCCTTTTGCGACGACCCGCCAATGTCCTTAGCTTGCCTCAAGTGCCCCCACCCCTCCCCACACTCAGCTACAGCCACTGCCACTTCACTTCTGTTGCTGCTGTTGCTGCTGCTGCTGCTGCTGCTGCTGCAGCCTCAAAAGTTTGCTCTCCACACGGTAGTAAGTTATTCAAATATTGAGTTTTTCCAACTCGCTCGCAGACCGGCCGCCCCTGCTCCTGGCTGCCTGCTCCTTGCCGTGGTGTGTGTCTGCATGTGCGCAGGGTCACAGCCGGACCGACCGGGGGATGGATGCCGAAAAGCGAGTCTCGAAAATATCATCCGCATCCGTATACGTATACGTAGCCGTAGCCGTAGCCGTATACGCATCCCTTTGTTTGAGTTGTTCGCTCCGCTCCTCTAAATACGTTTGATTTGTTTGCTGTGCTGTGCCCAGTGCCCCGAGGCCAGAGGCGAGAGGCGAACAGATCTTAAGCTGCATGTAAATGCGTTAAATTAAATTTCAAACGCTTGTATTCTCGCTTGGGCTCTGCTTGAAGCAGCCCAAGGACAATGACAACGACAATCGAATGGTTGGGTGGATGGTTAGGAATGAAGGATGAGGGCTTGACAATTTGGACTGACGGCCTAATGCGATTATGGGAATAAAGATTTGCTGGCTCCATATGGGGATATTCGGACAGAGCTTGGGAGTGGGCCAGGACCAGGGACAGGGCCTCTCCTGAAGGATACCCAATCGAATAAGACTGAATTTTTGGGTTCAGTTTCAGTTGCTCCTTCCCCCCAGATCCTTACTCATCATCACCATGATTGCACATTCAATATTGTTGATTTTGGACACTGATAGCCTCACCCGCACGTGTTCGCACTTCACACTTCGCGGTACTCGGTACTCGGTACTCGGTCCCTGGGCACGTGTTAACTTGTTTGCGATATCTCCATCAATGCTGACAAATATTTATTGTGCACATTTTATTTACAGCACAAATTGGTAATATCCAACCATCAGTCCCGTGTGTACGGGTCCTTGTACGGGCTGGGCTGTGTCCGGACTTGTGTCCTCTATTTTCTTTTCATTTGTCGCCATGTCGCCCACATGGCTTTGATCTCACCAATTGATTTACACTAACGATTATTTAATGAAATTCCTCATGCAACACACCACACCACACACCCCACCACCCCACCACCCTCTGGATCCTGGCAGGAAGTGTGAATTACCCAACACCCACTCCAGGGCGAGGAGTCCGTCCGCGTGCCACACGTGCCCGCTGGGAACTTATTAAGCGTGTCCTCCTTTTGGATTTTGATTCTTTCTGGTTTGATTTAAATTTCCCGCTCAAGTGTAAATGTGTTGTCTCTTTTGTGGATTGTTTCCATGTCTACGGATGAGCAATTAATGCGGGGATCTGCCACTGCGAGAGAGACATGTTCTACGACAGAGAGAAGGGAAAGGTAGTGGCACTGCTCACCAGACGTCTCCCCAGAGTCTCTGGAGTTTACATCTTCTGTAGAGATTTTTGCATGCACTACAGCATCCTTCCAATTAGATCATTGCAGAACTTATCTTATAAATATTTCGTATATTTATCTGCCATGGCAAACGATTTTCAACAGGTCCTCCTCGGCCTTCGATTTGTAATTTTTAATCTAAATAAAACCGTCACATCGATAGATCAAAAACTGTGCCAAAGCTACACGAAGATCCATCTTTTGTCTCGCCTTTTTGAAACCTCGAATAGCATTAGAAATCTTTTAGCAATTTAATCAACCCCAAGGGGCAATATTGTGTAAATCCCACAACTAACTTTGACTTCATAAGCCTCGAAACCAAAACAAATAAACGATTATCCTTTATGGTTTGTGCATGGGCAGGAGTTGAGGGGATCGGATCAGCGATGGCTGGTTATGGGCATTGCCAACTGTCCAAATAGCTGCCACGCCCCAACAGTTAACAGTTAAGAGAGCAAACGGCACAGCACAGCACATCAGAGACGAATGAATGTGAATGCGAATGCGAATGAAGTGAATCCCAACGTCCTGGACACATCCTTGGCTTTCGTTTCGTGGCATACGGACAAGTGACAATCATCCCACTTAATTGAATTCTGCGCTGCATAATAAATCAACTTAATGCGATCCAAGTACGCCAGAGGATGCCGAGCAATTCAAAAACTCAAGCGGAGATCCCACATAGAGAGAGAGAGGAAGAGGAGGAATGAATGCATGATGGGATGGGCATATCCTTTGGCTGCGGTTTCAACAGCAGCAGCAGCAGCAGAAGCAGCAAATAAACAACAATAACACACTCTGCCTGCCATCGATGCCCACTTTTCCAGCCCATCCACGCCCGCTGTAATTTCCACACTTGTGCTGACACATTGAAAGGGCTTTGGGTTTTTATTGTACCCTAGCAAATGAGGGGTACTCCTGAAAGTGGTCAGGACTTGGCATAGAGTCCAAACAATTCAACATTTAACTGCAAAGGAAGACTCAAAAGGCGTCTCTATATTATTATTATAATTATTATAATCCATATAATTATGGATTATTTGCATCACTTGTTTGATTTTAGAGATAACTCCAACGAAGCTCAAGCTACAGGTAGTAGATCCTGAAACTGTATATTCTGTTATTTCCTTATCTTATATGTATCTGCCATCTAAAGGGTATCTAACATAGCGACTGGCAGAGTTGGCGTTTATTTTTTCTGGTTATTTATGAATTGAGAAATTGACATCCTGGCAGAAGGAGGGCAGGAGGCGTTAAGGAGGCTTAGGCAGGGCTCTCGATTTTTATTGCCGCTGCTGCCGAACAAGAGGCTTAGGCAAAGGCACCAAGCACCAGGCATCATCCTCATCATCATCATCCGCATCCACAGCCACATCAAATGAACAAAACTGAATGAAATGAGGCACGAAACATCAGAGTTTTGTGTTGTGTGTGTGTGTGTGTTTGTGTGGCACTTGCTGCTGCCACAAAACCCTGCACCCTGCACCCGTACCCACCCCTGAGCAAGGATAAATCGAGCGTGAAATATTCCCGCTTGGACAGCGGGACAGGGAGGGGAGAGGTATAACTCTATTGTTGTGCTTTCCACTTGTTGGCAGGTTGATGCCTGGGATCCTGATGCAGGACGAAATCGTGCGGTGCAGTTGCGTTGCGCAATTTTGCCCGCTGCCTGCTGTGATTTTTCCCATTGTCCTGTTTGTCCGTGTGTGTGGGTGGGTGGTGGCTGATTCCTGATGTCCTTGTCCATCAAATTGAGCGTCACTCAAGTATTCAAGTGCCTGTATGTGTCTCTGCCCCAGCCCCTGCCCCTGCCCCTACCCCTACCCCATGCCCGCAGCTTGTTTTCCATCCTGCAGATACTTCAAAGATTTAATAATGACATAAGAAGCGAAGCTATTAAGCCAGGAGTGGAGTCCCTCGCCGGGTAGCGCGTCGGAGACCGAACTCGAGTGTGTTTGCCTTTGCGATTCTCCAGGTGCCAGACACCCATCCGTGCATCGATGCACGGCAGGAGGATGCGACAGCAGGATGCGGCAACTCGAGCACAAATTAGTGGCAGCCAAGACTCCCTTGTACGCAGCCAGGCAGGAGTCACTGTAGCCATTGTCCTGGCCGGGTACTGCTACTGGTCCTGTTCCTGCTCCTGCTCCTTGCAGTCAAAGCAATTCAAGTGTCAAATCTTTTATTTGCCTTTTGCAGATTTCGCAATAAAAATTTGTATTGTCAAAGTCTGCGCTCATCCAAGCCCAATCCACAATCCACAATGCCAGTCCCAGTCCCAGTCCCGGTTCCAGTCCCCCAATCTGCGCCCGAGTATCCTTCTCAGCCAGTGCAGCGTCTCCATCCCCCTCTCAATGTTTCACTCCCTTTCATCCTGCTGGCATGTCCTTTGGTCGTTTGTTTGTGTGCAATAAATTTGCTGACAAAAGAAGGATTATTGCTGGATCATGCCGCTGCTCGGCCTGAGCAGGATGTGGATGTGGTGGCTGTGGCTCTCCTCTGGCTCTGCGCGGCTCTGTTTCTTGCCAGCGTGCATTCCTGGGCGTTATTGTTTGCCCATAAGTTAATTGTTCACCGGCAAAAAGCTTGAATGCACCGCATCCTCACGCTCAACTGGCCGCCAAAAAGTCCTCCGTTCTCCATCCTCCATCCTCCATCCACCAGCAGAACTCATGCTGTGCCTAAGCGATGATTAACCGAAGACAGACAGGGGATGTGGCTGTCGATGGACATGGATATGGACATGGATAGCCAGGAGACAGCGTTGCTGGCTGAGTTGGGTTGCAGTTTGCCAAACTCGAATCGCCATGGAAACTATTGCTCGGGATTCTGCGGCTAAGCGATGAAAAGTGGATTGAGAGAGCAAATATTTTTGATAAACGCAAAGGAACTGCCATGAGGATTAGTTCGTGTTGAATAGAGTGGATGAGTGGCTATAAAAGGAAAGTATTCTAATCGAACTTAAATAAAAAATATCAAAGTACTTTCAGAATTATTTCCAAAAAAAAAAGGCAATCAACACAGAAGTTCGATTTAATTTGCTGCGATTATGCTTCTAGAATCTAGACCACTCTCCCTGAAGGTTCGATCTGATATATCGTACATCGTATTTCTGCCTGTTTACCATTTGATTTGATTTTTGCTTTGTGTGAACAGATTTTTTTTGTCCAAAAGCTATAAGATCCTTGGTTTGGGCCATAAACAACACAAAGGGAATAAATGCCGCAATAAATTTTCAGCAACTAAATTGGGAAACGGACACAATCCCCCTGCCCCCACAACACCACACTCTCTCTCTCTTTCTCTCTTTCTAGCTGTCTCTATCTATCTAATACCAACACAAATCCAAACGGATAAAGATACATAACAAAACGCAATGCCACGCCCCTCTGAACTGAGCTTGGCCAAAAAATCATTGATTCGTTAGTGTAACGGAGCGACAAAGAAGGGCGAATCGAGGGGGGGGCAGAGAGTGGCAGAGAGATATGGGGCAACAGAGGGGTTGGGTGGATACGTACATATACAGCTAAACAGAATTGGAATAATGAAAATGGATGCCAGGAGTGAAAGAAACGATATCAATATTGTCCTCAATGGGGAGATGGCGGCCATTATTCAGTCTCTCTGCCTTTGTGTTTGCGTGTGCGGGTGTGGGTGTGGGTGTGGGTATGCTGTTCCATGTGTTAGTATGTGTGTGTGTAACTTCCGGAAAACTGGAAAACTAATTTGAACAAAGTACAACAAATAAAAGTGACTACTGAATGTTTAATTTGAAAAGGGGAAGGCACTGCACACCGAACACTGAACACTGAACAGTGAACAGTGAACACTCTGCAACAAAAACAAGAACAATAATGTCTAACAAGTGGGCAGCAAAACGAGTGAAAGGGCCTAGCCCCATAGTTTCCATATCGACTAAGGAATACCCATTAAAAATCTAGTTGGAACCTCTCGAAAAAGAAATCTCTTAACAATAATGGTAACCGCCAACCAGAACTTGTTTTCTTTCTTCTTTTCTCATGGATCGGTCGATTATGACTACAGTAGAAATTATTTTTAATATAAAATAGATGACTTGATTTTTTAAAATTAGTTTTGACTGCTAAAATGAAACAAAATATTCCGAAAACTGATGGAAACGAGGGCCAAGTGCCAACAAGTACCAGTTATAAACAGTGGCAAAGAAAAGAGTTACTAAATACGAACATACTTAAGGTGATTGAGAATACTTACATACAACATGTGTAATATATGAAATACGTATGTACATATGTATGTACATAAATCTGCTTGCGATCCCCAATATACCCCCATTGGGAACTGCGATTAGCGGGGTATAAACTGCGAGAATGAAAAGCAGAAATAATACAAAACTCACATAGATACAAATGCAGCAAACACATGTATACAGAATATCCTCCCGCTGGCAGCCACTCCGCCATCCCCCTCGCCAGCGACATTGCTCCCCTTATTGTGTAGGAGAATGTTTGGCGAAAATGGCGCATTCCCGAAGTGTGTGGAGAAGGGAGCGGGAGAACAAGAGCAGCCCCCAGCCGAATGGGAGAAATCGAGAGAGGAACGCCGACATACGGTTAGAAAAACATTCGCACATAAAAATGCTAACATTTGAACGAGAGAGCAGGAGCAGGCAGCAGGCAGCGGTAAGTAGGCAGTAGGAGGCAGGCAGGCTGGAGGCAGGCAGAGAGAGGGAAGGCAGTTGGACGGCTGGGCGGTACCTCCATGTGGCTGACATAATGAAACATTATTAAGAGCCACGACGTCAAAGCTGCAGAAGGTATCTAAAATTTGCGCAAAATGTTTATCCTCCCCGCAGCCACTAACCCCAGTCCCTGCGCCTGCACCTCCTACTCCACCCGCGAGTGTCCACCCTCGCTGAGTTTTGGCTTCTGCAGCCTCGCAGTCGCTCTCTCTGCCGTCTGCCAATTTGCCGTCGCAAATTTCACATTTACAGAAGGAACAGCAGCAGCAGCAAAAACCAGCACGAGGACACTCCACCATTTTATGTTATTACGCGAGAGAGACAGCATAACGATGGTGGGAGCAAGAGAGAGCGAGAGAGAGAGAGAGAGATCCCAGCCAGAGAGGGATGGCCTGCTGGGCCCATAGATTGGTTTACGGCACTCATCTCATCCCCCGCCAGAGCGAGACGGAGAGAGGCTGTCTGCTGCAGGGATGCAGCAGCGACGCGACGTCGCGTTGCCGTAGAATCACAGTTATTCGAGATACGAAAACACAGCAGCGGCGACACAAAAGCCCATGAAAGCGGCAGCAGCAGCGGTTTTCCATAAAATAAATGTTTGAGTTATGTAGAAAAACATTTTGGGCGAGAGGATTTTCGTTTTCGTTGCGATTCAGTTAACATTTGGCAGCAGGATTCCGCCTCAGACAGACACGACGACCGGACCCGTGTATCCATCTCCATCTCCATCGAGCTACGAGCTGCGAGCCCGCGAGCCTTCGTCTACCCAAGCGTCATGTACAGTTATCAGTAAGCAGCCCCGCCGGAAACGGTTAAGAAACGGTCAAGAAACGGATACGAATCGGTGCGCGAGTGACATGGCCAATTGGAAATCGAATTCAAACTCCAATTCCAATTCGAACTCAAACGCAAAGTGAAGCTAGTGAATAAGAAGCCAAATCGAACACAGTTCCTGAGCAAAAGTCAAAGCGAAAGTGTTGCGTCCTCTACTACCACATAAGAACCCACAAGAACCAAGATTAGAGTCCAGCTAGAATCTACTTAGAGATAGCGACAATAATGCACACCAGCACGGATCCCATGCACACTCTGCACGACAGCGTCTCCCTGTCGCCGCCGTTGCACAAGAGCCAGCGGAGTGGCGCCGGCGGCGGTGGCGGTAGCGGTGGCAGTGCATCCTCGCGAGCCGCCGCCGTGGATGCCATGTCCATGGGCTGCGATGACAGCGACTTGGAGCCGTCGGCAATCGGTGGTAGCGGCGGAGATGGCTCCGGCAATGCCGGCGGTCCATTGGTGAAGCCACCGTACTCCTACATAGCCCTCATCACGATGGCCATTCTGCAGTCGCCGCACAAGAAGCTGACCCTCAGCGGGATCTGTGACTTCATCATGTCGCGGTAAGTGGTACCTCCTGGGGCATGGGGCATTTGCCGACGGGAAAATCTTAAGCGACATTTTGCGTCTACTTGCAGCTTTCCCTACTACAAGGACAAGTTCCCCGCCTGGCAGAACTCCATCCGGCACAACCTCAGTCTGAACGACTGCTTCATCAAGGTGCCGCGCGAGCCGGGCAATCCGGGCAAGGGCAACTTCTGGACCCTGGACCCGCTGGCCGAGGATATGTTCGACAACGGCAGCTTCCTGCGACGGCGAAAGCGATACAAGCGCGCGCCCACAATGCAGCGATTCTCCTTTCCGGCGGTGTTCGGCACCCTGTCCCCCTTCTGGATACGCAAGCCGGTGCCCCTGGTCCCGGTGCACTTCAATGTGCCAAACTTTAACGGGAGCCGAGACTTTGACGTGATGCACTCGCCCGCGGACGTCTTCGACACGGCGCTGCGGGCCGACAAGAAGTTCAACTTCTTCGCCAACGCGAACGCCGAGGCATCCCTCTACCAGAACAGCCAGAGCGGCGACAAGTTCGATCGCCTCTCCTTCATGAATCGCGCACGGGGTGTGGAGGCAGCAGAAGCCGTGGCTGTGGACTCCCTGCCCCACAGCAGTGGCGGAGCTGGGAGTAGAGCCGGCAAGTACAAAAGTCCCTACCCCTTTGATGTGGCGACTATGGCCAGTGCAGCGGCTGGAATTCCGGGTCACGGCCAGTACGGGGAGAGGCTGAGCGCGCCCGGCGGTGGCTACATGGATCTCAATGTGTACAACGATGATGCGGAGGCAGATGCAGAGACCGAGGCGGAGGCAGAGGCGGACGACGACTCGTGCGAGGACAAGATCGATGTGGAGAGCGGCAACGAGAACGATCAGGAGGATTCGCACATATCGGACTCCGTGGACAGTGCGTGCACGAACCGTCTGGACGTGCCGGCGGATGTGCTGCTCTTCGAGCATGCCGAGACCTCCAGAAGCCCCATAGTCCAGGCCCTCACGTCCAGTCCGAGGAGCCGCTGCTACGACGGTGAACCGGCCAGCCTGCGGACCACCAAGCAGAGCCATGCCAAGGACTTCCGCATCGAGACGCTCATCGGGCACCAGCACCGTCGCGCGGCCAGTCACGACGAGGCGAGTGACTAAGTCCTGACGCTCGACTCCCCTTGGGCCCTTAGGACCATCCACCCCCTTCCGCTTGGCTTGTGTATATTTCATTCCACGGTGATTTCTGTTTCGATCTAAGCACGTTTTAACACACCCTAGTCCCCCCTAGTGACCCTAGCACCTAGCCAGGTCCGACAGCCAGTAGTGATCAGTATATCTGTAGGTGTAGAATGCCAGAGCACAAGATTTTAATGCGACCAAATCAAACGCTATAGTTGCGAGTCCACTTACATGTACGTATATATCGGAATACATACATATGTACGAGTATATACATATATATCTATGTATAAATCTGATCCATTGCACATCTATAGCATACTTTTAAAGTGAATTCTAGAGGTACATACATACATCTCTATATATGTACGTGTGTAGTACTTTATGTGTGCGTGTAACAAAAAGAAAAAATTACTATTAAATATTAATTAGACTCTAAGACTTTTGCTGATGTTATTGAAAATTTAATAAACCACAACATACTAATAGAATGTCGTTTTTCCATTTAAATTGTAATGGACTTTGCGCGCGCTGGCTGACTGCATTCAGGGTTGCATTCGAGAGAGGACAGTGTGCTAACGGTGAAAGCTCTCGCAACTGTCAAATGAAGCGCAGGCGCAGAGGACAGCCCAGGACAACCAGAGAGCTGAAAGAAAGAAGGAAAGCTCTCTCTTTCTCTGTCCCTTGGATGTAGTATTTATTCCAGTGTTAAAACATTAAAAGCTGCGCTGGAAAAGGGACAACAGTTAAATAGAAGATACCAACACTATTGGTATCCATCGGAACACACAATAGTACACCACGCAGGTCGCGGTGGATACGCCGTGAATACGAATACTACTCCGTACGAACTCCACTCCGTTTTTGGCACAATTCTCCCCCACACGCACACACATTGTCCTCGCTCTCGCACACACACACACGGCCGCACAAGTTTCACGCAAAAAGTCGATTTTTCACCAACAAAAAGTGTTGTATATGTGGAAAGTTTTGAATTGCCAGCCATAAAATGGAACTGCAAGTGCAATAATCGAAGGTGGACGTAGTGCAGCAATTCAGCAGGCGACAGAGAGGCGCACGGCGAGCCGCCAGGGATGTGCACACTCCACCAACTCCACCATTGGGGCCGCTCGTAGTGCTGAGCTCATCGTTTTGTATGAGAAAAGTTTGTATCAGCCACCCCCGCCACCGCCACCGCCACTACCACAGCTCCTCCTGCTCCCCACCCCCTCCTAATTGTACAACCACCAAGTGTCCCCCGGGTTCCAGTCGAACTGTTGTTCTGTGATGAGATGTCGGTGATAATGAGTGTGATTCCCAGCCAAAATGGTGGCTGTGGCTGTGACTGTGCCTGTGCCTAGGCGGCTTTGGACCCGGACCCGGACCCGGCCCTGGACCGAGGAGCAACCCACAACGACAGCAACAACAACGACAACAACAACAACAATTAACGTCCAGAATTAGCCGATTGCAGACACTGCAGAGCAGCAACGGAGCGTCCAAGAGCAGCACAACGACAACAACGAGGAGGACCCGGCTCCGGACCCGGACCAGGTCGAAGATTAGGCAGCGCACATGGCGAGCGGGAGGGTCCTGTGCGCATCGCTGCTGGCCTGGCTGACGTTACTCACAGGTAAGTGCCACTACACACTCACGACTCGCGACTCGCGAGTGTGGGATTACCTCAAAAACCACTTGATTCAGTGCACTAATCCTCCGCCGTTTCTGCTCCATTTCTGATGATGCCGACTAAAACACGTAGTCACCCACTCGGTGCGCATCACGAATCTGCGGGTGCCGCACACCTATACACTCGAACGTGATAACGAACCCGATCCTCTGGTACTCGACTGCGAGTACGAGATTGGGCCGAGCGAGAAGGGATTTGTGCTGAAGTGGCTGTTCAACAATCACTCCATCTACCAATGGATACCCTCGGTGAAAGGGTTCGCCATGGTGAGTCATTGTCCCGGCGCGGCCCGTCCCTCCTCCTCCTCCTCCTGCTCCTGCCACACGGAGGGCGGCAAAAATTAATTAACATAAAATTCTTTGCGACTTATCCTTGTAGGGCTTCATGAAGTCAAAGATAGACACCAAAATATTCAGCATGGAGGGCAGTCCCGGTGTTATATCGATAAAGAATCCCGACTGGAACATGACGGGGGAGTACACCTGTGCCGTGCAGACCTTTGAGACCACGGACAAGCGGAGTGCCCGCTTACAAATAATCGGTGGGTGTCACGGGTCTTATAACGGGGGGGTGTGGGAGTGGGTGTGGGTGTGTGTATGGGTGCTACTCCCATCCCCATCCCCACCCCCGTTCATGTTTGCATAGGTGTGAGCTTGTGGCACGTGTGATTCCCCTTTCATATTTGCATGCGTGTCAGGTGGCAGTCACTGCGGCAGCCGGAACCGCCTGTTGTCGTTGATATTCCTCTTTTTTTTTTTTTGATGTTTCTCTTTGGGATGTTTCTTTGTTTTGTCTGACACTTGATTAATTCTCACAATTTTTCACCATCTCCCTGCTGGCCGCCGCACACCATAAATGACAGTTCCTGAGTCGGATTTCATGCTGGAGGCACGAATGGGCGGCGCGCAGTCGGATGTGGACATAATGTGTGCGGTTCAGCACGTCTTTCCACAGCCGATCCTGTCGGTCATGTAAGATTATCACATGCGGATTACGGCATGCAAAGATGGCTAATCAAGTGCCTCTATTCAAATTGTTTGTGCAGGTTCGACACCCATATACTGGATTCGGTGCTGACGCAGCTGGACCAGGACCCCAGTGGCCTCTACAGCATGACTGTGCGGACGCGCATTCCTAGAGATCAACTAGAATCCCCCACACCGATAACCTGTGCGTTTATCCTGATCGGCACGAACTACACCAAGCGCCGCGAGACTATTTTCTATGGTAAGTAGAGGTAAGACGGGGCTGGAGCAATCCACGTGGAGTGAACGATCACTAACCACTGACAATCCGCAGATAAGGCCTCAACTATACAACGCAAGTGGACAACGGTCGCCGTGGTCATGTCGATCGCATCCCTAGCTCTAAGCAGTTAGTTTGGTAGTGTCCTTTGGTGTAGGTGTAGGTGTAGGCTATACTTATTTGTTTTTATGTTTCGTATAGACGACGTGTTCAACGACTTTTCATTTTTAATAGAATTTTAACGGATAAACGTAATTTTTTGCGGTATTTTTAAAAAAAGGCGCTTATTTTGTAAATGCATGTAATTGTAAGGGAAACGAAACGAAACGAAACACTAGACAACACCACAGAAAAAGCACACTCCATGCGAACGAAACCCAAAACAAACCCGAGAAACAACAGCAACAACAACACAACACACATAACAAATTATTGTATTCATATACATATTTACCACATAAATAAATAAATATATATATATATATATAATAGTTATATATGATGTATAGGTCTAATTGAGTACAGAAATGCTAATAAAGAAAACGAAAAGAAAACATTAAAAGTGCATTAAACCAATCTCGCCTTGTTTATTAACCTAAGTTCGCCGTAAATTTGGAATTTAGAAATTCAAATTCGCCATTTGAATTTCCTCCAAATGCAACTCTGTGTTGTGGGTGCGTGTGCAGCCCTGTGCCGAGTGGGGGCGCCTCTGTTCATGCGCAGATCAACATCCAGGCTTCCAGGCCCTTCCAGGCTGCTGCCCATGAGTATGCAGTGAAAATGACAGCAGTGGCAGCAGCCCCAGCAGCAGCAGAAGCAGCGGAATCAACATTTTAGCAAAAAAGTTGACGCCATAGCCCATAGCCAGACAAAATCCAAGGTTCCTGCTGCCCCCTGCCCAGTGGATGTGGATTGGATAACAATAAATAGGATCGCGGGACAATATAGTAGTAGCCTTTCAAATACAGTTCCAATCCGCAGCAAGGCCAAAGCAGCATGTCCTACTAACGGTTAAGGGGAAAGAGAGACAGAAAGAGAGAGGGGAGAAGAGAATTACGGCAAGGCACGATGGCTTCTGGCGATGGCGACACCATCAACACCATCGACATGGACAGCTCCTCCACATCGCAGGCGAAACCAGTGGATCCGAGCAATGGTAAATATCCCATCAGTCAGTCAGTCTGTCCATTTCCACTAGACGAAAATCCAAAGAAAGTCGACAAAAAAAATCAATGAATGGCAAATGGAAAGTGTGGCCCTGGCGCATGTGTCTCGCGTGAGGGGGAAAGAAGCAGCAGCAACAGCAGCAGCAGCGCCGCCCCCCGCCATTTGACGTGCAGACTGACAGCCAGGGACAGGCTGGGAGGCGAACTAGTTGACTGCTTGACTGGCGGACGGACAATGACAGAACACATAGGTTCAGATTTGTACGAACCTATGGACAGGCGAAAGTTGATAACAAAGGAAAGTTTATTGCGTGTGTGGGTTGGTCAAGGGCGCGGTTGAGCCATGGAAAGGGGTGGGACGGGGAGGGTCCATCTAAGTTCAAGTCACAGCCATTGGAGCGGTGATTGGCCTAAAATACGTCACGGACTGAATTAAACATGAAATATGGCTAATAATAAAACTCTTTTTCCCACTTAGCCTCCAACGACCATGTGGGTAACTCATCACCCGAGGTAAATATATATACACACCTATGTACAAATAAATACTTATCATTAATGGGTTCAATTACTCTCAGTTGGGCAGCCGACCCTTGCGCACAGCCAACAACAACAACAAGGCGGACAAGGAGCGAAAGCTTGGGCACAGACGCGTTGGCGAGGGCGGCGAGATCACGTACAAAAAAATACAGACATCGCAGATTATGGGCTCCATACAACTGGGCATCCAGCACACCGTGAGAATCAGCTAATCCGATCCGATGAGAACACAGTCAGAATTCATCTGCATTCCTTCAATTAGGTCGGCAGCCTGGCATCGAAGCCCAAGCGGGATCTGCTAATGATGGACTTCTGGGAGATCGAGAGCATCACCTTTCCGCCAGAGGGTTCCAGCCTTACACCTGCCCACCACTACAGTGAATTCAGATATAAGATCTACGCACCCATTGCATTCCGTTACTTTCGGGATCTGTTTGGCATCCAACCAGACGACTTTATGGTGAGAAGCAGTAGCCCTTTTTCTAGGCGTCCACCCACTCACGGTGACTCTTTCCTAGATGTCCATGTGCACTTCTCCGCTGCGAGAACTGTCGAATCCTGGCGCTTCCGGCTCTATATTCTACCTGACGACCGACGACGAGTTCATCATCAAGACGGTGCAACACAAGGAGGGCGAATTCCTACAGAAACTACTGCCTGGGTGGGTACAGCTCACTGCTCACCCAACAGACTCCTTGCATTATCTCGCCCATTATCCGTTTCAGTTACTATATGAATCTGAATCAAAATCCGCGCACGCTCTTGCCAAAGTTCTTCGGACTGTACTGCCTGCAGACGAGCAATGCCAAAAACATTCGCCTGGTGGTCATGAACAATCTGCTGCCGTCGTCGGTGAGGATGCATCTGAAGTACGACCTGAAGGGGTCGACGTTCAAGCGCAAGGCGAACAAGGCGGAGCGGTCCAAGAAGTCGCCCACCTACAAGGACCTCGACTTCATGGAGCAGCATCCCAACGGGATTTTCCTGGAGGCCGAGACCTATTCGGCGCTGATCAAGACCATTCAGCGGGACTGCACGGTGCTGGAGTCCTTCAAGATCATGGACTACTCGCTGCTCCTGGGCGTGCACAACCTGGACGTGGCGCTAAGGGAGAAACTGAGCGAGAGCAGAAAGCCTCTGAGGGCGCCACTGGCCGAGGACTCGGACGGGGATGTGGACGATCCGCTGGACGGCCAGGATGGGGATGGCAAGGACCGCGACACGGCCACGGGCATCAGTCGGAACAAGTGAGTACTCCGCCCATTTCCACGCAGATAAAACTAAAACTCGGAAGCTAATCCAGTGCGGCATACAGATCGGTCAATCGGCAGCGTCTGGTGGCTCATTCCACGGCCATGGAGAGCATTCAGGCGGAGAGCGAACCCATCGATGACGAGGAAGATGTTCCGTAAGTTATTCCACACTTCTCCTGCCCCAACTCTGATCTGATCTAATCAGAATATTCCCATTGCCAGGCCTGGTGGCATTCCGGCGCGCAGCGAAAAGGGCGAACGCCTTCTGCTCTACATCGGAATCATCGACATTCTGCAATCCTACAGGCTGAAGAAGAAGCTGGAGCACACATTCAAAAGCATCATACATGATGGGGTGAGGCGTGGTCGGGATTAAGGCGTACGCCCGCATTTCATACCGACTTCTCTTCCCCAGGAAACCGTATCGGTCTGCCGTCCCTCGTTCTATGCTCAAAGATTCCAAAACTTCATGGCCAAGACCGTGTTCCGCAAGATACCCTCCCGTAAGTGGGCACAGAGAGAGTGCAGAGCACCACTCGGCTTCTCGGCTAAGTACTCGTACTGTAAGGCATTTTTGTGTACAATTTGTGCCCAAAAGACACTCACTCGATTGAAGTGGGTGCTCCTATCCTTAGATGTTTTTTCCGTAGATACACACACATACTGATACACCCACTCATACACACCACACACTGTACACACTTTACACTCGTGTATTGCTAATTTGAATTGATTCGATTGATGTGCAGCAAAAATGCAATATGGTACACCTTGGCCGCCTGCGTAGACTCGGGGATCTGATCATACCTTATATCAATATCCAATATCCAATATCAAATCGCTCTATTCTCTGCTTTCTTTTTTTGAATATGTCTCGAATGCCTCTCACCTCTCTCTCTCTCACACGCATATAGTGGATCTCCCCGAAATCAAAGGGAATCACAGAAAATTTCGTACCTTGGTAACCAGTTATATAGGTAATGGAAATATTGTACAACTTGTTCAGTCTTCTCTTCAGTTTGGTTCGGTTTAGAATATCTTTCAATATTATTAACCACTCACCAATGTTTATTTATTTATTTTCTGTATGATTTCCGAAACGGACGCAAAAAGCATGTCTCTCAATGTCTCAGTCACGTTAGTGTCCATACCCTGGCAACCGTACTGCTACTTTGGCTTTGCGTAGTTACTTTGGAGGCTGTGCTTTTTGACACCTATGACCACTCACCCTCGTGGAGTTCTGGCCTCTAATCCCATCCTCTGCTTGCATCTTCCAGCGCTTAAGCATTCGCCCTCGAAGAGAAAAAGCCTCTCCAAGGCCATACAGCGCTCCATTGACAGCGACATCGAGGCTTCCACCAGGCGTAAGTGGATCGATCCACACCGGCTGACTGTTGGCCCTGTCCCGTCCCTAATCCTCACTCTCCTTTCCACAGCTATGCATGCCTCGCACTCCCACAGCAGTGGCAAGATCCACCAGCCAGCCAAGCCGCCCACCACAGAGCCGACGCCAGGCAGCGCTTCAGCGGCATCCGGAGCAGCTAGTGCCGGGCCATCATCCACGGCCAGTGGGAGTGGGTTTGGTGAGCGCGAGCGCGAGCGGATGCCACCGCCCGTAAAGCAGCGGACTTCAGCAGGGGCTGGCAGCAATCTGAAGGCTCGGGTGCCACCGCCAGTGCCCCCGCGGGGATCTCCTCGTCGACGGGATGGACAGGACCGCTCGACGCCAGGTACAGAACCGCACACTAATCCACCAACAGCCCCAACACAGATCCACACACTGCAGGTGCCCAGGGATACCATGCCCCGCTTTGGCGACCGCCGCTCGCCCAGTAACGTCCAGGATTGGCTCGAGCTGCACGATCTCTTCGATGCCCCCGACCCCGCTGCTCCCGTGGCACCACCACTAGAGCCGATCCCTCCGCTCTCGGTCACTTTTCTGCGCAGATCCTCTCACAGACGAGGCGACTCCCAGCAGTCGGTCTACTCCTCGGCCCGCTCGGAGAGCAGCTTCCGACGTCAGCAGCCGCGCCTGCTCAACCACGTGGACATCTTTCAGCGGCAGAACAGCTTCGTGGCGCACAGCAGGCGCTCCTCAGCGGCGTCCATCATGGGGGGCTTCCCGCCACTGCGAGCCGAGAGCTATCGCTCTGGACGATCACGATCCTCGGGCAGCATTCCCTCCCAGCGCTCGCCACGGCGGGATCTTCAGGAGAAGCAGCAGCGGCGTCAGAAGCGCAGTCGCTATCTGCACTACGCGGATCTGGCACTGGGCGACGATGTCTGCGACACGCAGGAGGACAATCTGTTGCAGTCGATAACCGCCTTCCTGGAGGTGAAGCGGCAGCTGGAGTCAACGCACCGCACGAGGCGGCCGCAGCCCAAGCTTACGGAGCCGCCGCTTCCAGTGAGCAGCGAGCAGCAGCCAACAAAGCCGCAGCCAACGAAGCGAGCAAAGAGACGCGCGCCCAAAACAGCCCCATCCACGATACCCGAGAGCGAAACCCGAGGCTCCCAGGACACCCAGGGCACGAGGGGCTCTTCGGTTGGGGGACAGCAGTAGATGCTACGGCTAGGCACGCTTTCACTCGCTTGGCACACACCCACACACAATCATTCGCAGGCACCGTCACCGTCACCCCAACCTCGTCTCGATTGCTATTTCTGTGTTCTGTGTTACTCGTACTTCTCCGACCGGCCACTCATTATGTATGTTCTCCTCTGCTCTGCTCATTGTATCGCTAGGCACAACTCCATCCTGCAGTTCGACTCCTCCCCCTGCCTTCGACGACATCTCCGAGGACAGCTCGAACAAGAACAGCACATCATCGATGGGGCGCAGGTCTCACCACCACCACCATCACCACCATCATCAGCAGTCCCAGCAGCAGGCGTACTACCAGCAGCAGGCGCAGTACTTGGATCGCAAAATGAACATCGGACCCGCCTATCGAGGCTCCTACAAGGAGGATATCGTGAGGTGAGCTGATGATCTGCCATTCTTTCCATTTATCTTTTCAAGCTTTTGCGTTTGCTTTTTTGTGTATAGCGTCTCTGAGGTGCATCTGGACACGCTGCTGGCGGTGGACACATCGTCGAGCAGCCAGTATGGGTCTCGGGGCGGACTGGCATGGACGCCGCCGGCATCAGGTGAGGGCTCCACACCCACATGGACAGAGGGCACACCCAGTTTTACGGACTCCAGTTCGAGTGGTGATCTCGGTAATTGGCACTTGAGATTTGCTTTTGAATCGCTTTTTGTGTTTCTATATATCTATTTGTATATATGTATTCGTTCACGCTTACAATCGTAGACAACTTCTCGCCCATAAACTCATCTAAAATCGATCGTCACAAGCCGACCGTGGAAGATGCCATCAACTCTCTGTCCTCGGGAATGGTAAATATCCGAGGTGGCAAGCTCTAGATGAATCTACACCCGATCTACAGACAAACAAAAACACACACACATTAATACATATAGTATACACGAGATCTTCGTGGGGCAGGAGGAGGGGGCGGCACACACTCATTCCTAGACATTTCTAAATTGCAAAAACCGTTTTCAGTTTTGGGTGTTATTCCCTCCGTTTTTCTGATACACATACATTCCGCACTCCGTTTTGCAAACCGTTTACATAACTTACTCTCTCTCTGTGTATTGTGGCTCTTATAGATCAACTAACATAGCATGTTGTGGATATGGCAGCACACAGACAGACAAAACACCGAGAACCCAACCAGCCAAGCCTGCGACTCGAATACATCATCATTTGTTATACCACCACCAGCCCACACACAAAATGATAATGCAGGTGCAGGTGCATGTGCAGAGGTGCGCCACACAGGAGGCACTTGTATAGCTAGGATATAATCAAAAGGCGCCCACGTACAACACACATCCATATGTTTGAGGAATATACATACAAATCTATGCGAATACAGACAAACAAACCAGCAGAAGGCAGAAATCAATACTGCAAATGATATTACATACATATATATATACATACAATACATATAACAGGAAGAGAATCAAATAATACTGAGATGAATGCAAGCAACCAGTACCAGTACCAGTTCCAGTTCCAATTCCCATAATCTCGTAATCGTTATATTACGTTCCCTAGCTATGCTCGTATATATAGTATGGTTGAAAGAGTTCGTTTACTCGTACAATACACTGAAATTAAATTAATAAACGTTTTTGCGATACCTACCCTCGATCTCCGACCTACATACATGCATACTATATCCACATACGTATTATGTATACAGTAAACCTACCTACAAATGTATAATCAGCAATCGCGATATTACCAATTACAATATTGTTGTAAAATATTTCAATTTACATACATACATGCCCCAGAAGAGAAAACCAAGAGCAAAATTATATACATATTATATATTCATTTGTATTCATTAACGATTTAAATTAATTGTAACCGTGCTTAGGTTTACTAAAGACAACCACAGACGGGGCGGGGATACAGACGAGACAGCACAGGACATAGTCGGACAGGATTGAACGGGGGGAGGGGAGCAAACAGCAACAGCAACAGACGGACTGGACACGCGCGACATACTTATACTCCAAGGGACAGCAAAGATGAAAGAATTGATTATTTATTAATTAGTTGAATGTTATTTAACTTATATGCATTATTCTAAAGATTACTGAAACCCAAATTGTAATTAAACAATAAATTAAATTGCAAGGTTGAATTTCCGGCTCTGCTTCTCTGTGCCCTTTCTAATGCGAATTTGCTAAACTATAACATACATATTGTTACAATAGGGGTACTGCGCACCCTTTTACCAGGTGGGGGCGACGGGGACTAGTACAGCTTCTGCAGATCGTTCAGCGACTGGTTGAGGAAATCGTTGGTCCAATCGTTCTCTGGGTTGTCCAGGTGGTTGTCAAAGTCGATCACGTCGCGCATGGCGCCGCGCTTTAGCAGCAGCGAAACGCCCTCAAGGGTCTGTGCCGACTGCAACAGTGTGAACTTGGCCTTTGACCATCGGCCAGAGTCGCCCGCACATGTGTAGACCTGAATGGCGGCACGGTCGTGCTCTAGGGTCACCAGCTTGTTGTCCACCAGAGCGAGGCAGGCGTTCTTGAAGTTCTCCTGGATCTTGTCGGCGATTTTTACGGCAGGCGCTTTGTCAATCTGGTTGTCGTAGAAGTTCTCCGGAGCCGCATAGTATCCCGCAATCACGAGGCCTTCCTGTTCTGCATAGGCATCAATCTGAAATGACCCAATTGTCGCAATGCACGGAAATGGTCAATTATGCTTGTGTAGCACCCACCTGCATAAGGGCAACCTCCGCCATGGGAGTGACGTGCAGGCATTGATGAAACAGCGGTATTGCATCCACGATTTCCACCAGCGACCCTTTCGATGTCTTTTCGGCCAGCAGCAGGCCGTTCACAGCCTGGTGGGGATATTTGGCCGCATGGAATATCAGCTTTGTGTATGCGCGCTCGGAAATTTTGTAGTCGCACATTTTATTTGATTACTTTCGCAATTTATTAAAACTGAAAAAAAAACACGAACCCCGTTCAATCAATTAGCTGGCCTTTGCGTAGGGCTGGACACAATATCGATAGACCTTTTCTGGTATCGATATTGCTATCGGATGACACAAAACGTTACACTGACTTCACTTCAATTTTATATTTATTTCAAACTAAAATTTAACTAAAGTACTACGTGGCTGATGGAAAACATTACTAAATATGTTTAACATTTTATTTCTTAACTGTCCGTCTGCGTCCCGTTCTAGTATTATATCCTTTCTTTTAGTTTAGCGGTACAACTAAAGTTTGTTTGCAGTTCATCAGCTCCATGCCCACCGAGGGCAATCGTTAAAAGAGGAAACTACGTCTGGTTGTCGTGTAATATTGCCTTGATATCGTCAGCGTCCAGAGTCTCGTACTTCAAGAGCGCCTCGGCAAGCGCCTTGTGCTCCTTGGTATGTTTCTTCAGAATGGCCTTCGCCCGCTCGTAGCTATCGCTGAGGATGCGCTTGATTTCGGCATCCACCGCCTCAATGGTGTTGGGTCCCAGAGTTTCGCCGGTGCCCAGACCCTTGCTTGGCTCAATCGTGCGCAGACCCACCTTTTCCGACATGCCCCAGTCCTTGACCATGTGTGTGGCAATAGAGGTTGCCTGTTTGAGATCGCTACTGGCTCCCGAGGTAATCTTGTCCAATCCAAAGATGATCTCTTCGGCAGCACGTCCACCCATCATGGTGTCCATCATGGCCAATAGCTGTGCCTTGGTCACATGATATCGCTCCTTCTCGGGTATGTACGCGGTGTGTCCCAGCGACGGGCCGCGAGGCATGATGGTTACCTTATGCAGTGGATGCGACTCCTTTGTGTAATAGGCGACAATCGCATGACCTCCCTCGTGATAGGCGGTAATGGTGTTTGCCTCCTCGTCGGGCAGGCGAGCCTTGCGCTCGGGACCCATAAGTACCTTGTCGCGTGCAGTCTCCAAGTGCTTCATGTTCACCGTCTCAGCTCCGTCGATGGCAGCTCTGCAAGGGTTATTACTCTTAGCGCCACTCCATGCCCATTCCTTTGAAATCTATCTCACCTTAGTGCCGCCTGGTTAATCATGTTCTCCAGGTCTGCGCCCGTGAAGCCGGAGGTGCCACGTGCCAGCATATCCAGATCGATGTCGTCGTGCAGAATTTTGGTTAAATATAGAGAGAGGATTTCCTTGCGGCCAGTAAAGTCTGGCGTGGATACCACCACCTCGACATCGAAGCGACCGGGACGCAGCAGGGCCTGATCCAGATCGTCCCGGCGATTGGTGGCACCCAGCACAATGACGCCAGCGTTCTGATGGAAACCATCCATCTCGGAGAGCAGCTGGTTTATGGTTTGATTCGCATACGGATGCAGCACTGAGTTTGTCCTCTTAGCGCCCACCGAATCAATTTCATCGATGAAGATCACACACGGGGCCCGAGCCTTGGCCGCCTCTGCAAAAGATGTGAATTACATTCTACTCTCTAACCGTAGCGCTAAGTCTTCACTTACTGAACAAGTCTCGCACACGTCTGGCGCCTTGGCCAACGAGAACCTCGTCAAACTCTGGTCCGGCGGCATGGAAGAATGGCACTTTGGCTTCGCCTGCCACGGCACGTGCCAGCAGGGTTTTTCCAGTTCCTGGAGGTCCAACCAGGAGCACACCCTTCGGAAGCTTGCCGCCTAGGTTCGAGAACTTGTCGGGATTCTTGAGGAACTCAACCACTTCCTTGAGCTCCTGCTTGGCTTCGTCGCAGCCCTTGACGTCGTCGAATGTGACATTGATTTCCTCCGGATCAACCTCCACCTGGTTACCCAGTTGAATGCTACTAAAAGAGAGAAACATTAATACTGTTCTGGCGACGCCTGTATGGTGTCGAGGACTCACCGAAAGACGGAACCGTTCGAAGTGGTGAAGAAGCTCAGGAATATGCCAATGAAAACGACGATAACGATGAGTGTCTGGAAAATCTGTGTGATAATTACTGGGCATTATTTGAGCAACTGGGGGACGAGATTCCATTGGTAAAGGGAATGGGAATGGATATGGGTCCAAATATGTCATTGGAGGATCTTGAGTAATACCTTCAGATACTTCATTGTTTTGCCCGTTTTCGGTGAATCTTCCGAGTTTGCAGCGGCCAAATAGCCTTCGGCAAATGCAATCTTGAGGTTCTCCTGCAAAAATTTTTTGTTCCATTAGAGCTAGCCGATCCATTAAGACTGCACAGCAGCTTACCGCATTGTGAGTGGCTCCGTGTCCGTCGGATTTGGACAGTAGTTTTCTAAGTTTCTCTCCCTGAAAGTTTGTTTCCCCATCTAGCTTTTGTGATGCTGTCCCCAGTGCGTTCTTCAGTCTGGACGTCATCGTTGGATTTCGTTTCTGCTCCGCCTCTATGGAGCGATCCGTCTTGAAGCCGCGTAACTGCCTCCTGTACGAAATTCAAAGTTAACAAGCGGCTCGGGCGCTCTGCCTTTATGGTACTCACAGTTGATGGTGGGAGAAGAGCGGATTTAGAAGACTTTGCGTTACGATTGGAAACATTTTTCTGAAATCCAAGGACATGTTAATAGGGATCAAGTACAGATATGAACGGATTGATTTACACATGTGCGCCTATAGACTGGGCGTCTGCTGCCCCGTCCAAAGTGACTTCAAACTGATAATTTTGTTGCTGCTCATGGCCGATCTGTGTGACTGGCTCTACTAGCGTGACGTGGACGTTTCCGATGGCGGGTAGCATGCGGGTTACCTTGGCGAGGGCATCGTTCACCAGCGCCGTGTCCAGGATTCCGTTCAGCCTGACAGCCTTCTCCACCATGCTCTGCAGGTTGGCGCCCGACCGACTGAGCAGGTTCTTGAACTCCAGCACGAGCGCATGGCACTTGCCCGTCGTTGCCTGTTTGGATGACTTTGATTTGTCAGCAAAAAGGCGCGCAGCCCCAGCGCCTCCTGGCAGCTTGGTACGCTTCACGGTGTAGTAATGCGGTTTTCTACTAAAGTTGCCAAGGTAGAGGTAGGGCTGTCATTGAACGTAAGAGAAAACGAGCGTCAGTGGGGGACGGATCGGCGGCAATGGGTGGTGGGCCGTGCTGCGCGCACACTTACCACAGAGTGTGTGGTGGCGGAGAACATTTCCAAAAAATACAAAACTTTAATTAATTACAATAATAACACGGCTCGGCTCTGGATCGGCAGACGACACAGCTGTAAAATGTCATAATCTGCGTGCGTGTTGCATCCCTGGCACTGGTTGTTATGTGTGGCATCAACCCTGGACGCGATATGGCGAATTTGTATTTATTTTCTTTTATTTATTACTGAGTATCTAAATGGGTTTTTGTTTTGACAACTTATGCGCTGCCTCGTGTTTGTGTTAGGGATCGACTACGGATGACATTTCATTTTCGTATTAATACATCATATGTCGTTTAAGAGAGAGAAAAAACGGCGCGAGCGCATTTAGACAGGGTTGCTTCCGCTAGTGCCAGTGCTGTCAAGCTACCTTAGCCGGCCCGCTGCCAGTATTCTGTACCAATCGTTTATATTTCATAAATTCTCCATCAAATTGTGTCATCATGGATTTGCCGTTGAATGATGGCCCCCGGCCGCCTCAGCAAGAAAATCCACACCCACTGGTCAGTACAATGAGTTTTGTTTTCTCTGGTCGTAATATTGAATTACGTTAATTTTCAGGCAGACTATCAGTTCTCTGCGGAGGAGGTGAAGGCATTACGTGAGTGCAACACTGAATCTTTCCTCCAGCGGTCGCTGCCCTTCGGCACAGGTCTGGGCCTGTTGGCCTACTTTGGTGTGAAGAATGGCTACCTGCAGGGCAATGGAAAGTACGGAGCTGTGCCCAAAGTGGTCATGGGCGTCATCCTGGGTTACTTTGTGGGCAAGTTCAGCTACCAGCAGAAGTGCGCCGAAAAGATAATGCGGCTGCCAAACTCCCGCCTAGGCGAAGTCCTGCGGCAGCGCCGACAGGGTGGTGGTGTCATTAGCACCATCACGCCAGATGAGAGCCTGAGCCGAGCGTTCACATTGGCTCCCTTCTCGCCCAGCTCCGCGGATGTGTACAGCGACGAGGGAATGAAGCCTTCGCGCAACACTGCTCTGAACTTGGACACTGAATCACGGCCCACTTTGGCTGGCTTAGATGACATATACCGGCCCAGCCTGGACTGTGAGTAATCTGCACTGAATTTAATGACGAATATTTTACATTTCCCCTATTTGCAGCGTCTGGCCAATTGATGGACACTGAACTGCCTCTGGAGCCGGCCAAGCCGGGACAAAGCTACGAAGATTTGCGCAAGAAGAATCGCGAGGAGTACGCGAGTCGTCAGCAGAGTCCCTACTCAAAGCCCTACGAGCCTCCGGCGCCCCTTCAGCAGCGCCATGTCGAGCCAGCACCGGAAGCAGCCACTGGAAGTCCGAAGAGGAATAAATATGGCGACTCCTGGACAGATTGAGCCACTCACCATATGCTATTGTTACTGATTACAGCCGTTTGTTTGGATATAAAAGTCAGGAAGTGTTTGATTCCCTCAAACTTCTGAAGAAATAAGGAGTTTATTTACGTTTGTTGGTTGTGCATTCGGAATTTCGGATAAGCCTCATGCCCGAGCTATTTTCTGGCCTGTTCATAGTTAGTTCTGTACCACTCCACCGATTTTTTAATAGCACCTTCAAAGTCCGTGAATGTGTACTCCGGCAGGAGACTGCGAAGCTTCGCATTGGACGCTGTCTTCTTGTACTGCCCGTCAGCTTTGCTTGTATCACAAACAAGTTTACCCTGAAGTTGGACAATAATTTATTATGAAAGTTCCAACTGGGCTGCTTTTAACTCGTCACCTTGAACTTAAATGCCGTGGCTATGGCCTGGGCCACCTCGAAGATGGTCACCTCCTGGACTTCGTCGACACTCAGGACAATTGGCTCGACGCTGTCGTAGTTCCGCAGCACCCAAATCATCAGCTCTGCCAAGTCGAGGGAGTAGATAAACTGACGCAGAGGCTTGCCACTCCCAAAGACTGTGAAGACCTTCTCGCTTTCTGGCGTATCAGGTTGCTCCGTGATCAGCTTGTGCATGCGATTGATCATGCCCGGTATGACGTGACTCACCTCGGGCTTGTAGTTGTCGTGGGGACCGAAGATGTTGCAGGGAATCACAGAAGTGTACAAGTGTCCGTACTTGTCGTTGTACGCGTGGTTCTGAATGTCGATCAGCCGCTTCGCGTAGGAATACCCGTAGTTGGAAGGATGTGGGGGACCATTATGGACCATAGTCTCGTCTATGGGGTATGTGGTGTTATCCGGGAATATACAAGTGGACAGGCAGGAGACGACTTTGGTGCATCCCTGCTCGTGGGCCGTTTGCAGTACATTGTCGTTGATCAGCAGATTGTTTCGCTGTAACCGAAGAAAGTTTGATTTTTGATATTGTATTAAAAGCCCGGACAGCTCACCAAAAAGTCCAGGTTATTGTTCATGTTGTGGAACAGACCGCCGACCATGGCGGCCAGGTGGATGACATGCGTGGGCTTTTCCTTAGCGAACAGTGCCTGCGTGGCTGCCAGATTCCTATGGAAAATGCGTGTTTATTCACCGACTTGCGACGAGTCCAAGTCCCACGATACTCACGTCAAGTCGGCATCTTTGGAGCCGGCAAAATACCATTCCTCATCCGTGGGCCCCTGCTCCTTGATGATAGCTTCTAGGGCTTTGCCCACAAGGCCAGTTCCACCTGTAACCAGCACTTTCTTCATTGTTTCGACCCGACCCAGAATTTTCCAGCAAAAACAATAGTTTAAGGTGTTATGACACTAGACTTTGCTAACTGACTACCTGGAAAACTGAGCTGGGAGCAACAAGTAGTTCCTTTGTTGTTTAACTGAAAGCCAGTAGACGGGTCTAGCGGCGGCTACGAACACTACGAACTCTCTGCGCAATAAATTTAGAGATTGTTGAGACTCTAATCATTAGAGTCTAATGTCATAGCATCTTAACGTTCCCCAGGGCTGGCGAAGAACTGTCTATCGTCTGTCTGCGTGTGATATCGATTATCGCTGGAGCCGGGCCAGACTGGAAATTTTGTTTATGCGGCCAGAAATGCGAAATAAATTAAAATTTAAATAAATGGACATGGAAACGCAAATAATAGACACTGTAAACGACTTCCTGGTAGGACACGGATCATCCGCAACGAAAGAAATCGTTAGAGCTAACATGGCTTTTGCCTTTTACAGAAAGTAGACTCTATCGACGAGGCCTTTGTGAGCGTCATCGTCTTCAAGCCATTTGGCGAAGAGGAAAAGGCAAAGAATTTCTCAAATGATTTGGGTATGCGTATCTCTGCGAGTGGTCTCGTTTTGTCTAACCAATTTATTTTGCAGTTACGGCCTTCGGCAACGTTGCGCAGGAGCATCGGGAGCATGTCCTGCGGCTGTACCTGCTGCGGGCCGCCAGCGCGTCTAGTTACCATATGAAAGTAATGATGGCCGCGCTGGTGAAGCTGGTGGACGCGCATGTGATAACAGCCTGGATGCTCTGCGACAAGGTGTTGATGTGTGAGAAACTGGACTACGAACACAAGACCTTTTGGATCGAAAGTTTTCGGCTCATCAAGAAGGTGATCATGCAGGTGGACTACAAGGGTGTGCGCGAGATCATGAAGGTGTGCCGCGACAAGGCGCAGTGGTTTCCCCTCAACGTCAACGTGACCTACATGCCGCAGCTGCTGGCCGTGGAGGAGATACTGCGCTTCCTGTTCGATCGGAATAATTGCTTACTGCCAGCTTACTTCGTTGCCAACGAGATAATGCGACCGTTTCCCTATCACTGGAAGCTGAACAAGCTGATGACCGACTTTGTCGAGGAGTTCCGCACCACGGCCCAAATGGTATCGATCATTGGACACGCCAACATGCTGCCCATTGTGGAGCACTTTGGCTACGCCGATCATATGATGAACTCCTGGCGCCTGGACCACAACACGTTGAAGTTCAATTTTAAGGGCAGCCTGCCCTACGAACCAGAACTGCTGGAGGAGCAGCGGCCCCTGCTGCGCTATGTGCTGGAGCAGCCGTACTCCCGCGAGATGGTCTCACAAATGCTGAATCTGCAGAAGCACCAAAAGCAGCGCTACAATGCCCTGGAGGAGCAGCTGGTCAACCTGATCATCCATGCCATGGAAATGACTGAGGCAAATGACGCCACTGCAGGCAGTGGATTCAACTCCTCCGACGAGCAGATCACCCCCAACGAGTGGGTCTGGCTACATCTCTCCTCGCAGCTGATTTACTTTGTGCTCTTTCAGTTTGTCAGCTTTATGCACATCGTCCTGTCGCTGCACGAGAAGGTGAGCCTCACAGATCGATCAATACATCTTTATACCCTTTTTACCCTTCTTCCCCCGGCAGCTCTCAAAGTTGGAGCTACGCAAGGGACGCGACCAGTTGATGTGGATCCTGCTGCAATTCATCTCGGGCAGCATTCAAAAGAATCCCGTAGGAGGCGCCACAGACTTTAAAGAACGAACAGAATTCAACTGCAAATCCATTCCAGATCACCAACTTTCTGCCTGTCTTCAGGCTGTTCGATCTGCTGTACCCGGAGCAGGAGCCGCTCAAGCTGCCGGACATCAACAAATCGTCCATGGTCCGCCACATGGCCCCCATTTGTGTGTGGATCCATCTGATGAAGAAGGCGCGTGTGGAGAACATGAACATTACACGGCCGCTGCCCATTGCCCTGAAGAATCACCACGAGTAAGCATCCACTTAATGGCCTGGAGGATCAGTCAGTAACCGTTCAATCCGCCCACAGCTTCCTGCAGCACCTGGTCTCGCCAAACACCATGATGAACATGACTCTGGGCAACGACTTTCGCATCATTCTTGTCTGCAATGCCTACTCGACCAATCAGGAGTACTTCGGACGACCCATGGGTCTGCTGCTGGAGGCCCTTAGTGGAACCTCCAAGTCCCCCAGTGGGGCCCAGATACATGCCGTAAACTTTTCGGTGGCGGTGCTGGACAGCCTCACAGTGCACAGCAAAATGTCGCTGATCCACAGCTTCGTCACGCAAATGCTGAAGCAGGCCCAGACCAAGGGCCAAGTGCCGGCAGCGGCGCTGCTGGAAACATACGCGAGACTGCTGGTCTACACGGAAATCGAGTCGCTTGGCGTTAAGGGCTTCCTGAGCCAACTAATGCCCACGGTGTTCAAGAACCATGCCTGGGCCATGCTTCACACTCTGATGGAAATGTTCTCATACCGCCTGCACCATGTGCCCACACACTACCGGGTCCAGCTACTGTCGCTGCTCCACTCGCTCTCTTCGGTGCCGCAGACCAATAAAATGCAGCTAAATCTATGGTGAGGCGTCAATGAAAAAAGGAAACTGGCATCCCCTTTTAACTATTGTAAATTGTAGCTTCGAATCGACCGGACTGCGCCTGATTACCAGCATTGGATCGGCGGAGTTCCAGCCTCAGTTCTCGCGCTACTTCAACGACAAGTCTCCGGGAGCGGTGGCGTCCAACGAGAGCGAGGAGCTGAACCGTGTGCTAATCCTGACGCTGGCCCGTTCCATGCATGTCCACGGTGGCGGCGACGAGATGCAGAGCTGGTGCAAGGACTTTTTGGCAAACATAATGCAGCACACGCCACATTCGTGGTCATTGCAGTCGCTGGCCTGCTTCCCGCCAGCCCTGAACGAGTACTTCACACAGAATGCCCAGCCGCCGGAGAACAAGCAGCAGCTGAAAAAGTCCGTGGAGGAGGAGTATCGCACGTGGACCTCGATGACCAGCGAAAACGACATCATTGCACACTTTCTGCGCCCCACGACAAATCCCCTGTTCTTGTGCCTGCTCTTCAAGATCATTTGGGAGACGGAGAGCATCAGTCCGGTGGCCTACAAGTGAGTAGATAATCTCAAAAGCTCCTACCCTTTGCGGCCTTCATTACCCCGATCTCCCCTCAGGATCCTGGAGGGCATCAGTGCCCGCGCACTGACTACGCATTTGCGGAAGTTTTGCGATTACCTGGTCGCAGAGGTGGCCAGCTCTTCCGATGGCCGTGACTTCATCCACAAGTGCGTGGACACGATCAACAACATGATCTGGAAGTTCAATGTGGTGACCATCGATCGCGTGGTGCTCTGCCTGGCCCTGCGCACCCACGAGGGCAATGAGGCGCAGGTCTGTTTCCTGATCATTCAGCTGCTGTTGCTGAAAGCCAGCGAGCTGCGGAATCGGGTGCAGGAGTTCTGCAAGGACAACAACCCCGATCACTGGAAGCAGAGCAACTGGTAAGATTGTGAGATTTCCGCCATCGCGGCAGGGAAACTGTATTCTCTGTTCTCTCTCTCTGTCCCTTAGGCAGGACAAGCATCTCTCCTTCCACCAGAAGTACCCCGAAAAGTTTGCCCTCGACGAGTCTGCCTCGCACCTGGCCCTTCCGGTCTACTTCAGCAATGTTTGCCTGCGCTTTCTGCCCGTGCTCGATGTGGTGGTGCATCGCTTCATTGAGCTCACCATTCCGAATGTCCACCAGATCTTGGGCTTCATTCTGGATCATCTGAGCATACTCTACAAGTTTCATGGTGCGTACACACTGCCCACAGCAGCCTGCCAGCAAGAATAAACAATGGTGGGTTCTCTTTTCTGTAGATCGGCCCATCACCTATCTGTACAACACCCTGCACTACTATGAGCGCATTCTGCGGGAACGACCCTCATTGAAGAAGAAGCTGGTGAGCACGATTACGGGCGCCTTCAGTGATATTCGGCCACCAAACTGGAGCGTCAGTGAGCCCTATAAGGTGTTTCTGCAAAATCAAGACTTGCTGTGGACCCCAGAGCTGAGCTACTACATGAACTTAATCAAGCGATTGTCAGAAAGTAAGTTCAACTAAAGGAAAGTTAATGGAAACTCAAGTTAATCCCTCGTTGTTTCCCCGTTCAGCCATCAGTGGGAAGAATGTTTTCTACACCACGGACTGGCGTTTCAACGAGTTTCCCAATGCCCCTGCCCATGCGCTGTATGTGACGTGTGTGGAGCTGTTGGGTCTGCCAGTGGCACCCGCTCTGGTGGCCAACAACCTAATCGACGTGATAGTCAGCGGCTATGCGGTGATTCCGCAGAAGGAGATCCACAGCTACATAAATGCCGTGGGCATCGTGATGGCTGCCCTGCCAGAGCCCTACTGGACCGGCATCTACGACCGCCTGAAGGAAATGCTGAATACACCCAACATGCTGAACTGGACGTATCGCTTCGATGCCTTCGAGCTGTTCAACTTCAAGACGGTGCGCGAGGCGATGCTGGAGAAGAGCTACGCTGTGGTGCTGGCAGTGGCTCACTCGGTCTTCCACCACATGGGCGTCTTCAAGCTGGCGGCCATGACCAGACACATCAAGGAGAAGCTGAAGCCCTGCGTCCACACAGAGCAGCAGCTGCTCTATCTCTGCCATGTCTTCGGTCCCTTTATGAAACGCATCGAGCTGGAGACCCCGAATGCTGTGGCGGGCATTGCCATTTTGCTCTATGAGATACTAGAGGTCGTCGATAAGCATAGCGGTGCCAGACCACTGCAATATGTGGATCAGATATGTGATTTCCTGTAAATATTCCAGATTATTCGTACGAATATTGGAGATTAATGAACATTTTATCGCTTGCAGCTACCACATCAAGTACATCCATGTGGGGAACACCATCAAAAACGAATCGGAGGCAATCATTAAACGACTGCGCCCCCTGCTACAAATGCGCTTGCGCTTCATTTCGTATCTGAATCTGGAGGATATCCACGCAGAAAAGATGTAAGAAATTCTTTAGATGAAATATAATTTAACATTAAACTTATTCTCATTTGATTTAAGCGCCGAAAGCAATGCGAATTCAGTCACAAATCAAACACAGTCGCCGTTGCAACCTCAACACCAGCAGCAGCCTATGCAGCAGCAGCAGCAACAACCTATGCAGCAGCAGCAGCAACAAACTACCATGCAGCAGCAGCAACAACCTATGCAGCAGCAGCAACAACCCATGCAGCAGCAGCAGCAACCTATGCAACAGCAGCAGCAACAACCCATGCAGCAGCAGCAACAGTTGAATGCGGCACAAACAACGAGTGTTCCACTGGGTAGCGGTGGCAATCCCCAACAGCAGCAGCAACTCAACCAACAGCAGCAAATGTACATGCAGCACATGCAACAGCAGCAGCAACAACAACAGCATATGCAAAGTATGGGCATGCGCCACAACTAGATATAGAGGGCCCCTATACCCTACCAGACGTAATACCTAGCTCTAGAATAAGTTAAATGTAGTAGTATTATTAGAACTTGTACCGGTTCTCGCATCATTCATCAGATCTTGTATGTGAGAATTCCATTCATAGCGTAAATTATTAGCTGATAAGCGAATTTTAAAATATTTATTCAATAATCCCATATGAACGTGTAGCAGTTGGTTAATGGAGGTGTTTCTTCCTGGTAGCGCTAAGCAGCTGGCTGAATGAGTCACAGCAGAGAAGTTGTCTGAGATGAAAGCTCTCGGCGATCAGAGCTGCTCACCTCGTTATCGACTCTCAGTTTCGCTTGAGACGCAGTCGGAAATGGATGATGCCCTATTCGCAGTTCAGCTTTCGCTGCTGCTGATGCTTTCGGTCATTGTTTGGGCCGAGTTCTGCGACAACGGGACAGGCGAGTGCAAGGAGCTGACGGGCACCGATTGCCCCGTGATATTCTACAACCAGCACTTAATAGGACCGGATATCAAGTACTGTGACGAGTTCAACGACATCGTGTGCTGTCCCATACCGCTGGATCACCAGAACCTGAAGCCGGCCGATGAAACGCGTCCGTTTGAGCGGGGTAAGCTGCGATCATTCAATGGGCCAATGTGCAACTCAAGCTTAAAACTTTACCAGAGTGCAAGCGTTTCAACGAGGCGCGCGCCTCCTGTCGCTCCACGCCCTTCATTGTGGGCGGCTCAAAGGCGACTGGCCAGGAGTTTCCCTTCATGGCGCTGATTGGCACAAAGGAGAACGAAAAGGCCGAAATCAATTGGGACTGCGGCGGGGCTCTGGTGCATCCCCAATTCGTGCTGACGGCGGCACATTGTCTGGAAACCAGCGAGTAAGTGGCCGCCCAGCGGGAGCCGTGATATTCATTTACACTTACCGCATTTACAGATCGAAGGCCGAGCGACTTGACCCCCGAATTTGACTCGCCTAAATTTGTGGTGCGTCTCGGGGAGCTGGACTACAACAGCACCACAGACGATGCCCAGGTACAGGACTTTCGGGTGGTCAATTATGTGGTGCACCCGGCGTATGATGACGAGGACGGCTTTAAGAACGACATTGCCCTCGTTGAGCTGGACAGGGCGGCAGTATTTAACGAGCATGTCGCACCCGCTTGCCTGCCGCCCAGCAGCGGCAACGAGAACAGCCAGCTGACAGCCGCCGGCTGGGGATTCACTTCCGACAAGGGCTTCAAATCGTCGCATCTACTGAAGGTCACCCTGCAGCGCTTCAGCGACGAGCAGTGCCTGGAGCGACTGCAGCAGGGCATTGAGACGCGCACCCAGTTCTGTGCCGGATCGCTTACCACCAATGCCGACACCTGCAATGGCGACTCGGGCGGACCCATCTTTGTGCAGCACCCGCTCTATCCGTGCCTCAAACAAGTGATTGGCATCGTCTCCTATGGCTTGGTGTGCGGCACACAGGGTCTGCCGAGTGTCTACACCAAGGTCCATCTCTTCACCGACTGGATCGAGAGCATTGTGTGGTCCGATTAGTCACAATCTCGTTTGCTATAAGAATCTTTTGTTTGCTACAAATGTATGTACTACTATTTGCCCGCCATATCACTCTTGTAATCCACCTGGGAGGCCAGCTCTACCAGGGCAAAGTTTCTGCCTAAGAATCAGCATCCATTCCAAACAGAAAATGGAGCCAATACATATACATATTCACGTGTCCTTATACTCCCGTTTGGCGAAACCTTAGGGTTATGTTACAGGGAGATCCACACAAAGGGATTTCTGCGCCGCCCTCAAACTTCCGTTGGGTTATTCTTCGTTTTAACGTCCATCGATCACACCAATCTTTAGTATTTTTATTAATACTAATCGATAGTCATAAATATTTGGCGCCAATTTGACTTAAAAATTGTTTTTAGAGTTGAATTGAAACCTTATCTGTTCAATTACTTTCTGGCTGCTTCGTTTGTGGTCGCCAACAGAGATAATACTTATGTATGTCAAATAAATAGCTATTATCAGATTGAATGTCTATTAAGTAATTCAGCTTGCAATTATGTAGGGTATTCGCTTAGCCGCCTTAGCAAAGCGGTAAAATAAGTAAGTAGTACATACATATGTATGTTTGTGCATGTCGACAAAGCCACACACAAACATAATTCATTTATATAGCTCCACTGCATATATTATACATACATACATACATACAATTGTGCACGACAGAGGAAAACCCGAAAGTCCGAAGTCCACGGCAAATGAATTACAAAATTGTGTGTGAACAGTTGTAAAATGCACACATACTCGTACACCCTACACGTGCACGTGTATGTATGTAGGCCTCTTATCAATGCGTGCAGAGCACAACAAAAGACAAAGAGAGAAGGAGAGAGAGAGAGTTCACAAAAAGAGATCTAGTGTGAGAGAACCAACAGAGACAAGACGGAAGTTAATTTACAAGGTTTTCTTTTCTACTCGTCGAGTAATTCAGGTAGAGTGGCCATGTTTTAACAGGTAATATTTAGAAAAACAAAGCAGCCAGCAGGTACCACCTATAGAGGTTGCATATACTCATATACAACAGCAAAGAAACAACGATCACAACAAACTAGAAAAACCGCCTCAACAGATCACCAATACCAACAGATGGCAGCGCTGAAATTTCAAAATGAATTTAACAGTCGAGTCGATACTGAGGCGGCGCGGCACAATTCATTCAGACGTTGTGCAAAGCGGATCGTGGGTTCCATTTGAAGTGTGCTGGAAGAATAGTCCGGGGCGAAATAGTGTCAAAGCAATTGAAATTTAAGTCAACGTTCCTCCGCGACAGACAGCAGCTAGTCACAATTTTTTATCGTGTTACAAGCGGCAATAGTGTGTGAGGTAGGTCGGTTGTGAGCATGTAAATGGCTTGACCTCGTCTTTATCAGTCTCGTCACGCGTTCAGGGCCATCCACTAATCTTGCCACGTCCAACTAACCAACTAACTAGCTAACCAAGCTAACTATTTCCCATGATGAATTCCCAGCAATGCGCGTGTTCCAGTCATTTTGGGCACTCCTTGATACGGCTATCAGCGCCGCCAGTGAACTGATTTGAACCGCTAATTGATAATATGTACTGATCGACACTATAAATGCGCCATGTATAGCCGTAATATAAATATGTACATAGGTGTACCTACTAGCTACGGCTTGAATTTAAATTAAGACGCACTTTCCACTTAATGTGTGCCATTTTATCGAACTTAGCTTTGTTTGAACAACCTTAAGTAAACACATGCACATATTAAACTGTTTCCTTGTGCTGGCTGAACTCCAGTTCAAGTACTACGTACCCTATAAAAAAACAATAAAAGACAATCATAAATTCTGTTCTGTACTGTACCCACAAAATGGTTGCCTTGCCGTGCAATCATCGCCATGGTAGATACGATGATATATGTTTGACTTGAATCTTATCAATAACCGACTTGTTGTTCAACTGCATCAGAAATTGAATTAATTTAGATCGTACGACACCCAAAAAAATGAAAAGAAACCAAAAAAAAAAGACTCTCAACACTTGGAAACAGTGGCGGCACTCCGCCACGAGCGAGCCCACTAAAAAAAACAAGATTTCAGTCAAAATAAATAAATTATGGTGTATACATATATATGTATGTATGTTTGTATATATTTTTAGCTTTATCAATTTGCGACTGTTTCTGCGGAGGCTCGACATAGACACACACTTCCAGCCGATCCACACAAAGAAAGCGAGCCGAGAGATCCGCAACGAGGGTCGCATCATGGATAGTGTAAAGTCATTTTTCGGCGGCTCCAACAAGGCCAACAATCTCGGCAATCATCAGCAGCAGAATGGACATCCGAGTGGTGGTGCCACTCCAAATCGCTGGGGCCCGAACTGGAACTCCAGCGCCCAGCACACGGAGACCAGTTCCCCGAATTCCTCGTCCATTCAAAATACCAACCATTGCGATGCCAAACGCAAGGACAGTGATAATTACTTCTATATCATGTAAGTTGGGCAATCGAGTACTTGGGGCCTATGGAAAGAGTGACAATTTCCGCAGTTTAAGTGCTCTTAGAGGAGAGTCAATGGGGGAAATTGAAAGAGCAAGAAAGTTCCTAGATTAGATAAAGTTAAAAAACGCATAGGGCAGTGACCTTCCCTCTAGGGCTGCTATACAAGAACTCCACGAATGTGTGTATTATCTTCTCCCATCCACGTATCAGCCGGTGTACATAAACCTACTCGTATACATATGTATGATACTTTTACGTACATAATATACCCGTTGCAATGACATTTTTTTGACCACAGATAAACGTTCAATGCCTGCAATTATGTGGCGATTGTGTGGAACCAGCAAAGAACTGTGTGGTGTGTGGTGCGGAGGCGCAATCAAAATATTCAATTGAAATTAAAATTAAAAGACAATCGCTTAACGTTCGCTGGCTGCAGGCGGAGGTTGGCAAACCAGTTTGTGCTGTCATAGATCTGGCTTTGCCTTGAGAATTGTATGATCTGAGTTTTGAATGTGTAGTCACGCTCTCGGCTAAAGAGTTTTGAGCCGAGAACTGGAACTTTGGAACCTGTTGGTGGTTGTGGGGAGGGACAGGCCTGTTCGGGGATCAGTTACGAATTAACTGGCGTCAATGGCAGCTGAAAAAGTCCCGTATTTAGAATGTGATTTGCCCGGGGATAGCCCCAAAAATACACAACTGGGTGTGGGCCTTCACATCAGTGTATAACGAGTATAAAGTGCGTGATTCAGTGTAACAGCTGGGTCAGTTAACGTCGAACAGGGCAGGAAACAGCACGCTGTAAGAGCCGCAAATAAAGCTTTTAATCGGACCACTAACTAACTGATTTAATCTCTCATTTTAGGTGGCGCGCCTGAAGATATTCCCACGTATGCGGATCTGTACACGATATTTTGTCAGCATAGCCATAACGTTGGATAAGTTAATCATCATCTAAAGTGACCTGCAGCTTAATAAATCTGTAAATCTATTAGAAGCATCGGAGCGTGCACCTCTCCTCTCCACACACAAAAGTGCTCGTACAGAGTCCCGGTGCTTAGTGATATTAGTTATTTATTTACAATTTTACACACCAGCCATTCATCATTTACACTAGTATCGATCGATCCTCGTTTGACTCGTATATATTGTATATATGGACCCCGTTACTTTTGTCGGCTTGCTCTACTGGCTGATGTGCATGATATTGTTCGGGCCGGCGATGTTCTTTGTCTCCGTTTACCTGCCAGAACTTCCAGTGCGGTATGTGAAAAGTTTGAGGCAGCAAACTTAGCAGTTGTTAGCCAAGTCCGTGGTACATAGATTAATCCAGACATATTTGTAATGATAATGATGTGCAACCGATCGATAAATTATAATAAAAATGTATTCAAAAGTAAATCTACGCTCTCCATAAAGCAAAAACAAAGGAATCCACATAGAACACGATGTGGATTGTGCTCTCTGGTTTGTGGACTTTGATTGGATCCAGAGTTTGACATTTGCATTAGACCCAGCGCTTTTTTGTTTTGTTTTGCTAACCAATCGATATGCAAATGGTAACCACAATCCAGTGCGTGTGGATTTGGCCAAATTTCTATAGAAACTGAAACAAACAAATGGCCACAAATTGCAGACAGCACACAACACACCACAAACTTCGTTCCCACTGAATTACGTAAAGTTTTAGGGTTTTGTTCGTTTAGTTTGCTTTGATTTGGTGAAATACGCACACAAGACATCGTTCAGACTACTGTCAGGGCGGCGCACGAGCACAAAAACAAAAAACAGTTTATATCCCAAACCAGTCCGGCCGAATCGGATGAAAATCATTCAATAAAAATATATAAGTAAACGAAACAGCAAGGCGTAGTCACAGGAGTCAAGAATGCCGGAACCAAAAGGAGCCAAGGGCGATGGCAAGCAGAACAAGGGGAAGGTAACTAGCATTACGGCTCTGAGATCAGATCCCTCCAGATATATACATATAGTCTTCCCAGCCACACACTTGACACTGCTGCTGCTGCTGCTGGTCGCACACATCCTTTCGCCTCGACAACTGGCAACGTAATGCCCAGAGTCGAGTACTTTATGGCCCTGTCTGGTTTTTTGCTTTTTAAATTTCGTTTTGCGCTTACGTTTTAATAAGTTTCGCTTCGCTTGATGGAACTTTGTCACGAGACATAATTTGCAATTTCCGGCGCAATCCATGTGCGTGCCAGCCCCAAAAGGAAGCCCCAGTCAAAGGCCGATCCGAGCCGTGCAATTTGGTTACAGCTACCAATTTATTTAGTTTCATGGCAACACACACTCACACAAACACACACTACCCGTACTTGGTCCAAGGAGTTTGCAAGAAGTTGGGTTAGGGTAGGTGTGGCTGCCAAGAGGCCCCTAATGGCGGTGGGGGGACTGTGCGGTGTCGAATCCTCATCAGACCCAACGCAATAAAAGAGTCAATAAATCACTCACTCACGGATACGGTCCTGGGCTCACCTTTTCATTTAGATGCACATCAAAATAAATATGTAACTTGCGATTCCTTATATCCTCACCCTCACCCACCCCCTCAAAGTACGTACTAATCGAGTTGTGTGCGAAATTTGTTTATTCTGATTACGACAACCCCCCACTCCCCACCCCTTGCCCTATCAATCAGGCTGTCGTGACGTCAGGAGGAAAAGTTTTTCGCTTTTTGGGCTGTCGTGAAGAGGACGCTGACATGGTGAACGTCATCAGGATTGTCATCGTATTCGGCCATAATTCGCGTTCCACTTCGGGCTGGCTGGCAGTCTTTCCTCGCCGCTGCCACTGGACAGACAGCGACACCAGCGCTGCTCCAGTGTAGGATATCCATATCCCCCCTACTTGCTCGAGTACTTGCCCCCCCCCATCCGCCGCGCAACGACTTTCTGGCCAAGATGTGGAAGCTTGCCAACAAGGCGATGGCGGTATATGACCAATAGATTGATTGCAATCCCCACTAGCAAATTCGTAGAGCTGTGTGTGTGTAGAGCTGTGTTACACTGTGTGCGCGTGAGTGTGTGTCCACGTACAGTGCGTTTCATGGCGATAAAGCAGACACTAGAATCTTTTGATACAGGTGCATGTATGCAACGCGCTGAAACGCACTGTGGCCGCGGAGGGGCACTTGTAAATACAAAACTGAGAGTTTAACTGTACATATTTAATTGAGGATCTTTCCATATGTAACCGTACCGTACCGTACCGTAGCGTACAATCTGTAAATACAATGTACTATCCGTAGTCCTATTACTCTATCTATCTATCTATCTATCTATCTATCTAACTCTCTCTTCAAAACTCGCCAACTCGTAGTCGTAGCTAAGTAGGACAGATCGCTCTCCTCCTCCTCCTCTGCCTCTGCCTCTGCCTCCTCCATCTCTCAGTTCACATTCAGTTTAAGTCGCAAAATTATGTCAGAATCTGCGGCTGCAGCTGCAGCTGCTGCTGCTTCGGCTGCCACGGAGGCCAACGATCCGCCGCAGGATTTCGATATTGCCAGCAATAGCGATGACGATGAGGTAACGGTTGCGGCGCAGGCCTTCACCTCGAATACTCGTATCATAATTCAACTTGCATGCCCCAATGCTTGGTTCCCTCCTAGACAGAGCACCTATCTTTGGCTTTCTGCACACTCCACCATAAGTAGTAGTCCCGCCCCCCCCGCCCCGCCCCGCCCCAGAGCTGCTGCAGGTGAGTGGCCATTCTGTTGCTCGTCCTGCCTTCCCGTTTATGCACCATCAATGGAATGTTGCATGCACCACCTACTCTCACTTCCACTCCCACACCCACACCCACCTGTCCCATGGCCTAATCTTTCGTGAATCAACCCTTGTTCCCCACCACCCCCCTTGTTCTCCGTCAAGCAGAACAGATCCTCCAAGACGAAGGCCGATGGCGGTGGCGGTGGCGGCGATGCCGATGACTTTGATGCCTGGATGCGTTCGCGCCAGCTCCTCAAGCCGGACGATCAGCTGGATCTGACGGAGGCGGAGCTGGCCGAGGAGGTGACCAAGGTGCTGACGCCCACCAACACGAATGTGATCCGCAATCTGGTGGTGTACAGCTTCAAGGAGGGGGAGTATGTGCCGGCGCCGCTGCCCGGCAACACGGTGACCCTCATGGACTACCCGGGCAACTCTCTGCACGTGGACTCGGAGGAGGCGCGTCGCCAGATCGAGGAGTCCGATGAGATCGGCTACCCACTGCCCATGCCCCACTATTCGCTGGTGGAGCAGCGCGACACATCTGTCGGGGATCACGAGGGAGAGGGCGAAGGGGAGGACAACGACGACACTGACGACGTCAAGAGTGCCCCCGACAAGGAGGCCGAAGAGGAGGAGGAGGGCGAAGAGGAAGAAGAAGAGGAGGCCAAGACCGGCGAGGAGGGCGTCGAAGAGGGGGAGGTGCGTGCCGACGATGAGGAGACGGCCGGAGCCCAGCCGGCGGCAGCCACAGCCTCCGGCAAGAAGCGCAAGCTGATCAATCAGTTCAACTACTGCGAACGGGCTGCCCTCACCTACACCAATCCCAGGAGGGTGAGTGCATACCCACGGGGATCCATGGATCCATGGATGTTCCTCTCTTACACCTCTTCGTATCCAGAATGTGGACACACAGACGATCCCACCGCCACGATCGCAGTTTGGGGGCAATGTGCTGCAGTGGGTCATCTACGATTCGTATGCGGAGGACTTTGAGGGGCAGTCGAAGGATGGGGCCGCCAAGAAGGAGGACCGCAAGCGCGGCATGCGCTCGAAGAAGTTCAAGGACAAGTCGGCCATTGCAGAGCAACTCAACAAAAAGTATCTCAAGTGCTGGCAGATCCTCGAGCGGATGATCAACCAGAACATCTACGACGACATTGCCCATGACTATCGCTACTGGGAGGATCCGGCCGATGAGTTCCGCGAGGGCGAGGGCAACCTGCTGCCCCTGTGGAAGTTCCAGTACGAAAAGACCAAGAAAATGAATGTCACCGACATCCTGTTCAATCCGAGCTACTACGATCTCTTTGCCGTTTGCTTTGGCTCCCGTGAGTAGAACCAACACAGCAAATTCAATCCAAATCTTTAGTCCTTAATCGTTATTCTACCCTGCCCTGACCTGCCCTGCCCTGCCCTGCCCTGTCAGATGACTTTATGAAGCAGACAAATGAGGGTTATCTCTGCCTCTTCACCGTCAAGAATCCCTCTTTTCCGGACTACATCAGTAGGTGTCCCTCAGAGGAGGAGTCCCTCGTTTCTGCGGCCTTGCTAATCGGCGTCCTTGTTTGATTCCTTTGCAGTTCAAACCGATTGCGGCGTCATGTGCTGCGACATCCATCCCACCTACCCCTTCCTGGTGGTGATTGGCCTGTACGATGGCAACGTGGCCGTCTACAATCTGCGGGACAACTGCAAGGAGCCGCTGTACATCTCCAAGGGCGTGAACTGCAAGCACGGGGAGTGCGTGTGGCAGATCAAGTGGGGCCCGGACATGACCGACGGCGAGATCAATTTCTATTCGGTGTCCTCCGATGGGCGGGTCTTCAACTGGATTCTGATGCAGAACAAGCTCTGGGTGACGACCATCATAACGCTGTTCCTGCAGGACGGCCTCGTGGATGGGCCCGACGGCACCAAGGTCAGCCTCAAGAGCGGCGGCAGCTGCATGATCTTCCACCCCACCGACCAGAAGGTGTTCCTCGTGGGCACCGAATGCGGCTACATCTACAAGTGCAGCACGGCCTTCAGCTCCAAGTACCTGATGACCTACAACGCGCACAACATGTCCGTCTACCGCATCGACTTTAATCGCTTCAACTCGAACATCTTTGTGTCCTGCGGCGGCGACTGGCGCATCAAGGTGTGGGAGGACATGCGTCCCGATCCGCTCTTCATCTTCGATCTTGGGTCTGCTGTGGGCGACGTCAAGTGGGCGCCCTACTCCAGCACCGTCTTCGCAGCCGTCACCACCGAGGGCAAGGTGCATGTCTTCGATTTGAATGTGAACAAGTACAAGGCCATCTGCATCCAGGCGGTGGTGCCCAAGCGGAAGAACAAGCTCACACGACTCTCCTTCAACGAGAAGATACCCTTCATTGTGGTGGGCGACGAAAAGTAAGTGCATCCGATCCCTGCTCGCGCTTAGATCTCTTCCAACTTTAATCTTTTGTCCAGGGGTGTTACCACTTCGCTTAAGCTATCGCCCAATCTTCGCGTGATGGTCAAACCGCCCAAGAAGCAGTTGTATTTGGACCAGACCACACTGCAGATAGCCAAGCTGGAGAAGCTTCTGTCCCTGGTGCGGGAGCTGCCCGAAGGCAGCGTTGTGCCCGATACGGCCACCACTGTGCGCAGCTAAAGTCACGTATATTTTGATAAGCCGCTGCCCGAGTAACGGATCCGAGCGCGCGTCTGATTGTATATTATTTCACTTTAAAATATTTAGAGAGCATTTTTTGGTTTTAAAATATTCGTAGTACGAACGACTTAAGTTAGTTGTATGTTCTAAGTACTAGTATACGAAAATTAGCTATCAACCCAAATCTCAAAAGGAACTCTGAAACAATACAAAAGATCACAAAATTGCACAATAGTCGCGTAATGGGTGGCGGGGGCGGGGGGGGCTAAGATTTAAATCTTTAAGAATAAAACTGGAAACTAAATGTTAATCAAATCCTGTCGGCCCTCAGCCGGCTAAGCCTCAACTAAATTGTAACTAGACTAGACTAGACTAGACTAGACTGCACAGATCGTCCCTCTAATCGTCCATGGGCATGTCTTGGGACTGAACTTTGATGTGCTTCGCCTCCAGATACTCGAGCACATTGTTGGGACACATGACACTCTTGCCGAGAAACAGCACCGTGGACATGGGATGCAGGAAGTCGGCCGCAAAGGTGCTTGCCTTCCAGCCAAAGAAGCCGCTGGCCCGCACCTCGGCGCCCTTGATCTCGTAGGGCAGCAGATTGACGCCCACCTGGTTGGGCTTCGAGAATTGCACGCGAAAGTAGTGTCCGTCGGTGGCCTTGATCCAGTAGAAGCCCTCGTTATCCACATACGGCTTGCTCTGTGACTTCTTCATTGCGTTGGAGCGCTCCAGGTCCTGCACGTTGAAGCTGATGTCAATGTCGTAGGCGTCTGGTGAGATGGCATTGGTCTCCACGGCGCTCTTCAGCGCATTGTTGTCCAGCCAGTAGCGGATGCCCACATTCTCGAACTCCTCGAGCACATGGTTGAAGGTGGTGTGCAGCTTGTCCAGGCAGCAGGGTGGCGTGTGCTTGTCCAGATAGGAGTAGAACGGCCGGTTGTTGTAGACGGTGCCGATGCAGGACTTTGTGGTGCGCTCGCACCCGAAGAGATCGATGTCCGTGACCAGCGGCAGCGACTGATTTGAGCTGGAGAACTGGGCATCCAGCACGCCCATGTGCAGCTGCCAGTTGTTCTCCCTGGCCGGGGGCTTGCCGAGAACCGTGTACGCCCTTCGCACGACCCTCTTGATCTGCAGCCGCTTGTACATCTCACGGAACTGGCGCCGGCGCAGATCTATGCGTCGCTGCTTGGTGTGGAACGAGGAGAAAATACGCCGCCCCTCTTGGAAGGCATGTGGGAATACGGTGGTCTGCAACGATACATTGAAATGCGACTGCAGCTGCAGAGGGGCGGGATACTTACCGATAAATTGGCAATCTTTGCCTGCATGTACAACATCTCTGGGAAGGGCAGGGAGAAGGGTTCGGGCATTGCCGCCAGAGCGGCCACATCCAACAGGATCGCGTGCTTTTGCAGAAACTAAGGCAAGTGTCAGTGGAAGGATCACTCTATTAGAATCAATACCCACCAAATCGCAGCGTCGACTGTCATTGGTTGCCACTATCTCCAGCGTCCAGTTGGGCAGATCCATTCTCATCCGAGCGCAGCTGCTGTAGGACTTTAGATTTCCCGCAAACGGAACCAGCACCATGCGACGCACCGTCTCCTCGGGCGGAACGGCCAGTCGCTGCTCCTTGGGCTTTGCCTGTGCCTGTGCCTGTGCCCCGGCCACGCCTATCGTGTTGATCTCGCGCAGAATCTTCTGCAGCAGATTCTTGCTGTTTAGCCGCACACTGTCCGGCATGAGGAGGGCGTACTTGGTGCGAATGGCGGCCAGCGGATCGAGTTCTGGTCGCGTGCGTCGCACATCGAAGGCCAGGCTCAGGAAGGTCACAGTCTGCTCCTCGCCAGCTGTGAGATTTCGCTCGTAGTTGACCGGCGGATAGGCGTACTCGGTGCCGCCCTCCTGCAGCACCAGTATGGGCATATTGGGTATAACGTCCAGTATGCTGTCGATGCTCGCCCGCAGATCCTGCTCAAAGTTGTAGTGGCCGTAGAACACGATGGTGATGCTCTTCCTTATGTGCTTGTTGGCGTTGCGCACCTTCTCCTTGGGCGTCAGCTTGGGTGCCTTAGCCTCCATCTCGTCGCCACCAGCCAGCACCCGGCTTATGCGGCGCCACAGCAGCGTGTTCCAGGTGTAGTACAGGAATATCAGATTGACCACCAGGACGCCCAGCAGCATCAGCTTGGCCATTCGCAGGCGCAGCACCTTCATTCTCGGACTTGCTGGCTACAGGTTGTGCGGTTGTTGCTACTCTACGCGATTCACTATTTATGGTATCTCTCTCTCTCTCTCTCTCGGTGTGTTTGTGTGTGTGTATGGGTGTACGGTACGGTGCTCCTGCATGGGTGTAGACACCTACATGACATCTACATGACTGCAACTGCCAGCGGAACGAACAGCAGGCAGGCCCTAGAGCCAAAGCTCCTCCGGATGCTGGTCGCACATTCTGTAGATTCGATTTTCTTCGCTCTTCCGGTTCAGTCACTTCTGGCCTTTTCCGGTTTTTATTATTCAATTTGTTTTTGTGTCAATTCCTTTTTCCTCGACTCTGCGCAAATACATATTTCCAACCCACTCTAACACCCACCGGAAAAGCTCAGGCTCCTTCGGCTCGAACAGCTGATGGCATCCATCATCCCCGTTCGTTGAGTTTTCCGGGGGTTGTTTGGTTTGGTTGCTTGCTTGCTCAGGCTAACATTTATTTGGGTAGAAACATTTGCTAGAGCTTTTCAAATGGTTACAGAAGGGAGTTACAGAAAGTTTATGCCTTTTCGAAAGCGATAATGTCGGGAAAAGTTCCTGAAACTACATATATAAATGACTCTATTAAATAACATTATCTATGGATAACAGCGGACTGTTAGCTCGCTCTCTTATGATCCACACAGGTGTCGAGCACCCGAGTGGATCGAGTGCATCGTAAGAGAGAGCGTTCTTCGCTAACTTACTGTTACTGTTACTTACTGTTAATTACGTTCAACTAACTCCTCAATGTGCTTTGGTTTTATTTTATTTGCACATAAAATGAATATAATACTGACACATTAGAGATCATAGACCATAGGATAGATCAGATTCACTTTCCCATGCCGGCGAAGAGTAGTGGGAATGGCACTTCGTCGGTGCTCAGGATCTGCGGTGTCGGGGGGCGTGCATCGGCCTCGCTGGTGCTGTTCAGCCAGTAGGTGGTCATGGTGCCCTTGCCCTTGAGCTCCACATCGCCGCGCTGCTCCAACTGGAAGGTGCCAAACTTGTCCAGAATGGCCTTCGTGGCGGAGGACACGTGAATCTTGCCGGGCTGGCCGGTGCTCTCCATGCGCGATGCGGTATTCACGGTGTCCCCGAAGAGGCAGTAGTGGGGCATTTTCTTGCCCACGACGCCGGCACAGACGGACCCGGAGTGCATACCAATGCGAATCTGGATCTTGTACTCCGGCTTGTGCCTCAGATTAAAGGAGCTGACGGCCTGGAGTATGTCCAGGTGCCATCAGGGCGATCTCCCGGGCGTGCTTATCGCCATTGGGCTCGGGCAGGCCGGAGACCACCAGGTAGGCGTCGCCAATTGTCTCCACCTTGTAGACGTCGTAGAAGCCGATGATCCGGTCGAAGGTGCTGTACAGATCGTTCAGGAAGTTCACCACATCCATGGGGCTGCTGCGGGCGCAAAGCTCCGTGAAGCCCACAATGTCGCTGAAGTAAATGGTGACGCTGCTGAACTCCTCCGGCTCCACCAGATCCCCGGCCATCAGCTGCTGGGCCACGGGTCGCGGCAATATCTGGTACAGCAGCTCCTCCGTGCGCTGCTTCTCCAGACTCAGCTGGCGCGTTTTCTCCTCCACGAGGCTCTCCAGATTGTTGGCATACTGCTCCATGCGGTTCAGCAGATCGTCCATTAGGTTCTCGCAGAAGCCCCTGCAACAAACAAAAGATGATTCGGATTTGACTTTGACTTTGGCTAGGGATGCTGCATAATCACTTCATGATGGTGCGTATGTTGCTGCGGATCGTGGAGAAGGCAGGCCGCTCCTCCTGGTTGTCCGCCCAGCACTTTTCCATTAGCTCTAGTAGGTCCGGTGGACACTCTCGCTCCCTGATGAGCGGCCGAAACCCATTGCATTGCCGCACCTTGTGGAGGATGGTGTGGACATCCATCTGCTGGCGCGCCTCCTGGTAGGGCCCGCCACGGTTCACAATCTCCTCCAGAATGATGCCAAACGAGTAGACATCGCCGCGTTGGGTGGCCGGACAGCAGCCAGGGATGGATGTCAGAGGCAGCAGCTCGGGCGCGATCCAAAGGAGCTCTAGAATGGCAGAATGCTCAAGAAGAAACCCCTCCGAGAGCCATGGGGACACACTCACTCAAGTAGTAGTTCTGATCCCGCACAAAGTCCGAGGGCGTGGTCAGCGTGGCCAGGCCAAAGTCGGATATCTTGAGCACAAATCTGCCGTCGATGAGGCAGTTGCAGGAGCGCAGCTTGCCATGGGCCGCCACGTCGCTGTTGTGCAGATAGCTCATGCCCTTGACAATGTCGTGGACGAGGGACATGCGGAAGTTCCAGTCCAGCTCGATGGCCTCGTTCTCCAGCACATCCTTCAGGCTGCCGCGCGAACAATACTCCGTGAGGATTAGCACCGTGGGACGGGGCAGATCAATGCAGGCGCCCACGAACCGCACAGTGTTCTCGTGGCTCACGTCGCGCGCCTGCTTGATCTCCCACAGCAGCTGGGGCGTCAGCTCTACCTTCTTCACGTTCACCTTCTTGATGGCCACGCGCTCGCCCTTGAACTGGCCAATCGTCGTGTACACCTGCGGCGGCAGCGACGTGAAGCTGGCTATGGAGGCGCGACCGGAGTGGATGCCAAACTGTTGCAGCGAGATATTCTCCACGTCGAGGCGCTGCAGGCCGCCCTTGGAGCCGAACATGCCGCCCATTTCGATGAGCACATCGTCGGGTCTCACCCGCCAGGACATGTTGTTCAGCTCCTTGCTCAGCTTCATTTGCCTGCAAGAATGGGAGAACTCTGTAGGCAGCCACAGGCCAACGAAGGGGGAGTCTTACTTTTGCAGCAAGCAAATCACGAGGAAGACGAGACCCAGAAAGAGGAACAGGCCGAATATGGAATACATAATGGTGGACTCTGCAAGCGGAGAGATTTATGCACTAGTCCGATGTGAAACAAGGGGATTGGGGCCATACCATTGTCATGACAGTCCGGAGAATTGCCCAGGAAGCCACAGGGCGGCACATCCGGCGGCGGCTCCTCCCGTCCGCCCGGCCAGTGAATCTTCTTGCCATGCACAGCTGCATATTCCCTACAAAAAGAAAGTGTTTAATGGATGGTCAATGGGCAGGCACCTTCGCCGCCTACTTGTGGACACCGGAATAATGAGCGACGACGGAAAATTTTCCATTTATGGGATCCAGATCTAGGATCGAGTAGTCCGCATCCCGGTCGCCATTGTCATCGATGCGCACGTGGCCGGTGATGCCCTCAAAGGTGCGATTCCACATGCGTCGCGTGATGTTCACCCCATCCCGGATGTCGCCGCCCTCGGTCAGGGTTTCATTCAGGGCCATGCCCAGCAGATAAACGCCATCGTAGAAGGCGCCAATGAAGAAGTTCACCTCCTCGCCCTCGCCAAACGTGTAGTTGTAGTCGTAGAGCGCATTCTCCCGTACATTGTCCGCAAAATCCTGAAACTTGGGACTCGTCGGCTGCAGGAGGCTCACCCTCAGAAGTGCCTCGTATGCCTTGCGCGCTCGCGCATCCTGCCCGTCCTTCATCTCCCAGCCCTTGTCGCCCCAGTAGTCGCTCTGGAATATCTCCACGTCCAGGAAGACCCACTCGCCGTTGGTCATGCCCAGGCTGTGGGCCGCCAGCATGAACTTTCGCACCAAGACCCCACGCACAGATAAAATAACGACTGTACGAAGGGTGGGAAGAGAGAGAAGAAGTTCGATCAATTATGTGGAATGTGGTGAGGTGGGGAAATCAGCTTGAAGATTTGATACCTCTGGCATACATGCTGGCATCCCTCAGATAGTTCTCATAGATCTCCTCCTCGTTGCCATTTAGCTCGCGGACAAAGCTCAGCAGTCCCTCCTGCCGCAGTCCGTACTCGAGATTCTTGCCCACCGTCCACGAGAAGAGCTCCGATCTGTCCACCAGCAGGGCCACATGCTTCCAATTGAACTGGCGAAAGACGCTGGCAAAGACCAGGATGAGCCTGCACTGGCAGTAGGACATGCGCGTGAGTGTGGGATACTTTGACTTGTCCTTGAACATTCCCTGAAAATTCTACAACGAATATACAATTCCGCCATGCTTCGGATCGATCCCCATGGCATTGAACATCTCCCCCCAAATGAACCTTCCCAGGAACCTGCCCAGATACTACTTCATCCACTTACCGTATTCTCATTCTTCCACTTGTGTATTCTGCCCAGGATGCCAGAGGTAACAGTCAGCTCCCCCTCCGAGGACGGGGGCTGGCGCAGGCAGCAGCAGGAGGAAGGAAACGGGAGACGTTATCGAGCAGCACTCGGAGCAAAACTTAAATTCAAATTAAAGACCCATTGAGCGATGGCCACTCCGAACGCAGCCCAGAACCCATTTAATTGCCAATGTCAAGCGTACGACAATTAAGAGGGCTAAATGTGATTGCCACGAACAGTCAGTGTGTGGGTGGGGAATGGGAGGGGTGGGAAGGGGACTGAGGACTGCGACTAAGCCAGTTCCGCATTATTGAAAGCGGCGTGCTGTGCGCCGCTCCACACGCAAATCGCTACACTCGGCAATGGATGCCAGGCGCTGGCTTGGCTTGGCTTACGCATACCTGATCCCCCATGCCCGTAATGATGGGGGTGTTCCAGTAGGCGGCCAGACGAGCCACCGGCTCAAGGGCGAATGCGCAGGCTGGTCCAATGAAGGCGATGACGTCGTCCTGGAAGTGCATGTCTGCAGCCAGTCCGGGTGCACGGGCGCCCGAGCAGGATGGGTAGCTTAAGACAGGGAAGGGAGTTAGACGCGGTAGGTAGGCAGACAGAGGCAGGCAGGCAGGCAGGCAGGCAGGCATACACCGTCCACTCACCTGGCCTTCTTCTTTGCGAGCGTAATGTTGTGGGGTCGCAGGAAGAGCTTGTTTATCTGATCCAAGGCCAGGTCCACGGCCGGTCCGCAGCGCTCCAGATCGAATGGGGAATCTGCGGGCAGTGGGGAATCTTGATCCAATCCATCGAATCCCTAGCTGGCGACTTACCCAAATGGGAGGCCATCAGCACGCCCACATTGTAGACACGCATCTGGCTGAGTTCGCTCTCCGTCATGCGTCCCATCTGCTGATGCTTCGGATCCCTGGTCCGCTCGAACATCCTGCTGTTGTCGCCCGTGTCGTTGACATTGAGCCCAAGATTCGTGATGGTCGTATCGAAGCTAATCTCTTTGTTGAGGTCCTCCCAGGAATCGATCTCGTTGCGCTTGGCATTCTTGTGGGTGCTGAAGGAGTCAACCAGCAGCAGGAAGAGAACACAGACGCTGGGGCGGAACAACAGACGATGCATATTGTGGCACTGCCAAAGGACTGGAAGAACGAACGGTTATCCAAATGAGTGGCGGCATTTCCTCATTATCACAGAACAAAAACACAAAACAAACTGATTTAAATTTGATTATATCAAGCCGAAATTCGAAGGGCAAAGCTTGAATTCATCTTGCATTACAGCCTGGGGCTGTGTGCTGGGGCTACATAGAAATTTGAAATTAATTCAAATCACAGCAACAACAAAGCGTAATGACTCGCAAATCATTATCCACCGATTCCGAGCTGCTTGGGTGTCGTCGTGTCTATGCAACGCTTTAAACTTAAACTTTAAGGACACTTCGGGAGAAGCCTGACAGCCAGCCAAGTCAGTTGGTTAATTTAAAACAATTTAAAGTAACTTTGGAAACACTTCACTGTTCTTTTAATTACCGAAGGATTTTGAGAGAAATCTGCCGCGAAAGACGTACATCGAATGAGCCACAGGCGAATGCTGCTCGTCCTTTTATAGGCCCTGAAATCTATTCGGCAGACAGCCACGAACTCCCATACGATTGCGCGTGGCCAATGGGAGGCCAGCGAATTGCTGGCCAACAGGCATCGTCAAGGGGAATGGGTATCGGAATGGGAATGGGTCTAGGTTAGGCAAGCAAGAGGACATGGTTTTTATGGCTTCACTTGTTGCTGCTCGGCGGCACTTGAATAGCAATCGCTTGGAAACGTTGTCGCGTGCTGCCGGCAATTAATGCGTCTGCTTGGTGGATTTCGTGTATCTGGGTCTGCGAAAGGGCATCACTCAATTCATCTTCATCTTCATCCAGCATCCCTTGTAACAGATATCGTAATTTATTCATTAACTAATATACAAATTGCATTGATCGGATTCATCATTTACGCTGAAGCCCTCCGCCGGGACGACGCATGCTGCTGGTTAAAGCGGGAACCTTGGCCGCTGCCTTCTTCACCTCGTCGATGGCGTAGAGCATGCGCTGGGGCTCCGTCAAGAACCAGACCCATAGAAGCATTTTATACCGCCAGAGCTTGTCCCTGTCCTGAAATTAAGCCATCAGTGACATTCAGACGCTGGGGGGAAACCCACATACCATCCGACCCACGATATTCTCCTGGAATTCAGTTCGCAGATGTCGCATCATCTCGTCGAGACGCGTCTGTTCCTGGGCGACACTGTATATTGCATACAAATATCGAACATTGTCCAGCATGGGCTGCTCCAGGGGGGAATCATAGACGAAGGGGCTTAGGGTTTGCTCCAGACGCTTGCTGCGAATGAATGTGGTATGAGGGATTAGCTTGCAGGGAATGTTTCGTTTACTCACAGTTCTGCCAGCTGATCCTGGGCGGTGACACTGGACTTTCTGTTGAGCATGCTCTGAAAAGCGTACGAAAGTAGGCGGCAAAACTTTTCGTACTCGTAGAGACAACTCTTGGCCTCGCCGGCCCGTATATTGTGGCCAAGATGGGCCGACAGCTGGCTGGCAATCTCCTGCAAGAAAGGGGAACAGATGCCTTGGTGACTGCTGTTGATGGAGAGCATAGTCTGCACTCGCTGCCATGTGGCCTGGGCCTGGCTGCACAGCGCCTCGGAGGTGTCCAGAAAATTGCGCTTCTTCTCCAAGTCCAACTGTTCGATGATCCAAACCAGCTCCGCATTGGACAAGGCATCCGATATGATTTTGGTCAGTTGCTGGTCGCTTTCACGCCGTCGCTGGGCCCGCTGCAACTTCTCTTTGGTGTTTTCATAGAGAACCAGCTCGATGCGCTGTTCGGTATGCTGCTGGACAAAGCTCGTCACGTCGTTCATGCGTGTGTCGTAGATGTTTTTCAGATGGTGTTCGTTGAGCAGCTGCAGCTCGTGCGTTTCCCTGACCATCTCTGCCACGCTAAGGCAATGGATCTGGCCAAGATCCAGGTGGTCTATAATGGCCTGAGTGGCCTTGGCCTTAGCCTTCTTCTTGATGAAGGCGAGTGCATAATACTGAATGCTGCAACGATTGAAAAGTGTATGTCAATTTGTGACTTTCATCATTATAGACCCTTACTGACCTCCGCTCCAGGCTCTCCAACTTTTCCTTCTCATGCAGCACATCGACTTCGCTGGTCTTCAACTCGTTTGCCTCCTGGATTTTGAAGTTCTCCTTAATGTAGAGCGTAAAATACTGCATGAAGGAGTCGCATTTGAGGAAGTACTGCTCCAGCGGCAGTTGGTGCATAAAGAGCGGTGGCATCGGCTGGGATATGAACGCCATCTTGGCCTCGCTGCTCAGCTTGCAGTTCTCACCCTGCAGCTCTTCCAGCTGCTTGGCCTTCTCTTGGCAGTCGCTCAACAGATTCTTTTCCATGTTTTGCAGTGAAGTGGCTGCACATTCCAACTCGCTAAGGTTATTATTTATAGAGTGTTTCGAGTTGCTGCAACGATTAAACATGTAGAATAGAATAGAATTTCGGGGACTCTGGGCCACTTACACCATATTCTCAATTAGCGCGGCATAATCGGTTGTTGCCTCTTGAATCGCTGCCCCCACTGCAGTCAGAGCGTTCACATCCTGCTCCGTATGCGTGAGCAGACCAGGGTTTTCCGCTTCGATCTCCTGCTGCTTCATTGCGAGCTCCGACCCTCTTAGCCACTCTGAACGCTGCTGCATTTCATCGCGCTGCAGGAACTCTTGCTCTGTAAGGATGTTGGCATCCGTAATACTCACAGACAGGTATTTAAAGAACTTTTCCAGCTTTTCGTCGTATAGAAGCCATTGGTTTGAACTGTCGATCCCCAGTTTCTTGAAGAGGTCACAGTTCTAAAAAGTACAACGTTAATCGAACAATGTAGCCAACAAGAAAAGTCCGATCTTAACTTACGGCAAGAATGTCTCCCATTGCATCCCAAAGAACAATAAAAACAAAAATAATTAAAAAATTCCCGCGTATTTGCAAGCAAGTGAATCCCAGTGTGACCGCAGACTTGTCGACCCTCAGCACTATACCAAATTATACTATCGGTATATTTTCAAGTTATACCTCAGCGCACAAGCAGGAATATTTCATTATATTTATGAGGGTCACACTGACTGAATGACAATCATTTTTGCAAAGTAAACTCGTAAATTTCTAGCAATAAAGAACAATGGTAAGTAAATGTGCACCCGCTACAATGCGGGCAGCTTGATTTATTCATTTCTTCATCATATTCATATTGTTAGGCGCGTCGCTATGATTCCCGCACCACGATTTTCTCCCCGGAGGGACGCCTGTACCAGGTCGAATACGCCATGGAAGCCATCTCGCATGCCGGCACTTGCCTCGGCATCCTGGCCGAAGATGGCATTTTGCTAGCCGCCGAATGCCGCAGCACCAACAAACTGCTGGACAGCGCTATACCCTCGGAGAAGATCTATCGTCTGAACGAGTGAGTAATGATTCGTGCATATCTGTAAACACTGCAATGCTGAACATGATTGCCTTGCAGGAACATGGTTTGCTCTGTGGCCGGCATCACATCCGATGCCAATGTGCTGACCGCCGAGCTGCGTTTGATAGCCCAGCGCTATCAGTTCAGCTATGGCGAGGTGATTCCATGCGAGCAGCTTGTGTCCCACCTGTGCGACATCAAGCAAGCCTACACTCAGTACGGTGGCAAGCGTCCCTTCGGCGTTTCTCTTCTTTACATGGGCTGGGACAATAAGTACGGCTATCAGCTGTACCAGTCCGATCCCAGCGGCAACTACGGCGGCTGGAAGGCCACATGCATTGGCAATAACTTTGGAGCCGCCATCTCCATGCTGAAACAGGAACTGGCCGACAAACCATCCATAAAGCTGGAGGAGGCCAAGGATCTGGCCGTGAAGGTGCTAAGCATGACTCTGGACACCACTAAGCTGACTCCAGAAAAGGTCGAGATGGCCACCTTGCAGCGCGAAAAGAACACTACCGTCTTTAGTGTGCTGGAGAAGCCCGAAGTGGAGAAGCTGATCGAAAAGTACAACAAATTACAGGCCGAAACCGAAGCCGCCAAGAAGGAGAAGCAGGCCAAACAACCCAAGTCTTAAGTTCATCGATCACTGTATGGTTAATGGGTAGACGGTCAGCTAAATATTTTGTATTTGAAGAATGTGAAATTAAATTTCAAAACAAATTTCCGGTTCGTGTTTGACTTAGTGGTTCCGTTCCTGAGAAATGAACAAGATTTAAACAATATATATCGCACCGATACAATATTATCGCAAATAAAAATATCGGTACATCAGTATATAACGGTATTTTTAATCAATATCATCCCCACTTACGTTGCCTTACGTTACATTCCATTCCCACTTACGTATTTTACCGCTTATAAAATTCTTGTGTATGTGCCAGTTCCGCAGCATTGACATGGAAAAAGCAACATTCTGCTACCCTTGGGGATAAGGATATTAAGGAATTGAATGTTTACAAACTAGTCAGTCTCTTTTTAAAAAAAAATCCCAACGATGTTTTAAAGTTTACAGATACCGAGAATATACATCGAAAGTGAGATATGTTTACAGAAAAATATGAATAGGTTAAAAAAAAACGTCCCTCTAAGATAATGTCATTATTAACGTTAGAAAACTGCTTCGAAAACGGAATTTTAACATTAATTAAAGGAAATAGGGTATACAAATAACCATAATACTGGTTGACAAGCAACAAGTGGTAAAATTACGTAACATTCCATTCCCACTTACGTTATATTTCATTCCCAACTACGTTTTTTTTTTCGTTGACCCTTTTTGTGTAAACCTTATTTTATAAGCAATCCAATAAAAAAAAACCTTAAAATTTGCCAATATTGAAGAAAATTGATGTATCTATCGTATAAAATGATATGTGAAGTGTTGAAAGTCCTAACTATCTGGTAATATTATCCCAAATATAAAAATCGGGGAATATGATTTCCGTTAATGGAAATGGAACACTTAAACCATTGTCGACCAGTGGATATATAAATTTAACGTACTAATTTTATAAAACTAAAAGAGTCTAAGTGACTTTCAGGTGAAAAATATCGTGCTCATTTGTTTTTATAAGACAAAATAATGATGTATCAACAAGGAAAATGTACAAACAATATTATTTTAAGCGATTTAACTCAAGTTTGTCACCTGTTTAAATAGAGCGGGCTCAGGTGGGTTAAGTTCGTTGCCTCGGTATATATACGGTATATTATGAAAATGAGAAGGTATATTTTGGTATATTTCTAAGGGTCGGACGGGTATATTTGATCGATTCCGCGGTCACACTGGTCGTCGCTTTTTTCTGTTGCTGTTGAAAAATTGCAATTATAATTATTACTAAATTGATTAATCCGTCTCCCCTGATGGCTTTTGCGGTAAATCAAGTGCGCGAAACGGGTTACGCGTGGAAAGGAGATTGAAAAAACATTTTTTCCTACGCAGCAGAAGCATTAAACGCGCGCGTGTGTGTGCGTGTGTGTGAGTGCCACAGAAAGTAGCAAGAAGCTAAGTGCACACAGTTGTTAAATATTTCATGTGCTTGATTTATGCAATAATAAAGTCAGCGAATTCATCTTATATGCATCAAAATCCGAAACGAAAGCAGAAAAATGTGAAAAAACCAATGGGAATTTCTCAATGTTGTCAATACAGCGAGAGCGAGAAGCAGCAGAAGCTGCGGTAGCAGCGCTGCCAGCGTCAACGTAAAAAAAGTCAAAAGCAAACGAGGAGAATGAAATAACAGGAAAAACGAAAAGAAAAAAAGCTGAGCCACAGCAAAGCAAGAAGAAACGCGAAGCACGGGCTAAAGAAAAATCGAAAAATTAAAAAAAAAACGCATACATATAGATGTATATGTGGCTGTATGCGTGTGAGTGAGATTCAGTGCCTGTGTGTGTGAGTGAAACGTATAAATAAAATTCAGCCAAATGCAGAAACCAACAACAAAATGGATAACAAAACTAAACAGTTGGATTTTAAATTACTGGTAATTAAATAATGTTTACTCTTCAGCCCCCCGTTTTACTCAATCCATTCACGATATTATATACGCAGAAACATAGGTACAACCGTAAATGTGTGTTTTCTGTGTGCGTGTGTGTTACTGTCTAATTGTGTGAGAGAGTGAGAGAGAGAGAGAGGAGAAAAACAACGTGTAAAGGCAAAGAAGAGAGCGGTAGTGAGAGGAGAGCGAGAGCAAAAGAGAGCGTGTGATAGAAGAGTAGGAGGTGGAGGACGACAGATAACAAATGAAGTAAAGTACAGTGTGCACTGGCGTATTTTGTTGCTGCTTTTGCTTTTGTTGTAATGTGAAAAGGTCGTCTCGATTAAAACAAAATCGGAGAATACGGTCTTTTTGAATTTGCTTTTGCATTTTGCTTTGCGCTCCAATTAGGAATGCGAAACACCTGAAGTAAACAAAGATAAGCGGTTAATGGATTTTTGAGCGGGAATTGCGGTCATCTTAGGAGTGAGAGCGAGAGAGAGCTACTACAGTTAAATGAATTGAAATAGAAGAGAGTGGCTGGGTGGGTGCTTTTTTTCTGGGTGCTGTTCTTCTATTTCGTTTATTATTTTAAAAGCTTTAAACAGCCCCAGCACCCCCTCCCCACACAACCCATTCAAAATGGATGGGGGAATTCTTGCACAATTTCCACCCACCCACACACATTAAGCTTTCTGTGTGTGTGTCTGTGAACTTCCGCCGAGTCTATCTCTAAACCCCCATCACACCACCCCAACCCAAAAACCAGACCCCCAGCCACTCCCACTATCCCCATTCAAAGGCAAAACCCATACCACTCCCATTTCCCCTTCACTCCCTGGCCCCTTTCTCCTTTCGACGAGTGCCACATAATGTTATTTTTGTTTTTTTTTTCTATTTGCCTCTAAAATGAATTGTAGTACTCCCCATTTTTCGACCCATTTCATCGTGGTTCTTGTTGTTGTGGCTGGGTTGCTATTATTCACTTTTGTTTTGTTTTCCCTTGTTCCCTCGTTATATTTGAGGAAATATTTATTTTTATTTTTTATTAGTTTATAACAACATTTACATGGACTACACACGCATACAAAGAAACAATGGCACATTTACATAAATACTAATACTATAAAAAATACTACTAAATCCAAAAGGCACACACACTCCAACACACAAACACTCTCCATCTCTAACTCATACACAGAAATACAGCCCCAAGAGCAAGAGCATGATTGGATTTGTGAATGTTTGTGTGTGTGTGTGGATTGTGTTGTTTCTCGTGGAAAGCATTTGTGAGAGGGGTGTGAGTGAGAAGCAGGAGGGAGTCTCTCCTCCACCTCCTTCCCTTCCTCCTGCATGCATATAAATTTTGTGTGAGCTCGCTCCCGCATGCAAGTGCAAGTGAGACGGACAACACGATACGAATGTACGAAGCAAAGCACAAGTGGAAGAAGAAGAATGGTAAACAGCATTGCACAGTGGGGCAAATTCTTACAGTTGGTAGCGGAAAAACGAGTTTGGGGTTTTTTAATGAAAAACTAATGCACGCACTCATGAAACACATTCTCTCTGAAATTAAATTTCTCTTGAATAGCGGTTCAGCTCATGTTTTTCCCTTGCAGCGTTTTAATTACTTCTCTTCTCTCTCTCTCTTGACAAACGCAATTAAAGTTTTTTTATCGCTGTTAATTGGGTTTACGACATGAGTGAGTGCTGCCTGAAAGCAGGAGACATGTCGATGAGGGTTAAATTAGTTATCCTTTTCTATTTCCGAACTATGCACGAACTGCACTGTGGAGCAGCAGAAGGCCAGAAGAGCGGACGCGCTGGGCCAATTTCATTAATAAAACTCTTAAATTAAGGACGGGAGGAAGGCAAGCGACACTGTAAAAGCTATTTTTATTTGATTACTAAAACTATTTGGATGCATTCCTATGTATTGGTGGATGCTCTAAAAGCTTTTGTGTCGGTGTAGGAGAATGAGGAAGAGCAAAAATGTATAACATACATAAATTTAGCTAAAAATGCATCCAACGTCATCTTCTTGCCCTTCCCTGCACCGCCTGATGCCCCCATTTTTACTGTTTCTTCTATATGAATATTATGTTATATATAGGAATGTTTATCTGTGTGTGGATGTGCTCGTGTGTTTAGAAATATTTTGAATATGTGTAGTCAGTCCGCTTCTATTTCTCTCTGATTCTGCTGGTGTGTGTGTGCTTTGGGGAACAGGTACATATAAACATATGTACATACATAGATGTACATATAACAATTGTAAACGGACTAAATATTTCTGTGTAGCAACTAAAGCGGAATAAATCAAGATGGAAAATGCAGCTGTCATCGTGCAAAAGTCGAATATGGAATACCCTATGAGACAATCCTTATTGAATGAATTCTATTCTTATTGAATGACATTCTTATTCTAAAGAACACTGCATCGTATTTGGTTTTACCCAAAAGATTAATGGGATTTTGTGGTTAAAGTACATATAAATATGTACATCAAATGTTAGTCTCTTTCTCACACACACACACTAAAGATCATTTAATTAGAGCACAAATAAAATGTAATTAAATGTGGTATTTTGATTTTCCTCACTTACGTCTCTTTTGTGCGCTCTCTCTCTCTCCCACCGCTCTTATGTTTTCTTACCTCACATACAAAAAATGTGATTAAAACTGTGTGTGTGTGAGCTATCTGCAATATAAAAAAAGGGTATTAAAAGTCTTTCAGGAGTGTGTACCATTCTCCCTTTTCCGTTATTCTGTATTGTTTTCTTTCCCCTTCTCGCACACAGTGGGTGGATGGATAGATGGTGGGAGAGCAACGTGTGCTTGTAACAACTACAAATCGCTGCAAAAACACATGCAAACACTCGCACACACACACACACACGCTGAGAGAGATAAATGCACACATACCCATGCATACATAGTGGCAACATTGTGGAATGGGGAAAAAGTAGCACAAATTGTTCGCTGTTTTAATTTCTCTGCCTCTTCTTCTCTGTCTCCCCACCTTCGGTATTGCTGTTTTTTGCTTCTCTATTTTTGCCATCTTCGTTGGTTTTCGTTGTGGTCGTGTGTTTGTGTGTGTGTCTGTGTTTGCTTTGCACTAATCGCTTGCGCTAACAGCGCAGCTGGCTTCGCTGCCTCAGTCGCCGTGCTGTCTAA